TTGAGCAAGTCGCTACACATCTGATCAGAACCGATCGTTTTGGTAAGCTGAAAGCCAGTAAAAAGGAAATTGAGGCCGTTTAAGTGACTGAAATATTCGGGTACCAAATTAATTTGCTTGGGGCCGCAATTGAGGCTAGGTTGATCTATTACTATGACTGAGCCCTAAGTTGTTCATGATATAGGAAATGGGGATTCAAAAGGTCGGCGGCCTTTTGAGACGTGCAACAGTCGGAGCAGCTGCTTTCTAAGTATAGAGGCACGTGTATATGGAGAAGCAAAATCTGGGATCCATGGAGCTGGCTAATCATACTATAGTACGAATCATTCTGGAAGTATCAGTGGCGCGTTGAATCACAGTGTGCTGGTCAAAATGTGCATCTTTTATCTTTTCATATGCATCTGGAAAGTGTTCCATTGCCGCAAGATTTTATGCCCGGTCGATATGGTTATCCAACAAACTTTTCATTGTCGTGATTGTTCGAAATAAGTTCACAAGTGGATTCATCTCGTCTAGAAATCCAAATGCTGATCATGTAATATTCAATTGATATTGAATGATTAAATCGAACGCACGGTATGGAATCATGTCAACGATCAGAAATTGGCAATCAGATCATAGTCGAGTCATCCAGTGTTTGATCTATGGATGGCTTCATCAACGACTCGAGTGATCGGTAAAAAAAATACAATGTTGCATATCTCAAAGGCTACTGACCTTCACTAGCCTGTCACATCTCTACTGCACTCCACTCGCCACGTTAGAATTTTACTCTAATATAAAATTACACTTGTACTTCGAGAACGGAAAATGACTATGCTACGACATGCAACAAATGTTCTCTTGCATTGGCTACCCAAGCTAGATCAAGCAATGTAAATGATTGTTGCATATCTTAAAAGGCCCCCGACCGCCTCTCATTTCCTTTCTCCGTATAATTACTCTGCTCATCAATAAAAACAAAATATCTAAATTAAAATTGCCAAGAAGGCCGTCGAAATAACCTTTATGGTGGCTGTGGCGGTAACTCCCACCCACTCAACCGGGTATCAAATCCTACATCACAAGAATCTAAAAATAATTCCTTTCCTCAATCACTATCTCGAAAAAGCCCGACTGTTAATGAGGCAACATCTGTCATCGAGCTTGGTAGACAGAAAAATTGTGACGATCTCGGATATGAGCGCGATGTAAGCGCCGCGAATAAGATCTGCGAATTCTCAGTTCATTTTGAACCCGTAGTGTTGAATTATGTGATTACACGGCCCATTTAGAGACCGTAAGTGGGATTGAGCTGAAGCCTTATATGCGACCTGTTCCATTTTTAAAGGAAATTCTTTGTATTCCGTGTGTATTACTTTGGGCGATGATGGGCACTGATGTTGATGGATTTTTAGTAAGGAGTCATGAACTGGTTATTAGAAGGTCACTGGCCTTTTCAGATGTGCAAAATTGTGTTTCTTTGAAAGAAAGAGTCTTTCGGTATCTGCTAATTTGTTTGGAAATAGGATTTCTGGGGAAAGTTGATCACTAGGAAAACCGTGTGCGTCTAATTGGTCTTTTCAAATCTCTCGTATTTTGTTCAGAGCATCAAACAATATTATTTTCTTAACACATACAATCTGATATTTAAATTCCATAATAAATCGCAGTAATATACCTCATAGTTCACAGGCTTTAAACTAAAGCTTTTCGTCACGAAAGTCCGTAAAACTATTAAAAGCCTTCCGACCATCATCGAGACCAGCCGGCCGACTATGCAGCCATTGTCATTTTTACATCACTTGACATTATACCCCACTTTTCCATAAGTCTCAGAATAAATCATCGCAGTATTTGACTGCCACTTATTGAATGGAGCTTTGATCTTCTGAAGAGGTCGCCAGTATTTTGAGACGTGCAACATTAGGGCGTTTGTTGTTAGGTTCTATGATGATGTTTTGTGGACTATGGCATGATAGGGCGCGAGTGACCGATTCTAATGCTACTGGAGCTTCTACCATGATGGTGTATGTGGGTCGGCTTCTCTCGCTAGCAGTTCATTGCAGTACCAGGTAGATCAGTTCAATGGGTGAGGTACCTCATTTTCATTTTCCCCTGATGGTAAGATTACATTGCAACTTGCACTCTATTACTGTTATCACGATTGTAGGACTCACCGGTTCTCTCCCTCCTTTTCCGCAGCGATGTTTGAAAAGCTTTTCGATTTTGATTATAAGGGGTCATTACTTCTATTTTCCCATTTTCCACGAGGTTCGGGATGCATTCCATCCAGATGTTAGTTGCACAAGTTCCCTCTAATAATTTACTCACGTGATGGCTTTTATATTTACTATCCGTCTTCCATTAAACATTCCATCATCCTTTGTTCATTCTTATAGTTTTCCGCGAAATGATCTAATTTCTTGCATTGCGTCATTTACAAATCATAATGCATATTATTAGTTCAAAAGTCACTCTCTAGCTCTAGTTTCATCTAACCCACTCATTCCATTTCTCCATAACCTACATTTCAGTCTACATTCAATTTCCATACTTATCCCATCCACAACATCACTTGCACAAACCAATATCGGTTTCCCCGGCCTTTATCTATTCTCATCCCCTTCACACATACACCGTTCCATTATTCCAACATCAAGCAAATCTGTTCACAGGCTCGGATTCTGTCCCGAATGATCGAATCATACTTCATGACCTCTGTTCCTCGCTTCTTTCTTTATTTCTTCCTCTTCTTCATCTTGTAAGCCTCGAGGCTCCTTTCTTTCTACCTCTTGAATTCCTTTCTTCTCAAACCCTCGGTACCTCGGACTTTATCATGTAATTCCGCGACCAGCTCACCGCAGCTCTTTCACCACTCTATCCGTTCTTCCGTCATAAATTACCTCGACTTGGTTCCTTTAAACTCCCTGATAAAGCAGCAAGTATCTAAGATCCCTTTGTCCTCTTATTCCCGAACGTTCCTGATCATTGTTTTCAAAGTGGTAAAGCAGCAAGTTTCCACTACTTCTTTGTATCAATTCTAGATTCATGTCAGACGAGCTCGTCAGACGGAAACTTTGGAGTCGGACATAGAGCGTAATGTGCGCGTGTGCGATGGATCTGGAATTTCAGAATCAGGGGAAAGAGATGCTTCTTTGTTGAGATGAGATGGGAGATAAGAGTGGGAAGGGACTACGTAGATGCGGCCGTAAGGGAGATAGTCGGAGGTCGGATTCATGAGGTCGAGAGGTGGAGGTCTAACGTGATGGGGGAGATTGTGGGGGATGAGGTGATTGAGAGTCGAGGTGGATAGGTAGGTTTTCTTTATTGATGGAGGTAGTTATTGAAACCCGAGTATTTCTCGGAGTCCAACTGTGAGGTATCAAATAGAGTCATGCATGATGTGATAGTTGATGAGTGAGCAGTGTACCATATGAAATCTGTAAAGGTCTTAGACCAGGCTAAAGCGATTGCAATAGAAACAATCCCAAATTGGTAGATGTGAAGTTATTCGCAACCATTAAAGAGGAGATTATCACTCGAGGTAGTCCGAAGCGAGAGGAATCAATTCCTAGACATATTTTTCCCATTTTCCTAAGGTTGTTTACCTACCTAGTTCTAGGAACACACCAATCACTCAAGTTTCTTTTCCAGTTGATCCACGTGCATTCTTCAATCCTTGAAGATATTATCGTGGGTCAGTGCCTCCCGATTTATCATGATCGCAGTCTCTTTGTTTGATTTTTACCCTTCACTGGCGGATAGCTAGTTGCAGTAGCTACATATATAAATCCGAGATACGTGAGAACGACCAGTTCCAACCATCGTCCCCTTAAATACACCTTCAAATGCTCCTTCATCTCCGCAAAGCCAACTCTACAATTCTGAAACAGCAAATCATCCATCTCATACTCATAATGTACCCTTGCTTCATCTCACCCATCTTTCATCCACCTACCACCCGAACATCAATCCGTAAGATATAAATCGAAAGTTTCTCCCTCCAGTATCCAAAAACATCATCACCTTTGGCGGAGTGGTATTGAATATTGCTTAATATTGGAATGATGCGAATAGGTACAATGGTCCACGTTGATAGTGGAACGCATTGGGAGATTAAGCCAATAGGCTGAACTTTTGCTATTTTTGGTTCTGAGGTGGAGAGTTGTTATTAAAAGAATGGGAGGAGGTATTTTTTTGCTTTGGGGTTTTGTGGATGGAAGTGGATGGGTGGACTGGAAGTGGGGCGTGAAGGTGAATGGAGATGGTGAGATGAGATGAGATGATAGATGGGATGACAGTGAATGGGATGAATAGGTATTTTGGGGGATAAGGTGGAGATTTGGTGAATGATGATGGATGGATGGATGGATGGATGGATGTGAGATGAGTTACTTAAATGGGTTTGTGGAGGCATGATCAATGAATTATGGTAGAAGTTCTGTTGCACTTCTGACAAGTCTCAAAAGAGCGTTCAATCTACTTCATGGGAGACAACTTACAACTTCACTTCTACGCTACCACTGATAGAGCTGGGCTTTTATGCGACAGATGTTGGATATAAAATTAGGAGTCTCCAATGGTTACTTGCTCTCAATCTACTTGCCTTATTTGCCATAGCATCATCTTCCTGAGCAAACCCGGAGAAGTCTCTCGTGCATGCTCCTAGTATAACTCCTAGATTTAGAAGGATTCATGCACCAATGTGTCTTTCAGCCCAATTTGAGGGTATCATAAAGTTTTTAATCCCCTTCAAGGGATTGAACCTCATTCAAGCATTTTTCTGCTCTCGATATTCACTCTACTCTTGTCAGTTTCTTGCACACAAAATTTCAGCATGAACATCAGGAATACAAAAGATACAAGCATCATGATACAGAATCTACAATTAACGTTAACCTATACTCCATCTCTATGCTACCAACTCTATTATTATCCATCTCGGATTCAGGTATCTCCTCTCGTGATCATAAAATACTCCCACAAATATACTCTGCACCTCACAGAGCCCCCAAATTCTAATTTGCTCGAAACCTAGCTTCCTGTCCATCCGTCCAGCCACTGATATCCGTCACTTCGTAAGGTTCTCTTAAAGGAGTACTTCCCAGAGAAGACCCATCACTGAGCTCCGATGCGTCCTCAACAAAATCTGAAGTTTCTTCTTCTTGCAAATGTGTCGTGTCACTGACACACGAGTCCTCAGAAACAGAAGTCTCTCGCACAGACACCGTCTCCTCCACATTCCCATCGTTCGAAGTATCCCTCAAAGAAGCCTCATCACCGAGATCAAAGACCTCAGCAAACTCCGGCAAAGCTTCTTCTCGAAAAGATGGTGTATCACTGGCATAGGAATCATCAGAAGCGTCTCGCACAAAAACCTTCTCCTCAATCTCCCAATCACTCGAAGTATCCCGCATCGACTGTTCGTTATCCACCATAACAGGATGTTCAGAAGGTTCCTGCAAGAACATCCTAGGAATTCTCGGTGCCAACTCAACTACAGGAGATGGCGCTCTCTCAAACGGATCAAAAGTTCTGATCTCAAGACTTCCATCCTCTTTCGTGATCAACAGGGTCCTCTTCAAATACCCACGAAGCGTACTATCATTCCCCGCCATAAACGAAATGATCAATCTGAGAGTCAACGAAGATTTCGCATTCATATAGGCAAACAACGCAAGCGCATCAACCAAGACCGGATCCCCCTCAAACTCGGTATCCAGATCATTGAATTGTTGCTCCCAATTCTCCACCAGCAATTGCTGATTCAAAGGATTATTTTGCAGAATACATAAAACGAGTTGGCGAAATACATATCCGGGAAGAAGACGCAGCGCCGCGACAATTCGGCTCATGGTGGTTTGTCTCTCTTCTTGTCGCGCGACCATTTCTGCTTGCATGCGTTCGGATCTTTGGCGGATGCTGGAGATGTCGAGATTGCGGGTGGCAATGAGATGCGCGATGACATATTCAAGTTCGTCGATTTGGAGTTTTGCGGCTGGTTGGTTTGTTAGTATTTTTACTTTTGTTTGAGGGGTGCCACATACCAGAAGCGATCACTCCACGTCCGGCGGCTGTACGTGCCATCTTGTATAATAGATTTGATGACTTGAAGGTAAAAGTTGATATTGCACTGAGAAAGATGCCTTATTGACGACCTAAATATGTTTTCTGTAGATGTGACCTGAAAGCTCAATTTTTGTTGTGTGATCTGTGTTTGAGGTTGTGGAGGGTAAGATGAAAACTCGAGAAATTTTCAATCTTTAAATAGGTATAATAATGAATTTGTGTATTGGATCCAGCAGCTCGGACTTTGTTGGGAATTTTACAGTTGATATTCACTTTCATCCTGTCACTAACAATCTCAATACTATATTAAACATATTATGCTGTGCAAAGGACATAGATGTAGATTTGTTTTGTAATGTAGTCAACTGTGCCGCATCTTTCATAAATCTAACTGTCAGCATCGCCTTTGTGATACATCTTTCTGGCCATCACCAGGAGTCTTCCGCGCAGTAACAAGAAATATCATTCATGTAGACCAAACCAAACACAAAGATTCTATCCAGATGGATGGTCTTTGATGGTATCCAGCTCGAACTTGCGAATTGCAGATGTGCCATCCTCTTGTTCAACCAACAACTTCTTCTTCAAGGATTCCTCGATGAAACCACTTTCAATAATCAAGCGTCTGATTATGATATGGAGATATAGAACATCACATTCCTCGATCCATTTTTCATATTTCGTATGATACAGCTTATTCCCAGGTCCACTCTCCATCATTTGCGGTCTCCAGTACGTTACCATCCATTCCCTGACGACGAGATTCTTCTCAAGGATTTCTATGATAATTTGTTGAGCTTGATAAAGTGAAAGGCAGTCAAGGACTTGGAGTAGAGCTTCTAATTCCATTCTCTCTCTCTCTCTTGAATGTCATTGACACCGTTGTGAATATTGTTCATATCGAGTTTGTTGTCCTTGATAAGATTTGCGACGACCCTGCAAAGCTGACGTCTAGGACAATCCACTAGTCATATATTTAGCAGTTACTTGGATTGAAAGTTCTAGGAAGTATACTAAGCAAGATTGAGATTGACTTGGTCAAGTCCAGGAGTGGTGCATGATGAGGCAGACTTGACTTCAGCGTGATTGCAAGATAGACTTATCATGATTGGAGTTTCCCGCTCTGATGGTAGCGGAAACTGTGATTGATTGTTAGCAAATACTTTTAGCTCGATTTTATGAAAGTACATAGCAGTTTGGCACTGATTCATATGAAGTTGATATGAAAAAGAGAAGGTGAAAGCGTTTAGAGAGTGCGACAGCAATATCTATTGAGCTCGATGTCTGGCGGCAAGCTAAGCTAAACCAAATTGGAACAATCTTCGCCTTTGATACTCACCTTGAAAATATCTTATTTTAGTTCATGGGAAGTCATACTCTACACCTAGGTAGGTATGTAAATGATCTTGTCTATATTCAGATCTACACGAACAGTGGATAAAGTAACATTGAGGTCATAATGTATCGAAGAACGAAGAGCTTCGAATTTGGTTCGGCCAGATGTGGTTGTCAATTTGGATATCTAACCTACTTATTAATGATTAGTCGGCGTTGAATACCACAGCACAAAACTATTCATTGATACAGTGATCTCTCATCAATTATCCCCTCTCCCACCCCTCTACCAAATCTTCCCCTAAACCCCCCATCTCATCCTAATAACCAGCCCCCCTCATCTCACCACTCAACTCCTCCACACGCTCCACCACACCCCATCCACAAAGTTTCTCACCTCCCACCTCCCATCCTCACGTTTCTTCAACAACAACCCCGTCAACAACCCCCTCACAATCCTATTCCCTACCACCAAATCCCCCACCACATCTCTCCACCTATACATCACCACCTTCCCCTCTCTCCTCTTCACCTCCTCGGCATCATCCAGCAAATTCTGCAACCACAACCTAACCCAGCGATTTTGACTCAGGAAGATACCAATTTTCATGACTTCCTGCGAGGAGAATGTATCAAGTGTCTTCAAAATGAGATATTGTCTTATTGATTCTTCTCCTGTGGCGATTCTAATAAAATCACTGTCTGGATTAGGGATGCCGCTTGCGCGCTCGTTGATCTGAGAGAGGATTTTGTTGTGGATTTCGAGGTAGAGGAAGTATTCTTCGTCTTTTTGGCGGGTGGTGAGGAGATTTGGGGGGGAGGGAGAGGAGGATCGTACTCTTTTAGGTGATGGAGGTTGAGATCTGGATGGTGAGAAAGAGGAGGATGAGGACCAGGATGATGATGATCTGGTTCTTGGTGGCGATGGAGGCACTTGCTCGTTCTGATAATAGGGGCGTAAAGTAATCGAGCTTACATGAGCGCTATGGGGCCAATTATTCGTGTTGTTCTGCATTGTGAAATGCTTTGATGGATGTTGCTAATCTGCGAAAAATTGGATGTAATCAGATATTAGACGCGGATGCTGTTGGATGCCGCTGATATGAACGAAGTAGAATGGTTTCTGAAATTTCGATGTAGAGAAGGAAATTAGAGAGATATTTAAAGACTTTTGGGTCAGAGACTACTAGGATTATACTACGGTAAAACAGCCAACTCGAGTATTATTGCTGTACTATTGTATGTGGTCCAGGAAAAGGATACCACCGTACATACTCATTCACACCGAGATCTCAAACTTCGGTATGGTAGCTTGGCTGGAGATCTTGTGACAATAGATCTCATCTGACAATGCTCGAGCAGAGATAGTGAGAAATCAAGAAAGCGACCTGCTGACTATCTTTCGGATGGACCAACATGTCGAGGTCCTAGAAGGTTTGATGAACTAAGAGACCCTAATGAAAGATTGATCGCAATGAAAGAAAATCTCAACGAACCAAGCAAAAGTGAAACACACAAAGAAATTGGAGAATGTCAAGAAGAAAGTACACGATCCTTAAGATTTGAGTCCCCAGAACTACCAATTCGAAGCTATCACCAATTGCCCACATCCAAGCCAGAACCACAATCTCCTCCAAACTCCAAACTCAATCTCTATCCAATATTTATCAAACCCACTCACCACCATGCAATCCCTACTCAACCCCCCAATCGCCCCTCTCCCTCCCCCTCCTCGTCCTCCTCCCATAGATACCTAGCCTAGTATCTCAAAAATTCGGGTACAAAGTCACTGTTAAGTCTAGGTCCCTATCTAGTGAATGACATAGACAAACACATGATTAACCCCTATATAGGCATTGATCTTGTAGGAAGACCTTTCTTCCTTGGCATAGTTCATTGATCGAATTTTTGATCTTTGAAGCTATTCCCATATTGCTCCTCGTGAAGCGCGTGACAGTCATCGCTAAATCATCTATCTCTACAAGATCAAGAATCCAGAACATACACAACATAGAATCAACTCAACAAAATTGCGCACATCCCGCCATCCCATCCCATCCCCATATCTAAACTTTTTGCTCTCACAAACAAGTCAAAACCTACAGATACAAGACAACCCCTACAAATTTCACCATCCATCTCACATTCCAAATGACGATATCACATAATGAAAAAAAGGAACAAATACAGTCTGAAAGAAACCGAAAATAATATCAAATTGACTCAGTTCGAAGAATATGTTTGAAGATACTCATCCACCAACTGCAAATAAATGAAGGAGATAATACTAAGTAATCCACAAAACATATTACTGCACGGAGTGAAAGGAATATATCTAACCAAACTGAAGAGCAGAAGTCTAATCGAAAATAGATACACGCATCTCACCAAAAAAAAAGAGATGAAAAAACTAGAAAAAATAAGCGACTACACCCCCCTTTCAAACAAACAAACAAGCTCAAATCCATCTGTATCAACCACTTACCAGAATACGTCAGCCCCCCCTTCCCCTCAACAAACAAAGATAAAGACGTCACCTAACCCTACGAGACCGTCCCCGTCACTCCACTCCCTCACCCCACTCTCAACCTTCTAGAAGCGAGAAGCAAGCCGCTCCTTATTCCGCGCGCGGCTAAAATTGTCGATTCGTTCTTATCCACAAATCCACATGTCTATCTATTGCATTCCATCCCGTCACAATTCATCGCATCACATTATATCGTATCGTATCAACAAAGCCCCCTTCGCTTTCTCTTCCTTACTCTTCCCCCTGCCCTCCCTGTCGCCACTCCCCATTCTCGCATCTGCCCAACTAAACCGCCAAAACCCATATAGCATCAACCCCCATACCCAAGCCTCCACCAAAAAGCCCTTCCGTTCAACCTTCCAGAAGCTTCACAGAACCCTAGCACAAGAATAATCATACAACATCTCACCTCAACTCAGGTCCCAACCCCCCTCCCCGATCTCCCGAGTTCCGAGTCAACTACCGACGATCGCGCAGACAATGTACTTCATAAGTAAGAAGGGTCTTTCTTTCCCGACTCTCTCACGCATGCATGTATGCATGATCACCAAACCGAAGATAGGACCCCTGATTTTGAACCCCTAGATTTCCCATCTACCCTTTAGATTTCATCGGTCTCGTGATTTTGATTTATGAATTTTCCGTAGGTAGGGGTCCATTGCGATGGGATGTGATACAATTCAAGAATATGAAAATTGAACAATGACTCCAATCCTGCATAATTAAATTACATCAGGCTAGCATGCCTAGCTACCTAGTATCTACCTGCCCACATGGAGCATCTTCGGGATTGCCGCGCTCATTGACTATTATCCGATTATGAATCAAATACCATGAAATCATATAAATACGTAGGAGAGTAGAATATATTTACAGTCACAGTGACAGTGGAGTAAGTAAATTAGTCAATTCAAACATCCTCACGAGAAGGAATATATGTATGCATTCCACTCCTCCACAAATTGAAGGAATCAAATGTAGGATGAGGTGGAGAAACTATCCATCGTCGTCTAAAACCCAACCAATCAATGACCAATCGGACAGATGTGACATGAGGGAACTACAGCATGTGATTTTTATGTATTTATATACGGGTTGGAGATGGATCTTTGGTAATCAACTGTGATACTCGTAAAATTATATAAAACTTAAATGTAAGCAGTTGGATGAGATGAGAACAGATAGACAGGAACGGGAAATTGACTCGGAGAATTGATTCGAGTTTAGTACTGCCGACGGTGATGATTATGAAAATGAGGATGCTGAGGTGAGAATATAATCGAGTCCTAATCGTATAGAGGTTGAAGGGGTAAGTAATATAAAACGCACCTAAATACATCTCCACTTTAGACCTTTGAATAAATCAAATTACAGTACTAGTTGAAAATTTATATAATAAACTCTAGATGATGAAAATATTATAAAAGTTATATTTTATTTACATTTTATTCAAAATCACTAATTTTTTATTACATTCTAATTCGAAATATTATTTAGAGTTTATTTAGAATCTATAGAAAGCTTTAAATACTTTGAATACTTTGAATACTATAAATTCATTAAAGTTGATAAAAAGCAAATAAAAACTTCAAATATCGAATTTTAAGAGGAGAGTAGTTTATTACCTATTCAATTCACTTAAAGTAGTAATAAATTCTATAAAAACAGTAAGATTTTATTAAAAGTGAGATTGACATCACTTACTCATATAACCTCTATAGATGTTTATTTACTCCGAATATCTATGTTCGAACTTATAATGGCCGAGACGGACATTTGTCTCGACAGCCGAGGAAACATCCAAATGTATCGGAGATGAATGAATAATCACAGAAAGAAATAAGTTATACCTAGTAAAGTATATGCATATGTAACTTGAGTTACCGAGACAACGAGAATGTAAGGTGAGAAGTACCTACTCATGTGATGTCATCACATGGTCATTGAAACTCATCATGATCTACTCAGTAGTCTAGCTACCCTACCTTACCCCTCTTCTCGAAACTATCAATTAATGCATCAAAAAGGGGAAAACCTTCTTCCCACCGCCTCGCGCTCCTCATCAGAAATGCGGTTTCGATCGGTCTTCACTCGAAGCCGCTAGAATCGACTGCGCAAAGATCAACTATCTGGCCACTACTGTGACACCCAAGATCGAACGATATATACATTCCCATCACAAACCCCTCGAATCCAAACTCCCGCCAGAACTGCAAACCGAAGATCGCCTTACCAACCATCCAAGCGAGATCAAGCAGCTTATTTAGGTACTTACTTAGAGACCGAACCTGAAAATCATGACACATTTCAATCCCAATCTGTACCAGTGAAGCGTACCTGAAATCTTCACATAGCACGCGCAAAATTATTTCTGCAGCGGAATATTATCTAGTTAGCAACCAGTCAGGTACCAAAAAAACACGAAGAAACACGTCTTGCTTGTTTCTAGTAGGTGTGAGTGAATACATCCATACATCTCTTAGTATGCGCGGGTACATTGTGCATCTAGAGGATGATACATGTGTACGCATACGCATGTGAAACCCAGAAACAACGACGGGCGTTGAAGTTTACCAATTGGGTATCGAGATGTCATTTATCGGTCTGTCTTGCATTTGATATTGTGTATTGTTTTCTCTCCGTTCTGAGCCAAGCGTCGTGATGAGAAGGTTGTACAGAAATGGTTATTTTGAGCGGTCTGGATTAAGGTCGGTTAGTCCTCCTGCAGGCTTGGGCGTGAGCGGGTCGAATGGAAAATTGTAAGGAGGGCGTATACTCCATGCAATTTTATAGATGGGAAGCGCCCAATGGTCTTCCTTTATCCCAACCTTCCATTCGGCATCCACGCCGATATGGAGCCTATTTCTCAGCCCTCTTTGACCATTCCATTCCAAGCAAACTCTAATAAAGATAAACGATTCACATCAATGATTATTCCTTCACCATCAACAAGTCAAAGTCAGCAAGCGCAAGAACGGAAATCAAGACATCCCAAACGCCGTACGGCCGTCCGTCCATATCCATCTGCTCTCTATAGCATAGACCAATCCCAAACCCCCACCTCGCACACACTTTCAGCCGGCGACCCCGAAACCCTATTCATCCTTTCCATCCTTCTCTTCTCTTTCTTCTCTTCCTTCCAGTTCCCACGAGTCCCACGACCCGGTCCACTCTAAGTCTCTAACCCAGCCCAGCCAGCCCAAGCACACATCGCCACTCGGGATTTTTTCAATCGAATGATCAATCACTGTGACACCGACCGAGTAACGAACCAAACAGGGATGTGGTAAATTAACCCCAATAAAGTAATACGCTAGAAGGCTGACAACACGATGGAATAAATGAAAGAATACGTGTGGCGCTCTTCTAGAAGCTTTCCTGTTGGGAGAAATTTTCTTTCACTGGAACGAGAAGGGATATTTGCAGAAGGGTGTGGGTGTGTGTGTGGTATGGTTGTGATGAGATATTGATGGGAAGATGGCGTGGAAGACCTGGTAGAAAGTTCTTTTCTTTTCTTGAGGTGGGTGGCATTTTACACCTCCTTCCCTACCGCTAACGCAATGTAATATAATGTAATGATAACAATAATATAATTAATGTGAGAGAATGGAAGATTGAAAGAAACTTCCATTCGCCTTCTAAAGCTACAGAGTGCCACAATTTGATAATGGTGTAACTAAGTATCACACCACACCTTTCATTCCCATTTATTCATCATCGTCATCACTATGCATAGATGCATATTGGATATGCATGTACATATGCAACCACACATTCCATTCCTTCTAGGCTCTAGCAACCTACTAGGTAGGTAGGTAAACACAGCGATCATCACTCTACAGAAATAAATTCATCGATCGGGAAATAGATAGGTTAGCATCTCGACACAAGACACCAAATGACCATACCAAACCTGACCAGTCCAGTCCATAAGAAAACCGAGCCGCGAGCAAAAAAAATTCGAGAATTGAATCAAAAATCAGACAGAGGAAAGTATACAAGCATGTGAGATCCAAGTCATCAGTGATCAGTTTGAGAGACCTCACATTTCCTCCGCATCCCCCTTCTAAGCGATCTAGACATACCAGCCGCCTGTCTCTCCATCTCCATCTCTGTTTCGCCGCTGAAAGTTGAAACAGACTATTAAAATCTTTTCAGCATGTATCAGCTCCTCCTTCCGCTGAACTTCCTTTCTTTTTCCGTCTGACAGCTTGGCTGGCTTTGTTTGAGGTTGGTTGGGAAACCTGGTTGTTTTCAAACGTTCTATTTCTCTTTTTCTTAATGCCTATACGCGGCTCGGTTATCTATCTCTAATACATAGACAGGCTCTTGGTATGGATCAGCATCGTCCATCCTGAAAATCTTGAAAATCCCTCGGTAGTCTCTAGTTTCTAGTATGTCTTGTGTTGTATTGAAGCTCAAACTCACGGGGTATGTATGATATGGTATATTTGCATAAACTGCATCAACTATAATAATCTATATCCTGGGCGAAAGAAAAGAAAGAAGGATGATGGTCGATATATAATATTACATACTACTTAACAAATCAAAAACATCCCTATATCCCAGAACCCTCTCCTCTCCGCTGTTTGAACTGGGAAATAGGAAACAAAAGAAGAAAGAGACAAGGGAGAGGAAACGGAAAAAGGAATATCTGATATATGGAATATAATAAGTTATAGAATATGAGCTTTCTATGCGTATAGTGCATGTAGTATACTTTACCACGGAAATGGTCTTCCGATTTTGAGGGGGTGGATGGGTTAGGGATGGTGAGATTGATACTGGGTGTTCGTACATTAATTACAGCATAGCATAAAATAAATCAGAAAATAAAATATAAATACCCGTGATCACTGATTAGATTAGTCAAATCACACTGATCATCCATCAAATCGGAATTAACTGAGTTACGAGTTTATTCACCTACCTTCCTGTCTAACACATATACACGAGAGCCAAGAAATGGAGGTAGAGACAGAAAGGAGGAGGTGTGACTACGGGGTATAGTTCCGAGGATGCGAGATGCGAGATGCACGATACGAATGCAGGCTGAGAAATGCGGAGGAGGAGGAGGATGTAAATTTGTCGCGGAATCTTTCTTCCTGTGGATAAATGCGATTGATTACTACAGTACAAACTACCAACAGAGCCGAGATATCATATCATATCATCTCTGCCGCTCTGCCGATACTATGCTTTCTACCATCTACTACCAATCTCTAGAGATATCATATCATCTCTGCCGCTCTGCCGATACTATGCTTTCTACCATCTACTACCAATCTCTAGAGATATCAACTCCGTATTTCTGCATGAATCCTCGATCCTCAATCCGATCACAATTTTCCCATGGGAGATCCTAGGTCTGATCAAATACCATTGTAAAAACTACGGAGTAGGTACGATACCAGGGACCAGGTAGTAAGTAAGTTGGTAACTCACCACCCAGAATCTAGAACCCCAAATCCCAAATCTCCATCCGCGCCCAAGCTATCCGTTCATCACCTACCCACCCACGTGCTATCAACTACGGAAACTTAGGAAACCCGCAAAAAACCACAACATTCGTATCCGTGAGATGGGAATTGTGGAATGTGAGGGAGGGGGGGAGAATGGCATTTTTCTACTCGGTATTGTATTATTTTTGTTTTCGACTTTTGGAGTATTTAGATAGGTATGTATGTATGTATGTATGTATGTATGTATGTATGTATGTATGTATGTATGTATATATAACTATATATATAATATACGAGTATATTATATTCCTTATAGATTACAAATTGTAAGTAACGAAATACATTATAAGTAACATCTACACTATAACTCTAATAGAAATGAAAATTCCCTCACATGCCGTTTCTCCATCAACTTGTCTAGCTTTTAGAGCTCAGCTCAGGGATGGACGAGGTGATATGATATGACATGGTGCTTACTTGCTCAACCGCGCAATCTCGTGACCGGGTGAGGTGGATGGCTCGGATGGGTAGGAATGAGATACCTAGGGATAGCATACTGATCGATACCCTGAGAGTTTCGGAGACGGCTTGGTTGGGAAAGGTATCATCTATTATACATTCATCACATACATTACTCCTACTCCGTATGTGAAGGATTTCTTTTCTTTTTTCTTCTTTCTCTCGCTTTGGAATGGGTTCTGGAATGATCGGGAGTGAGTGATATGTTCTTTTAGAATCTAATTACAGGGAGAGAGAGAAAGATAGAAAATGTGTCTTGGCTAGGGTGGTAGCTAGGGAGATGGATAGATAGGTAAACGAGGATATATTGATCTGTGATGAGCTACCTACCTACCTACCTTCTAGAGATGGTTAGGGCTTGTTTGTGTTACTTGACAACGGGTGAGGTGGGTGGTGACTGGTTTAGCTAGGTATGCTTGTTTGAGGGGAAGGGAAAGGGAAGAGATGTGAAGTAAAGTGAAGTGAAGTCTTGTGAATGGAAGATGGGTGCGAGGGTGTAGACGGGCTGGAAGTTATAATCTACAGATGAGGGGATTGGTTGAAGCGAGATGAGAGTGCTGATGTTTCTTTGATATTTGAGATGGGGGATGCATTGGATGGATTGTGAGATGGGGATGCATTGGATCGATTGATGATGGCGTTTGATGATGGCGTTTGACGACGGCGATTGAGGGGATGTTGTGCATACTTCACGTGATGATGCTCAGATGTCGGGAGATGAGTTGTGAGGGTAGGTGATGATATTGGTAGTGTATGGAGATAAGGGATTGGTTCAAACAACGAATAGACCAGAGATATCAAATTAAAGGCATAAATATCAAAAGCTACCAAATCACACTACACTCCACCAGAACACGATGATAGGAATCGACGATACCACACCAACACCACGGCAGTTCCTCAGGACAAGTCCCACGACACCGGTAGATGAAGGTGAAGAACCCCCAACCCGTAGGACGTGGGAAAAGTTAATTAAATAAAATGAGGGGTTAAACCTTGAGTGTGTGTGGCTCAGGGTGATCAGAAGACGGTGATTAGATATCGAGATGATGTGATGATCTTCACGACTATCGGACTGGGTGGAGGGACTATGAACTGGTTTCCATGATGGGGAAAGGAATGTAGCTCCATTAGGGTCATGATGGACGCGCAACGTCAGTGTACGCCGTCTGTACGTATGATAATTACCGTTTGGGACGGCTTCTTATCTGTAGTGTGAGACTTGATCGGTAGATTGATTATGAGGTGAAGGTGAAGGTGAAGGTGTTTTATGTTTTGTCATTAGAAGAGGAAGAGGACGAGGAAGAGGAGGATTGGGGAGAGAGTGGCTATGGAGGCATGTTGTGGTTGGTAACTTTTGCGAGGGATATCACGGAACTTGCCTTGTGTGATCTGTAGGAGGGAGGAGAAAGGGTTTGGACAATGTCGTGTGGTTGGTGATACAATTACTTGCGTGTTTCCAACAGAGAGATCTCTGGAGCTGCTGGAAAGTATGGAAAGAACGCCACGATTTGCATTTGCCATAGGATGGTGTAGCATCAACGGTCCTGGGAAGATTGCAAGCATTGCATAGCCTTCTCAAACGCGGCACACCCATCAAGAATCATCCTTTCAAGTATTCGGACATTTTTGGACAGATCATTTTCAAAGCTTCACAGCTCCAAAAGGGGGGGATACCCTAGTGAGGACTTTTTACCTTTACATCATGCCACAGATTGTGATTGTGATTGTGCTTGTCCTTGCCCCTTGCCCCTTGCCCAGCCATGCCCAGTTATCCTCCTAATGCTTAATAATGAAGATGCATTATTATTTTTTCCCTCCGATTTCCATCGCGCAACACCATAAGCATCAAATCATTCGAATGATGGAACGATTTGTCGATTAGTGTTAGAAGAATCCATGTATGCCAACGTGCCAAGAGGAAATCAAGAATCGAGAGCTAGGCCAAGAATCTCATTAAGTCCGTTGGATTGTTGGTTGCTGCTGATAAACCTGGCTATATCCATGTAGAGTAGGAGGTGAAAACGTACGAAGTACAGAGTAGACAGTTGTTTTCGTGAGGGGATGGAAAGCGTAACGCGTGGCTGCTTTAATGATTGATTCAAAGAAGCATCTGTGGGCGTCGACACTAATCCTAAACCGGATGTGAGCGCATGATGCAAGTGTGTACTATGGACAGACGGTGATTGGATGATGAGCGATACGCTCAATGGATTACCCAAGAATACGACCATCTGATTCGATGGCGGGGAGCGTGGCTATCAAATCTTCTAGCGCGTTTCTAGCGTGATGGATATTTATTATTCCCCTTAGCTTGATCTCTCTCACTCGCTGTTTTTAACTTTGCCTACCTCGAGTCTACGTAGTACGGTAGTACCCAGTATGACCACGGGTATTTATTAGTGGATTTCAATTCCGTCTCAGATTCGTAAGGTGACTAGGATCATAAACTCCCACCGTGGAAGAAGGTTAGGGGAGAAGTTCCAGAAGTTCTTTTCTTGGTGTTTGATTATTTTCATCACAACCCAGGAATAATAAAGATTGAAATAAACGACCACAACCATCGGTATTCGAGTGTGATATGTGAACATCACATATGAACATCATACCAGGTCGTCGTTATTGAATCGCCAGATAGTTAGTTTCCAGATCACCACCAGAGAATAGAATATCAACCGTCTGGTGCAAAACCCCCAATCAAGCCAAAAGAAGCAAAAGACACCTTTCACCTCTCACACACTTCACATCTAAACATTTCACATCTAAACATTTCACATTTCACATTTCATCCTTTCATCACGGCATCCGATCAATATATTTATTATCAAGCCTCACTCACTCACTCTGTCTCTCTTTCACAACATGACTTAAAACACACGAACGGCGGTGCAAAGGAACCCACCCAGCCACTGGTATTCACAATCAGTCACTACCAATCTTTGTATCACTACTTCCGTCACTGTTGATCCACTTTTTGAAACCCGCCCACGAGTAAGAGGTCTCATTCGAATCAACCTTGGACCCACCCACCCCACTCACACACCCACATATCCACCATCACTGGCCACTTTTCACTCCTCTCTTCTCTGATCGGTGCAGTGCAAGCAAGACAAGGCCACACATCAAACCATACCAGACCATACCAGATCATACTATACCATACTATACCATACTATACCACGCCTTTCTACACTTTTCACTTTTCCAACTTCTCTCATTGGGAATTTGATTCTTCTTTACATACATATATTATACAGAAAACAATCACTCATCAATCATCAACTCGTCAATTCCATCAATTACTACCACACCTCCACACAATTCCTCTCCTCTGTATCTCTTTCATAATTCATATATATTCTTCTTGGCCAGACCCAACCTCGTATTCAAACTGCTCCTCTCTTCTACCCAAAAATTGGTCCAACTTCCCAACTAGCATCACTTTGGTCTACCGAATCCCGATGCTATCTAATACCTATCCAATCCAATCCGCACAGAAGCATCTCTCTTGACTGACTCCACTCATCTCACTCCCCACTCCTCTTTGACTCCACCATCCACACCATCCCTATCCTTTTCTGGAACCACCAAGGATCATGGTTCTGATTGCGCTTTGAATATTGGAAAGGGAAAGGAAAGAAGCAGCAGCAGCAGTCAGGGAAGAGAAGGGAAACTCTTCTTGTGATGCTAATTCTTTTAGTGGAAATCGATCCATAATTCTCACTTTATCTTCGCTTCTACGAATCTTCTACCGCCGCCATTTTTACTTTTTGCTCTCTGGTGTACCTAGGCAGTAGGAAATCGTTCATATTCACATCCATCCCGTCCTTGGTTACTTATTATTTACCGTTGCTCGAACTCTTTTTTATTATAATTATCATTCTCCAAGCGAATTGGTTCAATTGCTAGATCGATTCCACTATTATTAATCAGAGAGGGCGGAGATATTGATCATCGCCCATACTCCGTAGCGTCAATTCGATTATTCAATCATTTTCATAGATAGGTACACCAACATCCACCACATTGCCATACAGAGAGTCGCACATATACACACCACATACACACGAGAACCATCATCATTATCATCATCATCATCATTACCAATTCATCGTCGTCGTCAGACTTTCAATATACACCACACATCAAAACACAACACAACACTACACTACACTACAGTGCACCACAACAAATCATCACCACAATCACAATTACAATCTCTTACATCTCAAGTCTCTCTTTTGGCCAACCACCAATAATAACTTGGACATCGGATCGTATATCCCTCAATCTCGATTCTTCAAACACTAGGAGCTTTTCCGTTCTACATCTATCATCTGGCGCATTCTCAAACTTGACATCTTTGTCAAAGCCCTCACTTAAGCTACAATCTGATTCACAACCCACGTACTCTGGTCCCAACTTCACCGAGGAGATTACGCTGAAAATCTAGATTTACTACATTGTTTCGAAAAATCGGATCACTCATTCAATCGATCCATTTTACTCCTCTTCTATCCCGTCTAATACTTCATTTTAATCTTTGACGTTCTTACTTTGCTGAGACTTCATCCATTCTCTATCCCACAAGCAGCGACGAAAATAAACTTATTTCTAAAGGATTTAAATCTGAGCCTGGTTTGATTATAGAAGGTCACATTTGTATTACTTTAATACGTCGCATTACGAAGAACTTGAAGAAGAAGAAAAAAAAAAGGCTTAGTTTCATTCAGCCTCTCACCATTGCGACCTTAATTCTGACTTCGATACACAACTTTTCCGAACTCCAAAGACTCTTTTCCAGAAGAATATCAATTGCCACGACCTTCTGTGCTTATCCGATTTTTTGTGATTCAATACCTCTTTGAGTGGTTGAGTTATTGGGAAAGTCCCCTGTCAAAATCCGGTACTCTGCGGTAGCCTGCATCCCACCAGATTACGACTGGCTTGCCTTCCACGCAAGCTTCATCGAATCGAGTTACTGTACCTTGCAGCAAACACCTCTTTTGACGACCTGCCTTAGACTAATTTGCTTCTGACAAATGAGCGGCACACAATAGCACTTGCTTTTCTCTTCACACCCGATAAATTCTACGAGATAGAATAAGTGGGAAATTAAATTCATATAGGAGAAAGCAATAAAGTGTACACGTATTACAAATAGTATCCATGAGATACCTTCGAAGCGCGATGCGAAAATCGAAAACAAGAAAGCCTCCCCCACTATACGTTGAAACGTACTCGAGAGAATCATCACCGCGTTGTTCATCCGTTATTTCGGACTGCGACGCGGACGACGAGGGCTTCATGTCGTCGGGAGAATATTTACCGTCGAGTTCGAAATCTCCAAATGTTTCGATCCCACCTGGCCCTTATTGTCCAAGGCGACCAACGTTACAAGAGGTCTTGTCGGATGCTGCACCACCACCATGGACCTTGAGCGCCTTCATGGCATACCTGTCACAAAACCACTGTTTGGAAACTTTAGAATTTACAATGGATGCAACCAGATATAAGAAACATTATCAGGCGACATACGGCCGAGATCCATACTCACCACTATCGCCAGCCGATCAAGATTCCGAATATGTACGAATGTTATGGCGAAAGTTGTTGGATGCATATATTGCGCCAAATGGACCACGAGAAGTAAATCTACCTTCTGATGTTAGGGATCATTTAATACATTTACCGAACACATACGAAGCGCCAGACCCAAGAGAACTGGATCAAGCTGTCAAGATCATTTATGAGCTGATGGATGAATCTGTACTGGTTCCATTCTTGAATTCGATCGCTCCTCCATCACGTGCCTCCGACCACAGCCCGTGGGCCTCGAATGAGTCATTTGTTGACGCTGCTACTATGGCCGAATCATTGGATGAGAGATCCATGTCTCAATCTCGTCTACGCACGAGAAAGGGAAGTCCGCCTCTCAGTGGAGATAAGATGTCTCATTCTTACAGCCTTCCATCCCAACGATCATCTCAGCATCCACATCTTACTGCTGCATTAGGTCGCGTAACTTCTGCTCGCTTGTCAACATTCATGTCTGGCTCCTCGGGAAATTCCTCCATGGAATCCGAAAGTTTTACCGACGATACTGATTCGCCATCTCCAATGGAACCCATAACTCCTCCAACAACCCCACCAACTTCAGATACTGGTTTCGTAAGTGATTCGCCTGGAACTAGCCCACGTCATTCTCGTGAGGGAAGTGTCAGCTGGAAGAAGATGGGTGCGAAACTCGGTTTCAAGAAGAGTCGATCTGCTCATGGATCGACAAGTAGTTCGCGACGCGACAGCGTGAGTGATGATCAAAATGGCAGTCAACCATGACGGGAACAGGTCGCGTCACCACTTTCTGATGCTTTTTCTAATATTCCTTGCTCGATGAATCGACCAATCGAAAACCCCCCGAACAACTCCACCTCGACAAAGAAGGCATCACAGCCTCGCGTCGACGCAACGCTGAAATCACCTCAAGGAACATCACCACATATGGTCGCGCATCCTGGCTCACCAGTTGATGTTTCCGGACGTCGACCGTCGCTCGTTGCAAACCTAGCATCAATGCATGTTGGCAAGGAGAAGGATTTTTCATTTGGGTTTTCTAGGTCCAACACTTGGGCAAACATAGAAGAGGGGAGGAGTATGAGTAGAGGTATTGGAGAGAATGACGTGGCCGCAAAACTGGAGTCAGCTATAAATGAGAAGGAGATGGCCAAAGCCAAAATAATACAAGTTGCAGGCTCGCCGTTTTATATACCAGCGAAGGTGGTTGAACGAGAGGAACCAAGGAAGTCTTCAGAAACGACAACTACCGATCCAGAAGTTCACACGGACTTTGATTTCGAGGGAGATAATGGCACTTGGATTTCAGCACACTCGGAAGCTCACTCATCAAGGACAAGCCTAGCAACAACTTCTTCGTCAACTAGTACAATTATTGACGATCGATCTCCTGATGAGTCTCTATTAGCCGATACAAGCGTTGCGTGTTCTTCAGCTAGTAGTATATATTCCTGTTCAACTGTCAGCACCAATTCTTGTGCAAGCAGTACCAGTACCGATATATATGGTTGGGAAGAAGAACTCAAACGCAAGAGTAGTGAAGGTTCTCCGACATGGGATCACCGAAGCGAGCTTGGAGCTGCTATGAGACGTCTTCCAAGTGGTGGTAGAACAATGGGTCCTCGTACCGAATGTTCCGGAGGAGGTCAACAACTTTCCTATAAACGCGCTGACGGGAAGAGGAAGAGTTTATTGTATCGCGTATTGAATATTTCGTCGACTAAAAGACTTAATGATGAGATACCACCGGTACCAACGATGCCTTCTTTTTATTCGACACCAAATGATGCAGCTGAAAGTGCTTCAACTTGACAAATTTCAATTCTTGAACAATATTTTTATACAACTTTGAAGCGAGATACGAAAACTGAGAAGAGACAAAAACATGGAATGTGGCATATACCTTTTGGAGTTTTCTTGTATTGGGATGGGATTAAGAACTTTTCTGATATTTTTGTGGTTTCAATTTCTTTTTTTATTAGATCAATGTCTGTCACGATAAGGAATGATGAATTAAAATGGCATGGATGGATTGGTTGGGATGTTAACGAAGGGATGGGCAGGCGTAGACTTGGGATTTTACTCTTTCTTGTGATGGAGATGATTATGGGAGGATGATATCAGCATGCATGCATATATGGTTTTTGGGCGTTTTATAATGAGGAATTGGATTGGATGGCATCTTGCAGGGATATCTGCTTGTTATGTGTATTTTATGCATTGCATCGCATTGTTTGCAGGTGGGATTTTATGGATGGATGGGGATGGATTGAGAGGGGGGAGTGAAGAGATGTTTGTACATTTTCGGAGAAGGGGAGGGGAGGGGAGATTAATTTTGAGGATGAGAGGGATGATGATGGAGAAAGAATTGATGATCTCCCAACTCCACTTTATTGTTATTTGATTTGATTTGATTTGATTTGATGTGGTGTATTACCTTGATAGATGTGATGTGATGTGATGGATCACCGAATGAATTGATGTGTACCGTATGGAACGACAGTCTATTTTATAGTCGTTAAATCAACATGAGTATACTGCAACATATATGGAGAGAAAATTTACTGCATTCTACTCTCCTTTCTTTCACTCGGTTACGTGTGAGTTCGTTCGTTGTTGCTGATTAGTTGGCAATTTATCACATCCGAATCAATCAATCATATCACACCAGGATCAATCAATCACAGAAAAATCCATAAATCTACAAACCGAATGAGAGGAAATACAAAGCGAATAGATAGATATGGATTTGATTTGGTGGGGGTGGGGTGGGGTGGTGTGTGATTGTGTTGTTGGGGAGGATTGATTGGTTGAGTCTTTTTATTTATTGATGAGAGGGATTGGAGGGATTTCTTTGGTAGGTTTGGGGGTGGAATGGATGGATGGATGGATGGATAGGTGGGTTAATTCTGTACTTTAGGGTGGTGGAGAGTAGGAGGATGATGTGCTCAGGATGGGTGTTGTACTGTAGTCGAATTAAATTAATTGTTCGAGTTGCTTGGTGATGTTTGTTATCTTTTGTGAGATTGGATTTGTATTTGATGTTGAGTGGATGGATGGATGGGTGTTGGTGTTGGTGTTGGTGTTGGTGTTGGTGTTGATGTTGGTGTTGGTATTGGTGTTGGTGTTGGTGTTGATGTTGGTGTTGGTGTTGATGTTGATATTAATATTAATCTTAATATTGATATTGATATTGATGTTGATGTTGATGTTGATGTTGATGTTGATGTTGATGTTGATGTTGATGTTGATGTTGATGTTGATATTGATGTTGATATTGATGTTGATTTTTAGATATTGTTTCTCTCTTGGATGATTGATGGTATGATGTAAGATTTTCTTCTTCAATGTATAGGATAGTGAGAGGGTAATGTAATAGATATTGTATCTAATGTGTAGATTGAGATTTCGTGAGAAGAAGAGTGGTTTGCGTATAGATGGTTTATACATCTTTAGATTGATTAGGTAGGCTGTTTCACTCATGAGTCATGTATGCATGTAAAGGTATTTCATTCAAATTTCAGCTGAGAAAAATGTATTGTATTGTATTGTGTTGGGTTAGATTAGATTAGATTATATCAACTAGGCCCACGAACGAGATTTGGTAAATCGCACTCTGAGTTGATACTAGATCCCCCGTGAAGAATCCCAAAGTGAGGGATCGTTGAGTGGATAATAATTGCTATACTGCCAGCCAGCGAGCTCGTAAATCTTTCTTGACTCAACCCCCAAATCTAATCGCATTTCCTACTCACCCTAAGTCTAAAGTAGGAGACATGAATCCCATCCTATCTACTCATCCTCCCCCTTGGTCTTTGCTAGTAAAGGAATCTCGTCTAAGTCAAGAGTTCCAGCTCGGGGTATCAAAGATGTCGAGGAATTCGAAGGAGGAGATTGTGTTTGAGATTGAGAACAAGAGGAGGCGGGATCGAGTTTTAGAGGCGAGATTTCAGGGGTGGGCGTGTAGTGTTGGAGGATTGATGGGGTGGGTTTGTTTGGAGGTTTGCCTGGATTGTGGGAGGTGAGATTGCTGGAGACTGGGGATGGGTGTTAGTATTAGTTTTGGGATTGGAATTGGAGTTGGGGTTGATGAGGGTTGTCGAGGTTAGTTGAGGGGGTGTGGGAAATCTTTGCATGCTAAACGGAAGGGGAAAAAAAGGAAAGAAAAACATCATACCTTCATCAGAAACCCCAGAAAAAATCACACACCCATCATCCATCCTCCTCTCCGAAGTCGCAGCGGCGACCGCCGTAGATGTCTCCAAGAGAGGAATCTTCACCGCGAGTTTCAAATTTTCAATAGCGATAGAGGATTTTGGATCCGGGATGGGTGTTTCTGGGAGCGGGATATCGGTGGCGGGTTTCGGTGTTGGGGTGGAGATTACAGTTGGGGTGGAGGGGAGCGGAATTTGGGATGGTGTGATGGGTTTGGTGGCTGAGGTTGAGGCGGCAGCTGTGATGATGGGGTGGAGTGTTAGTATTTTTTTGGTAGGGGTGGAGAGGGAGAGGAAGAGGGATATGTCAGGTTTATAATAGGAGGTATTGGAAAATTGGAAAACTACATGCCAGAACGTGATTGCGGAGTACTTGGAGTGCTTGGGGTATCCATAATTGCGGATTGATCGATCACTGTGATTGGTGGTTATTAAGTGGGTGATGAGATGAGAGAATATTTGAGAATATGTGAGAATATGTTGGAAAGGAAGGTAAGATTCTAAGGATTTAGATGGGGAGCGAGGAACTTATGTATTGGAATTTTGATGGGATGTGTTTGAGATTGCATGATCAGGAGGTTGGACAGGCAAGCACGCGCAGAATGGGAGAGATTGTGGGAAACAAACTTATAATTAATTAGAGGCAAGGAGTTTGTAGACGCGGGAATGGGTGTGGATGGAATTGTATGTTACTCACTTTTGTTTTGGGGGGTTAGCTTAGGATGTGGTTAGATTCGAGAGATAGATAATAGAATGCCTTGTGTTTGAGTAGCTCTTAGTATATTTTATTAGGTGTTATATATTAGTTCATATGATAACACAATTAAGCTTGTTTCATCAACAATATAACAGTCAAAGAACTTGTAAAACCGATCCACATACTGCAAACCCTGCAATCCATGCTATCCATTTCAACCTTCTCTATCGCTTCATTGCCATTAGACAGTACTCCAATCCATCAATATTCGCCAAATTTCTCATCCAACTTTCACTTCCTTTCCTACAAAGATTCTATTTCCTCTCAACGAACATACTAGGAAGAAATTAAGAGAAGGAAAGCAATCTAAAATTTAAAAGTACTAAAACCCCAAATTTGATCATTTTCGCTAAAGAAAACGATTCCTTAAATGACTTTCCCAGTACATCTATCTCAAGCTAACACTACCCCTCACTTCACTTCTTGACTACTTGGCAAATAAATCAAAACACCCTGCCTTTGTATCCATATTTGTACTGTAATTCTTCTTCATTGTAAAATTACAGAAAGCTAGTTTCTACAAATAAGCTCTGCGAAGTACTAGCCCCTCGCTAGCTACATTAAGACGCTCATATGTAGTCATATCATCAATAATCCAATAACAATCTTACGATGAAGGAAATCCACTGAAGTACATCGGGATTGTTTGGTACAACCCCGAGAAGAAACAAGAGTCTAATTGTAATTGCCGAACAAAACAGGAACGTCGGCAAAAGAGTAAAGAGATCTAACAATTAAAACAAAGCGAGAGGACATCCAGTATGGTACTACTATCCCTTTTCGACTATATTTCAAGACTCGGCTTTTTTCGTCGCCTTTGTTCTGAGCTTCATCATGAAATAAACCAATCCATAGATACCAACAACAAACGCCACAACAATACCTGCATTTCTCCATCCATAGGATTTTTCTGCGAGATTCAAGGTCTGTAGATAATCTCCACCGTGAGTGTATTGGCACACACGACAATCAGCGGTTGCTTCTGGATTCAAGATATTGATTCCTGCGCCCATGCCACGCTGATAGATATCAAGATACTCGCCACATGTTTGGTTTGGAGATGGATCAAAGATGGCGAGTTCGTCGGTTGTGCAGTGGACAGTCTTGTCCCAAGATGTGAATATGAGAAGAGAACTCATGAGGTAGTTATAAGGGTCGAGGTAGTATAACCTACAGGTGAAAGCTGTTAGATGCTGTACAAGTGAAGATTCTCATCACGAGAATAAATATAAAGCTTACCAGTATTTCCAGAAAGATTCAATTTGGCTGTATGGTACCATGACACCGCAGAACGAAACCAAAGTGGTAATGACTAATGGGTTGACAAGTGATGCAAAGACAGCGTTGGGGGCGTAAGCGGCAATCGCCTGTCCGAAAGCAGTATATAAAAGTTCATACGTTATCTGAATTTATATTAGTCAACAGTAGTATAGAAAAGGATAGCTGGGCCAGAAGGACTTACCACGACGAAGAACACACTTCCAGCAGAGTTTGCTCCAGAGGGAAGACCAGCTGTGAAATACCAACAGACATAGTACAACAAGGCGCAGATAATTAAGTAAGGGAACTCCGAAACAATAAGACCGGTAACAAAGGGAGCCCAATGATACATCTTACTCTTCTTTTCCCGTGCCTCGTAGATGTCGCGACGATCGATAAAAAGAGGCTGGAGTTGGGCAATAACACCTGGTGCCACAAAAATGAAGCTGAAAACAGTGAAAAGATTGCGTTGAAGATGTGTAAGATGATCCCCGATCATCCAAAACGAAAAGCCGTTGAGAAGGGCTAGACTGACATGCATAGCAAACTTGTTGTTGAGATATTCAGTGTTTCGAAAGAGTGAGACATTCATGCGATGTGTCACATGCTTAATTTGTGTCCACATGGAAGCTGCAAACTCGTAACCGTCAATGTTATCTTCTACAGGCCTTGCGGCTGCTTCGCTGACCATATTGTCCAATGTCTGAGAGAGCTTCTCGTGTTCTGGCGATTGCAACCAGACTTGGTTCCAATCTCGACTTTTATCCGAATTTCCCAACCCTGATACAACATCGATCATGTGCTCTGCTGGATTGGCTTCTGGAGGACAAGGTTCTCCATGGAGTGCAAAGTAATCTTTCAGAGTGCTAGCGTTTTCACCGATATCACCAAAGTAGACGGTCTTACCACCTTTCGCAAGTAATAGAAGGGTGTCAAACTGTGCAAATAATTGCGCCGAGGGCTGATGAATAGTGACCAAGACAGCTTGTCCAGCCCTTGCAAGTTTTCGAAGAAAGCGGACGGTGTTGTAGGCTGATTGCCCATCAAGGCCCGATGTGGGTTCGTCGAGAAAGATAAGAATGCTTGGTTTTGCTACCAATTCGACACCGATGGTAAGACGCTTGCGTTGTTCAACTGAAAGTCCAGCGCCAGGACGACCGACGAGTGTATGTTCAAGGTCATTTAATTCAAGAAGATCAATGACTGTATCTACATATCGTAGCTTTTCCTCATCAGGTGTATTGCGAGACTGGCGTAAAAGGGCTGAAAATTCAAGGGCCTCTCGAACAGTTGCCAAAGACTCATGAACATCTAGTTGTTCAACATAACCAGCAGAGCGCTGGAATGAGATGGGGATGGGGCGACCATCGAGTAGTACAGATCCAAGAATAGTTCCTTCCGTTTTACGCTGTGCCAAGACATCAAGAAGAGTTGTTTTGCCTGCACCAGAAGAGCCCATCAGAGCCCCAAGCATACCAGGTTTGACATATCCTTGAACGTTATCAAGAAGAACTCGGTCACCATCAGGGGTTTTCATAGTGTAGGTCAGGTTCTTCCAGGTAAAAATACTCTTGTTGCGAACAAGGTCTTTGTTGACGCTTCCACTAGGAGTGTCAGTTCCAGAGACGGATGCAGACTCAGGCAAAGGCTTTTCAAGAGCTTGTGTCTCCTCATCTTTAGGTTGTAATAGATGTTTCGACTTTTGTTGTTGTTCTCGAGGCACGAGAAGGCTCCGGCCACCTTCTCCTAGAAGCTTCCATTTGGAAGTGAAGAATATCGTAAGTCCAACAAAGAGTACCCACCATGCGCAGACTATGCCAAAATTGCGCCATAAGTGACTATGACTGAAGGACATAGATGCGAGATACTCGTCACCTGTGACGGTCGTGGCTCCAGTCACTGCTCCCCCAACACCAATACATGACTGTCCACCCTCACCAGGTGCATATCCAGGACCATTTGGAATGAGGTAAGGGCCAACACAATCCAATTCCTGCCCGTGGAACTCATTGCCAAGAAGAGATTCGAAACCGTACGCCATAGGGTTAATCCAGTAGATCCAAACGAACCACGGATGCATTTTAGGCTTAGTAATCATGTAGCCCATATACGAGAAGAGGCCGACCGTTGCAAGACCTGAGACTTTGGTTGCAGCATCAAAGGTATGGAAAGCGGCGCCGATAAACCGGAAGAGAGCTGTCATGGACATGGCAGTCATGAAATTGACGACCAAGTAGGTAAAAAATGCACCAGCTGTTGTCTTCAGACCAACCATAAAGTAGAAAACAATACCAAAGTGAGTGTCCTGGAACAATAGAATAGGAAAGTCGGCAATAATTTGGGCAAGGCAAACAGCTGCGGGGTGATATAGAGCGAAAGCACGATGCTTAGCCAAGATAGGTCTGCTTGTAAACGAATCTGTGACTTCCGAGAGAGCAATAAGAGCGTTGTATAGGATCGAAAAGAATAGGGCACCACCCTTGAGGAAAAGGCCTGCTGAGTTGGCCGGAGCGGCATAGAAGAGTGAGCCACCAACCAATGCTTGAATAACTGTGGCGCCTTGCTTCATAATGAGCGTTGACTTATCACCCCACATAATCTGGTACTGCCTGGTGACAGCAGCCTTAATCTGGGTGACAAAGTCGGTAGTGACTGGAGATTTTTCGGACACTCCTTTGTGCTTCTCAAGGCGTACCATTTCTTTGAATACTGATGTACTCTCCTTGGCTTCTTCACTTGTCACATACCTTTGGCACTCTTCCAACATCTCAGATTTGATGGTCGATTGATCGTACGCGGTACGGACCTCACCGGCTGTACGTGGAAAGGATTTCTCAAAGCCAGGAGCAATGCGACGTTCGGTGGGTACAGTCACACCGGTCAGAAAGTCTGACCGATTAGAACCAGAATCTCGAATAAATCCCAAGCTTTCCATGAAAGAAACAGCATCATTCTGTTTTCCGTAAAAGATTTGTTTGCCCTCGTCAAGGACAAGGACTTTGTCGAAATGTTCGTAGATACCGTTGCCAGCTTGATAAAGAGTGACAATAGTTGTGAGCCCCAGGACGTCAGTCATGGCTCAAATTGCCTTGATCCAATTTAGAGCCGTGCTAGCGTCAAGTCCTCTTGTTGAGTTGTCCCAGCATAAAACGCTCGCTCGAGTTGTTAAGCATTCAATGATTGACACACGCTTCCTTTCTCCACCAGAGACACCTCTGGTGAACGCGTCGCCAACCTTTGTAGAGGCAGTGTGAGAGATACCCACCGATCGTAGGAGAAAATCTTTGTTGAACTGAGCGTACTCTTCAGCTGTCTTGATACCAGGCGGCAAGTGATAGGGTGTCTTCATGCGAGCGGCAAAGGTGATAGTATCCTCGACTGAGAGAGTAGGAAACATTATTTCCTCTTCATTGTTCATGATGATCTGGCCACGATATTGCTTAGCTTCTTTAGCTGACATGTTCCCAAAGCTAACATCTCCGGTAATCTCTTCGTAACCTAGTCGGTTATTCGAGAGTACGTTGAGCAACGTCGTGCAACCTGAACCAGGTCTTCCAAGAACAAGCATCATCTCGCCTGGCTTGACGCAGCCGTATGAGTTGTCGATGATCGTTTTCACCGGAGTTTCTTTGGCTGTCTTGTGGAATGGATACATCTGGGAGAGAACATTTTCATTAAATGTGGCGTCGCTGCTGATGGCCTTAACGGTGAGGGTTTGCCAGGTTACACCAAGCTTTCTAGGAAGCTGTCCACCCTCTTCGTCTCGTTCTTTGATTTCTTGTACTTCTGATGCCATGTGCCATGTCCTCTCATCTCGTGACATGACTCTTGTTGCTCCCATATCCTCAACTTTGGTAATATTAGATGTTCCATCCTCGACACTAGACTCTCTTTCCATCATTGACGAATTGGACATTAGTCAAAGGCGAAAGACTGTAATTGGAAAGAGAGAATATGATTTAGGTTGTTTTGTGTATAAGAGTTCCACAAGCTGGACACATGCTGAACACATATATAGCAAAGACCATGTGGAATGAGAAATCCTAGTCTTACAAACATATCGGCTCTTTGATACGTACGTACTATGATAACTGGGTATATTAGAGAACCTTCCGTAGGTAAAGGCGGATTGCTTTTACAGTATTGCATTTTCGTCTTATCCAGACCCAATATGTGGACAATTCATGCAGATCTTTAAAGCCTCCGGAAAATGTGGGGTGGAGATATTAAGTACGTTAGAAACTTCGGGGCCGACAAAACACTCCGCAGCCATTGAGAAGGTAATTTCATGATCTTTACTGCCCCACTAGGAACATTGATGCGTACTCTGATGCTTTCAGAGCAATGAAAATCAGTGAGCCTCGAAACTTCAACCTCTATCGAAAAGCACAATGGAGAGAACACCGAACGCTTACGTTAGTCAAGTGGTGGAGGGTTTGGATAATCAATCTCTGGCGTAGACTAAGAAATGCTCCGTCTTGAATCATCATATATTCGTACCAGTCAACCTTATTTTCTTTTTCTTACCAAGCAGCAGATAGAAAAGTCCGACTCGGATTCATATGCCACCGCGTCCGTCTGTTCTTCGAGAATGTCAATTTCACGGATGGAGCTCTCTCGATAATGACGTGATAAATCTATCATTGCGGTTCTAAGTTGAGTTTGAACAAAGAAATTCGCGCGATAACATGTCTACTTTCAGCTCTCCAGATCATCGGCTCTAGCATATCTTATCTTGCGATCGAATTCCAGTACTACCACTGGCCTTACTTTGGGACTGGTGCCATGAGGCATTCTTGGATCAGTTTATGTTTTTTTGAACTGCTCTCTTCGATTGCCGCTTTATTGCGTCTTGGAAGCAAAGGCTGTGCAATTTTTGTTGATCTAAAATGCAATCCCGTACAATCTTAGGGTGTGGCAGCTCAGAATGCTCCTTTCACAATGGAAGGTCTTGGATACGTTGGCAGGTATTCAGAAAATGGCCCTTTGTGTGCTGGCCGCTTGGGATGGGCTCTCAGGATACCCTTCGAACAAAATCTGCGCAATCCCCTCGACCCCTGTTCCAGTGTTATTCAGGATATGTATCCACATCGCCATATATTCTCGACAACTAGCAGATTTGCTACAGGATCAGTTTGAATCCTGTTAAAACGTCCTCCACGAACATTATCATAAGATAATCGATAGCTACAAAATTACAGATGAAGACTCTTCCTGTGGCTATCCACATACACAATACTAAATCACTCTTCCGATCTAGCATCCTACTGTAGATAGTCAAACTGTCTGCAGCTCATCTTCCCACACAATGTAGTAGCCTCCAAAGTCTGGTCGTGATAGACAAAGGGGTCGACTTGAAGGTATGCTACCGAGCTGCCAGGTGGGCCTATTCTTACCCTGTAGCAGATTTTCGCCTCTTGAGGATTAAGTCTGCAATTCTCCGTCCTTGCTATTCATGATGCAAACAAATATGAGAGGCACTTTGGGGGGAGAAGTGAGCCCTCCCTGGTAGGAAGATCAGAACCCATTAGCCCACAAAAGATCTGACAAAGTGAGGGCAGACAATATTTCCTGTCACATAAGATTTAATATCTATCTTGTGAACCTATCGGAGAATGGTAAACCATATACACAGAGTAGGTACGTACACATGAGACGAGAGATCGCAATCCGTAGATAATTGAATATGTCATGCAGTTTGTGAACATTCAGGTACAGATCCCCCCTGGAATTTGCCATGCGGGAACCATGCACTGTATTCTATTATTGACCACACTCGGGCAATGAGAAAGGGCGCTGATGTTGTGCCACATCATATTCAGGCTTGGTCTCTGACTACCATAGACAAGCTTGCAAGCCACTCAGCATGGAACTATATCTTTTGAAGGAGGAGATCCATCACAGATCCATCAGATCTATCACAGATCTATCATTTGGTAACCTTAGGATATAGTACATGCTTGAAATCTTCCTCCGGCATTACCACCGAGAAGGCACTAGCTTACCATGTCCACCTCAGAGGGTAGCTTTACGAGCAGCCGATCGTATCAGTAACCAAAGTCGCGTGCGTAGGATGTAAGATTAAGCTTGGCAAAGAGGTGGTTGTGGTAAACATTGAAGCTGGTGGCACAATCACAACTCGAGCAATCAAGTCGGAGACGGAGACCCGATCGCGAGCAACAACTTGGAAAGCCACACAAAATCAATCTTAAAATTAAGGTTTATGTAACCTTACAGTTCTATAGAAAGATTAGTAATAAAGTTTTGGCGGGGTACGGGGCCAAAGATAAAACCATAGTCGGCTGCTCCCAAACATGAACCTAGTTGATTACTAATCGATACGGACGTACAGAAAACTCTCCGCGGAGGGTTTAAAGAGGCGTGACCCAGGGGTTTTGTGCATCTGCTTGTAGCATTTACTAAGTACTCTGTTGACTGTACGTATTCTGGACATCCATTGATATACGGAAAAGTTAACATGGGCGGTGCAGCGGTTCATCCATCTCAAAGACGATTCTCGTGTGAGGGCTGCAGAAGAATTAAGGCAAGATGTCAACGTTTATATTCAAACGATTCCAAATGTGTGCGGTGCACGCTTCTCAGCCTAGATTGCATTGTTGGACAACAAAAAAGAGTCGGAAGACCGCGACGAGCTGCAACTGCAGATGCTGAGGCACATAAACACCGGAAGAATCTAGGCTCAACCCCAAGTAATCAGCGAGCTACACCAACCAAGGTACACAATCATGTCGCAAATCCTACCACATCTCATGAAACTCCTTCGAATAAGGAAGGAATCCACCAGAATTGGGGCATAGACTTTCCGATGGACACTTCAATGGCTGCACTCGTTCCAACAGATAATGAAACTTATTCCGGAGCACATGTATGGCCAGCTGTTGATATAAACTCTTTTGATCAAAACTTCCTTACATGGGATACTTCCAATGACCTCGATCGCAATTTCTTCTTATCCAACAGCGATTCAACCTTCAGCAGTGCATCATCATCTGCTTCCCCGCTTAATACACCCCCCTCGAGGGCCTCATCGCCTGCTACTAGCAATCATGGCGCCGAAGAGAATATTCCAGAGAGGCTGCGCGCACCTCTAGTACGACCTATCACCACTTCAGATGCCATGGCTGAGCTTTCCAAAATCAACCTCGACTTGCACACCCGTATGGTTGCTGTGGAAGCGAATAGAGGAGCATTGGATTTCAACGGCATTGTTTATGAAAAGGGCCCATTGTTCATTGAAAACCTTACGCTGGCTCAGTTCCTATTAAAGACATCCCAAGACTTAAAACTTATCTTGAGACGGATTGTCAGTAGCCGGACGGCTCGCGATATGTCGTGTTCTACGCAAACAACAGAGACAAATTTGCTGGAATCATTAACAGTATCACCGAAAGCATACTTAGGGAAACCCCGTAACCCAACATCGTTTTCTCCATCGAGTTCCTCCCCCGCTCCAGAAATATTGTTTGCACCTCTTGCTCTAATCATCACAAGTATTTTCACTCAACTCATTACACTCTGCGAGCTAAACGTTGAGCTCATGAATACACGCATTGCGCAAATTACCACAAACCCCGTTGTACAACTCCCAGGCCTCGCTTTCGGCAACTTGCCTGTGTCAGAACCATGCATACAAGGAATGGTCTTCTGCGATCTCATTGCACATATAATGGAGGGTATCGAGCAAGCTCTCGGCCTCAATTCGGTTGTTGGGATGAGCGGAACTGGATTGCTATCTGCGAGACAAAAGGATGTGCTTCGGAGCGAGTTGGACGGCAGACCTGGAATTATTCCAGGCCACGGTGTCATGAGACCAATCAATGTACGGAAAGCGTTTGGAAGACTTGCAGTGGTTCTCAGGCAAATTTCTATGGATCAATTGGACATGCGCCATTGAAATTTATGTTTACACAATTACACGTTGGTCGATACTGGTACAATGCGGAGTTCACGTTTGTTTGTTTTTGGACTCACACAGGGCGTCAAGAGAAGTTTTACTGAATTATGGAGATAATGCCGCATGTTCTGCAATCAATGTCCTTATATTTGCTGCATCGGGGGAAGCGGGGCCTTTTATTATAGACGACCTCCTTTGGCCCGCGACTAAGTTTGTAAATATATCCAGAATCAAGAAACAATCTGGGCCTGATGGCAGCGGATGAATGATGATACATGAGACATCACTGCCATGTCATAATGCTCATCTCAATCGCCACAACGATAGCGAATCGAGGAAACTTGGAGATGAGCTTGTGTTCGAAGATCTGTATGATCCTGAAGATGGGTTCGTCCGTTTTCTTTCAGCATTCGTCGTTGTGATTTGCGCAATAATTGCATCAAGTATTTCTAGCGAACACAGCAAACAAAACTAGTATAGAACATCTCATCTCATCTCACCTCTTTCTCCTTCGCTCTCCTCATCAATCATCCACACATAGAGTATCTTATTATGACTACTTTTATCATCATTCTTATCCTTATCCTTCTACAAAAAGGTAAGCCCGCCCCCTCGTCCAGCAATATTCGCATTCACTAACACTACCCCAGGTAACACATCATTACTCACATGAAGCAAACTTGCTCTTTTACAACATTATGGGTATTATTCGGTGGTATCAGTACTAGCTGGAATTGTCTAGATCCCTTCTGGCTACTTGAGTTTATTGATATTAGAAATATTAATAAGTTACTCGAGGCATCTACCCAGTATGTAGGAGAAATTATACAGCAAATAGAATAGAGTATACGTATATATAACCCATCAATCAATCATCATATATAAACATCAACTCAAACCCCAAACTCCAAGTCAAGAACCCAAGCCAAAAACCACAAACCCAACGCGCAATTCCCTGAATCAAGATAATAGCAAAACACATATATCCATGCCTTCATCCCCAACCAACATCAACATCACCACAACCCATCAACACCATTAACACACCACCTCACCAACCCCACTCAAAAGTCAGCCCTCCAAAACCGCATCTCCTCATCAAACTTCAAAGTGAAACTCCACAATAAAAAATAAAACGAATGTAAATTATATTCTATCCATTTCCAATTCCATTCCATTCTAAATATTTACTCTAAAAACACCATCCTTCTCTCCAATCCCCAATCCCCCATCGCCAATCCCCTCTCAGAAACTCTACAACATAGCCATGCCTAAAGCCAAACCCCCCATAAAGAGTGCCGTAAGACTCATCTTATTAATACTCGCGGTCGATTCAGCGGTTGAAGAAGAAGAAGAAGAAGAAGTCGATTTTTCGGTCGCAGCTATTGTATTCCAGAATTAGTCTTCACTCATCTCATTTCACCCCCCTTTCTCTGCCCAAAACCTTGAAGAAGAAGAAAAAACTCACCATTCGAAACCTCAATCCCCATACTCTGACACTCCGCCATGAGCGTCGCATTCGCCTCCAACATCATAACCTGCATACCGGCGACACTAGCGGCCGCCTTAATATTATCCTCCTTTGTCGAATTGCCCTTCGCAATCTTATTCAACTTCTCATCATCCATTCCCAGATTCGCGATTTTCTGAAGGGCAACGACCATTTTACATTCATCAGCCATGAAGACTGCAGGACACGCTGCTTGTAAAGTAGCATTTGATTGTAAGGTTTGAAGTTTTTCCGCGGCATCCGAGGCTTTGAGTTCGATTTCTGCGACTTTGGTCATGTCGTTGTTGACGGTGGCGGTAACGAGTGTTTGGTTGGCGGCGAAGTCGACGAATTTTTGGAGGAGAAATTGTTGGTTGCATGTTGAATTGGTCATGATTGCTGAATCGATGACAGCACAGTCGGCCATGAGGGTAGTGTTGCTTTGAAGCTCTGTGAGTTTCACAGAAGCGGCGGAAGCTTTAGCCTGGAGAGAAGCAGCTCTTGTTGCGTTATCTGGAAGATATTAGTCTGACTGTTTTGGGATTGATCTATAGAGAGCTGAGAAGGTTGATGAAATTCAGAGAATCTCAAAGTATAACGTACTTCCGGTAATAGCATCGACCTTGGTTTGATTGCTGGCCAATTGAACCAAGGCGTTTAACTTCAACATCTCTTTGCATGTCTGTGTCTCGGTAAGGGTTCCATTATAACCCTGAGCTGCCACAGCAGTAGAGAAAAGGAAAGAGACAAAAAGTGTTGAATATTGCATAATTGTTAGAAAAAAAATATAGAACCTGTCTAGATGAAATAGAATATAATATTAAACGGACCTGCCGGGAAGTTGAAATGTATAGAAGGAGTGAAAGAAGATATTATGAGTGTTAGAGTAAGAAGAAAAGAATGCTCGTGAGCGACTTTCAATACTTATATGAGCATTCGGTACTTCGCGCACTAAATCAAATTCATTATCCCACTTACATGAAGCCAATCCATGTTTCGGATGACAAGAAATCATGGACTATTGACTTGAACTCGAGAACAGATGGATAATTGGGTTGGTTGTGATCATTTGAAAGCTCTCGAGCCCATGTATTGGAACACATCATGCTTAGGAATGCAATAATCATCCTGTCTCGCTGGCGAGTCTGTTATTTTTGGAATCAGGCCCAATACGGCTAGATTATCGAACTCGCAGACCTTTCAGACCTTCTTGCAGGCTTCCATACTATACCGATTTCTCTAACGTTATGTTTGCGAGGTTTGTAACGCGACTGCACATTGATCTCCTTTCAGTATGCCTTGCAAGTATTATGGGGTTATCTTGATTTAAGAAACATGGGTGAAATTACGCGAAACAATCAGGTTGCAAATCTCCCGCTTTGATAAACCTCAATTGGTGAAGATTTGTTGTTTCAAAATATCAACAAAGTGTCAATGCGGCTATGATGAAAAGGGACACTTGTCATTGGGTATCTATTTAGTACATTGAACATGCAAAAGAAACGTTTGTTCATGGAACCGAAGTCTAACGTTATGTGTGACGACACTAACGTTGGAGTCCAGAGGCGCATTAAGCTTTCTACTGGGAAGATTCAAGCATCCCTTTTCCGTTGCTTTCTCCAATACACAAATTTGTGGGAGAATAATCTGCTGAACCATTTCAAAGGTTCCTTAGCAAAACTACTAGGGAACGTGTTCCATTCGATTTCATGTATCTTCTTGTTCACTAGATCCTTCCCTATTTGGACCGTTTCGCCATTTTCTTTATATTCTACATCAGCCTCGATAATGACCCCATTTCGAGCCGTGAAGTTGGCCTTGAACTGTATCTCTGCATCAGTTATGTTGACCATGTTTCAATTTCCCGTGCTACACTCACATCTGGTGGCAAATTTCTGGGAAGCGGAAGCTGTATGTTTTTATTTTTTATTGATGCATCTGCCGAAAACAAGAATTGGGGAGTTTGTGAGAATATCCAATCTGAAGACTGTATTCAAATTGTCAGCTTAAGGTTCTTCGAGGTGGAGAAGGGAAGGGGTCTAAACACGTACAGTAAGCTCTTCCAAACCTTGAGATATCTCTGGAACTTCGCTGACATCCTCCTGTAAGAGTATTGGTTCTTTAGGACCATACATCTCACTGAACTCCTCTACTACTGCTTGTTCGAATGCCTTATTTTGGATCTTGACATTTGTAACTGAAGAACTAACACTTTCCACACCACGAGCAGTGATGAATCTCATTGCAGGGGACCTCAAGAATTTGCCAATGTTTGCAATATTAGGAGAGTTTAGTAAACAAGTACCGTGGTGAAGAGATCTTTCCTTTGTTAACTTATAGGCCGAGCCTGATACCTTGAATACTTTAAACCCGCCTGTACCCACATTCGTTGGCTTCAACACTATATCATGTCGAGCATTAACCATAGCCCGATCAACACCAAGTTTATGCAGAGCTCTCACTACCATCTCGGCATGCTTATCGCGATCGAAACGCGACGTAGGGCAAATGACACAGTAATTGACATTTCCAAGATCGTGAAAGACAGTTCCTCCACCCGAACGTCGTCGAACCAATGCTACATCTCCAATTGGGGATTGTGCGAGTAGACCAAGATTTACTTCATTCCAAGGGTTTTGATTTCGTCCAATAACAATACTGCGTTCATTGGTATAGAGAAATAAGACGGTGGAATCTGCGGGGGTCTTTTGTAGAAGATAATGTTCGATGGATAAGTTAATGAATGGATCGTGTGTTCGTGATATGTATATTTGGGATTTGTTGGTTGGATTGGTAGCTTCTTGGACGAATTTCCCTATTGATACACTACTATGAGTGGAAACATTTCTTCGAACAAAGTCTTTGCTTATCGTGCTTCTGCCACGTAATGTGAATTGTCGCATTAATCCTGTCGAAGGAATGATTGATTTTTGGTACATTTGGAAATACCCACGTACCCAATATCACTCTCCGGACGTTGAGTTTGTGGACTTCTTCATACAAAATTCGGAGATGGTGAGATGGTTCAGATAGATTTGACATTTCCAGATTTTTCCTAGTGAATTGACCAGGGTATTCTTCGGGATATCACCACATTCCCTCCACCATAATAACCAGTTGCTCTCGATGAGCAGGGAATTTCTTTTCCCATCTCACATCATCCCACATCAGTCCGACGAATCGGGTCCGGGCTCGGAAAAAGTCAAGACAAGAAAGAAAGAAAGAAAGAGTCATCAATTCATTTTCATTTTTTTATTTTTATTTACATATAGACTCGTGGTGATACCCTTTTCTACTTTATTCCATTCCATATTCCTCATACTTCTTCTCAAAATGTCTACATTTGGTCAATATTTCAAAGTTACTACGTATGTACAAACCACTCGATTCAATTGACCCATCATCACCAACTCCACGCAAAGTTACCCCTCCATTCCAAAATCACCTGCAAAGTACTAACTTCTCTTCCTTCTCATAGCTACGGAGAGTCGCATTGTCGCTCTGTAGGATGCATAGTCGATGGAGTTCCACCAGGAATGGAGCTCACAGAAGCAGATATTCAACCTCAAATGACTCGTCGTCGTCCAGGCCAATCCGCCCTCACCACTCCCCGCGATGAAAAAGACAAAGTCGAGATCCAATCTGGAACAGAATTCGGAATTACCCTTGGCACACCTATTGGAATGATTGTTCGTAATCAAGATCAACGACCACACGATTATGGAAACAAAACAATGGACCTTTACCCTCGTCCTTCTCATGCGGATTGGACATATCTGGAGAAGTACGGTGTCAAGGCTAGCAGTGGTGGTGGAAGAAGTAGCGCAAGAGAAACAATTGGTAGAGTTGCAGCAAGTGCAATTGCTGAAAAATATCTAAGACTCGCACATGGAATTGAGATTGTCGCATTTGTCTCTTCCGTTGGCAGTACCCATATGTTCCCACCAACCGTCGAACACCCAAGTCCCTCCACAAACCCCGCTTTCCTCTCACTTATACAAGACGTTACACGGGAACGTGTCGACGAATTCGTCCCAGTCCGCTGCCCTGATGCCAAAGCATCCGAAAAAATGGCCGAAATCATCGCAGAATATAGAGATAAACAAGACAGCATTGGAGGAACTGTTACTTGTGTGATCCGCAATGTTCCATCCGGTCTTGGTGAACCTTGTTTCGATAAAATGGAAGCAATGCTCGCTCATGCTATGCTCAGTATCCCAGCCTCCAAAGGTTTCGAAATCGGATCCGGATTCGGTGGCTGTGAAGTCCCAGGTTCCAAACACAATGATCCATTTATTCTTGCTACTGAAGTACCACCTCTTGAGACTGGTGCATCAAAGAATGGAATTCCTCGTCCTAGATTAACAACCAAGACAAACAATTCTGCTGGTATTCAAGGAGGTATCACAAATGGTGCACCCATCTATTTCCGTGTAGCTTTCAAACCAGCAGCCACCATCGGTCAAGCCCAACAAACTGCCACTTATGACGGTAGTGGTTCCGGTATTCTCGAAGCCAAGGGTCGTCATGATCCATGCGTTGTTCCTCGTGCAGTACCTATCGTAGAGGCAATGGCAGCTCTCACAGTCATCGATGCATTAATGGCACAACAAGCTCGTCAAACTTCAAGGAGTCTATTACCACCCCTCAAAAATATTCTACCTGCAAAATTTACAGTAGTAGGTGGTGAAGCTGCAAAGGAGAAAATGGAAATACAGGATAAAGGAGTTGTAGGTGGTGTTGATGGAGAGGTTTTAAATGGAACAAATTAACTCACGCTTTGAAGTGTAAATTGTAAATAGTTTGGGTACAATAAGAGCCTTAAATAGGCTAGTCTCATCAAATTTGGCGTTGTGTCCTCTGATCATCTTAAACATCGAAAGACGATGAAAATATAGATTTGAATTTCCACTCTCATTAAACTCCTATGAATGCATAACATTACTTACGATCATATAATCATCAGCTACATCCAGAAAGACCAACGCCCCTGAATAATAGCCGCCTTAACTACACTAGGCGAAAACCCAACCGAGTGATCATGCATTTCGCCAAAATAACCTTAATTCCTCATAACTTCAAGCATCTCAACCACACACATCAAATCGTATACTACAATTCAAAAAAAAAACCCCCCTACGAATCAATAATATGTAAACACATCCTAAAAGATCCCTGTATCCTCCTTTCTAAACTGTGGATCCCTCCCTCCCTACCTTCCTACCTCCCCACATAAAAAACCCCGAAGAAAAAAAAATTCGCTTAAGCTAGAAAATCATGCTAAAAAATACTCTCGTCAAACCCCCAGCAACTCAACATTTGGTGGATGAGAGGTGGTGGGAGCAGAGAGTTAACCACAAGCCCTGTTTTTGATTCTTAAATTCAGATAACGAATATATGTAGTCTTGATAACCGCCGCTTTTGAAATCGTTTTTTGTAAACCGTTTTCCGTAAACGAACATATTATATCTTCATTTCCGTAATACAGGTTTTTTTTCAAAATATTTTCTCACTCCCAAAATAATTCAGAACCCGAAAATAGGATTCCGTTATTTTTTTGGGAAGATGATAATCGATTATCGTCCATTCCAACTGTATTGGAAATTGGAATATCCAGTATAATATATTGTTGTGAAGAGCTGTCACGAAAAGGATTCAATTCTACTTTAGAATCTAAAGCTAAGGAGGGAAGAGAAGAAGAAAGGAGAAAGAACTAAAGTCCCTGAGCTATATAAAAGAAGAGGATCACGTGCTAGGATAAGATCCTAAAAGCTAGGTGACTAAGAAGGGAACCCGAAAGGGACCGAATCGTCACAATTTCGTTATAAAAATAAAGAGCCGCAAATATAGATGTTTTCAGTGATAAAAGCGAAGCTTTTGTATTTGATCTATTTATTTCTAATCTATCCATGTCTATTTGTTTCTATAAGGGCCAGCCCCCAAACCCCCGATCCTCACTCCGTTCGATCATCTTCGTTCGACCATGCTTGTATATATGCATTTAGCCTAACTAAAATTCTACACCGTCCACAACTACTTAATCGCTTCTTTAATACATACCTTATTCAAAGTACTTGAGCACTTCTAAACATGTAATCAAGTTCCCTATCCCGAGAAGTCGCCGATGTTTTGGACGAGAAACGCTCCAAACCAAAAGGGCCCTCAAATAATAACCCATGCAAGTGCTTTACCCGAGAGGTAGCAACACACGATAGCCCTACGCAGTGCTCCCGTTGATTTAGGTTCAAAACTACCCTGGAAAGAGTCAGTCCTTGGCTTTTATGAACTGTAATTGCAAAAGCCAGCCGCAAAGGGAACTGGATGCGTGAACAGGCTGCCCCTTGAAATTAAAACTGACGCGTGGTCGGAAAGATGGGTACTATACCACGCCCACCACCCGGAAACTCTGGTTCAATGTACTCATCGAACTTGATCAGTAAAAAGGAAGGCATCTGAGAAATATCCTGCCCCGTCACCCACGCAATATCATGAACCGTCCCCATAGATCCGTTTACTAATCCAGCTTCGGTCCATAAATTGGCCGTAAGCATAACCCTGGCACCGATGCAAAGATAGAGGTCAGAGGAGAGGTTATCAGCCTCCTCGTCCGTTGCTTTTTGAGCGTTCCGGCCCTGATGTACAGCCTTCATCACCTTTACAGGCTGACTCATAGTGGATAAGCACTCAAAGTTCTTTTCCCGGACCTCTGCAGTTGTAAAGTACAGCCGTAAGGCTGATTCAAAAGTAGCAACCTCAGCTGGAGGGAGCTGGTTAGCCACACGCGTACATAAGAGATCCCAGCCCTCCCGAAAGAGTCTTCCCTCTCGTAACTCACTAAAGGCGGACCGGAATTTCGTAGACAGCTCGTCTCCCCCTTGTAGCCGCATGACCTGCACCAGACGGATTGTTCGATCGAACGCTCGGTACAGGTTGTGCCCCTTAAGAGCATCGATATTGGCACCTGGTAAGGAGTAGATTGGTCGCCCTCCTACAGGCGGGAGTTGATAAGAAGGGATCGGGAGCATGTGGGCACAACTTGAGCAACATTTCGTAGCCATTCCTGTTACAAAACTGGATATTGACGCGTCTACAATACAAAGCTGACCAGACCATCACCGCACAGACCTACTACACGTGAGTGTGGTTTTTTTGTGCACGTGATTCCAAACGCACCCCAAATAGCTCCCCCCCTGCTCGCGTACAGGGGGTTGATTTCATATAGAAAAAGCTTCGCTTTTAATGAAGGGCCGAAAATAGAATATTTCCTGGTGGTGAAGCTTAAGCATTTCTATTTTTTATAAAGATAGTCATATTGTGACTTTTTATGCCTCCTTTCGATTTGTCAAATGTTGTGTGACCATCCACCCTTTTCTTTTCTTCTATAGGGGTACCCCCAAACCCCCAGCCTCACTTCGTTCGAGTCTTGTAGTAATTGATTTGATCGAACTGTATAATCCAACTCTCTATCTACTGATATGCCACTTTCACTATGTTTGAAATGCTCAAAGGGAAAGGATGCCGAGACATCCTCATCCGTCGGCAGGCTGTCGATGCGGTCCGAGGAGATCGTCACGTGCTGGTAATCAGGGTGGTGCACTTTCAAGAACCGGAGCCAGGTGATCACCCGCCCTTTGCGGACCCGAAAGTCGGACCGGAACTGCCGCTGAACTGGTGGCCGCGATAGCGGTGGATCATCATCTGGACGTGCGACCGGGCGATGATCATCTCCTCGACCTGCGTCAGCTCAGGTAGATCCACCGGCATATCTCCTGGGTCCATCTCATTCTCGGCCGACATCAGGTACGGGCGCTGGCTCGGCTTGTCCCGCAGGGAGCACGCGTGGCACGTACCGTGTTTGAGATCCATCGCAAACCACCGCTCCCTGCACCGATGACACATCTCCATCTGTATCCCAGCCATCTCAGTATTAAAATCTTGAATCCACTGCCATTGTTGAGCGGGAAGAAAGCCGGGAGGGGGGGGGGGGGGGGGGGGTAGTGGGTTTGCAGGTGGCGGTACAAACAGGGAAGGTGCAGGAGGTATGGCAGGTGTCGGGACCCAAGGAGAAAAAGAAGCTTCTGTATTCATCACCGATTCCGGTCCCAATTGGTGTGAAGCCTTCCTCTTTCTATCAGCACGCGTACCCTTCTTCCGGCAGGAAAGACAGGTTGCAAAGACTCGACTGTTCGAGGCGGCCGATGCATCTTTGAGAAAAGAAGTGACGGGCAGCGCGCGGGCACAACTTGAGCAGCGTTTTGTATTCATTCGTCCACGATCACCAGAGTAGCTGTTGCCCCCAAACCCCCAAAGCTCACTGCGTTCGATCAAATACTGCACGGACCACCACACGTGAGAGTGGTCTCCATGTGAGAGTGGACTTGTAAGTAGTACGTGATCACAAACTCACTTATCTCATCCTCAGACCGCACGGTGGCCTTAATTTCGAGGCAGGGGTATCCCGAAGGTTCACCGTAGATAAACGTCCCCTCTCGATTCTGATTGGTCCGAAAAATTTCAATCATTAGTAAGCAACCCAAAATATCATCAATATCATTAAAAAGATGAACATGAATAACCTCAATATTATAAACGTTTTATCGACGAAGAGGGTCTGAAAGTGAGATAAAAACTCACCCCAAACGAAATTGTTATAGAATTGTCTCACGTGACACGTGCAGGGGGTCGGGATATAGAAAAGCTCACGCTCTTGTTTTACTAACGTTTACTATAATATGATTCATCACCGAGTGGATCACTTTCACCTCAATTGATACATTCAAATTCATATTATTCAACAACCATTGATTCAATTGATTAAAGCTATTAAGAATCTAATAATCTAGGATCTATTATATAAATTTGATAGATTCTTGTTGCGACGACAACGGAGTCAAGGCATAGTGATAAGATGAATCAATTATCGTAACTAGAGAATAACAAGCTTTATAGGTCCTATTCGATAGGACCAGGATAGGACCAAGAATACGCGAAATGATTTACTCTGCCGGGCAGGGTGAGTCATGTGACTAATTAAGGCTTAAGGCCGGATCGTCACAGTTATTGAGCTATATATAAAATAATTTTATAAAATAATCGATTTTAGCTAGAATCATTAGATCAAAAAATCACGTTTTGGACAGACGTTATGAAATCGGGTGTAGGGTAGGCACACCATCTAAGATAGTGCTTAGTCACGCTATAATACTTTTACTTTGCTGTGAATTTCTCTCGACGAATTCTGCAGCGTAGTATTGAGACCTTGTGCTTTATGCTCATTGGAAGATTTGAAGGTTACTTGATATGTACCCACTTTTTCTAAAATGCTCAAAGCATACAATTGTTTGCTTTGCTTTGGTTGGTCAATCATTGCATTATTATTTTCTGACTGTTCACAACCTAATACTCGATCCTATCCCCAAAGCATTAGTATGCTACTTGTTCACCTGACTATTTTTCCGGGCTGGCTTACTATAAGTTACCAAAAGAGGTTTGAGACTGGAATTCTCTCCACACCGCTAAGAAAGCCTGGGTTCTCGATTCCCAATTTTATAATATTCGTCTTATTGAGAAGAAAACCTGATTGAAGCAAATGCGTTAATAGACATGTCAATGCCGAAGCGGAGAGAATACTTGCCAATCCCAGGCTCCAGCAATGAGTCTCAGGCTTCACGTTTAGATTCTGACCTGGACCATGCTTCTGAAAAGCCATCCAGTGGAAGGCACGTAAATTTGAGCAAAATCCTAAACTTTCGATACTATATCGTGGCTCTTGTTGTCTGCATCTGCTTCATGTTTGGTTTTATTAGTGGCTTTCATAGTAGCCCATCGATCCGCCGTCCCTATACAACAGGACATGGTACAACGTCTTCATGCGTCACACAGGATACTAGGCGTGAATGGCGAAGTCTCAGCCACCTCGAAAAAGACGCCTATATCTCAGCAGTCCAATGCCTCCCCACTCAACCATCGATACTCAATCTCCCCCATACGCTCTACGATGATTTCGCATGGGTGCATACTCACAAGGGCGATGAGACACTTGACACCGCCGGTTTCTTCCCATGGCATCGGTATTTCATTCTATCGTACGAGAAAATCTTGCGAAAACAATGCAATTATACAGGCAGCATGCCATACTGGGATTGGACGCTTGATTGGACTGACTTTCATTCTTCACCACTTTGGGATCCCCACACAGGATTTGGCGGCAGTGGAAATACCTCAGCAGCAGCAAGCGTCGGCAGAGGACATTGTGTAACAGATGGCCCTTTTACAGAGCTGAGGCCTCTTTACTATGATCGCGATATTCAACAACACTGTCTTTCAAGAGCATTCCGTACTGGCGAGACGCTGGAACTTGCTATGAGTAAAATTTCACCAGCAGCCGTGGAAGCTGTGTTGGCACGACAAGACTATCAGAATTTCACATTCTGGCTGGAGAAGGATACACATAAATCCATGCCCTATGTTATTCAAGGAGAATGGATGAGAACAAGTGTGACGAATGGTATGCAGTACTTAGATTGGCCTTGTTCAAAATTATACGCTAACTACAAATCCAGATCCGATATGGTTTTTGGCACACATGCAGCTTGATCGATTGTGGTGGATATGGCAATCAAGGAATCCGGAGACACGATTTTACGAGTTTCACGGTGTTGGGTGGGGAGGATCAAACCAAGATGCCTCGCGGAGTGATAAAGTAGATATAGGAGGACTATTGCCAAGTATCACCGTCGAGCAGTTACTACGCACTGATTCCGATATCATGTGCTACAAGTATTGAACTGTCTGAACGGTCCGATATCGATTCAGTACATTCACATGCTTACGAGAAAAGCGTTTTAACTCCTGAAAGTCCTATCAGGAAGCGTGTCATACTCTGCTCTTAGTTCTTAACTCTTGCAACCTCTAAGAACGCTTCAAAATTCAAATAAAGGCCATAGTTCTGATTGTTGTGTAACTTCTACTTACAATTTTGCAAATGACTATGTGTATGTATTAGAATTTCATTAATAGTGTTTTTTCAAACTTCGATAAATAGTCATGCAGCAATAATACATTACGAGCGATTAACGCAAGATTATAAGCTGTTGGGCTTATTGTAACTGCTTCTTCTAATAGCTTACTGTCCATGGATCTACAGCTGATTTACAATCTCCCCCCATTAAGTTCAAGATTTCGGGTTTTATCCTCAGGTATTTATAAAAATATATAAGGTCTATAGATAAATTACCCAAGTAAAAAGTCAAGAGCGATTTTGTTGCTTATAGTCTTGCTACAGCACAAGCTGGTCTTTACACTCCATTTCTTGACTACCACTGGCACACTTAGACCGATCCGGATTAGAAATCCCATCTCTAGTCCGAAATCAGGAAGAAATGTCACGTTGTGGAGTCATGATCCCATTATGCCTGTGTCTAGGCCTTTTACTTTCACCTTTTGTTACTACTGCACCTGAATGGGCACTAAAGACGATGACGATTGTTCGGTGGTATCCTTTTCCAAAAATAGTCAACAAAGATAAATTTTCTATTCCCAAACCCTCATGCTCATTGGGTTTGGACATGCAAATCGACCACTTCAACAGCTCGGACAACCGCACCTTTAGGAATTGCTATTGGCTCAATGATACCTTCTATCGGCCAGGAGGTCCAGTGTTTTTCTTCGATACAGGTAAATCATTTCTTTGGTTCTCTTTACATTTGAGCTTTGCCGGAATTCTATGCGTGGGTCCTGGGATAGATTTCTTAGAAACATAACGTCACAAATAGCTGGTTGTACATGCCTCTGAGTACTTCTATGCCATAACTTCCACTCACTGTAGACCATGAGGCTGACCATTGTGTTTCACTATCAGGCGAGCATGGTATCTCCGAGTTCATGGTGTCTATGCTGTTGGAGGAAGCGATGGGTCGCTCCGCTTTGATGGCACTGGCACAGAAATACAATGGACTTGCCATACTTTGGGAGCACCGCTTTTATGGTGCAAGTCTTCCATTTGAGCTTGAAAATAAGACTGGAGTTGCTTTAGCCGGGTTTGATGCCTACAAGTATCTTACGACTGAACAGGTACGTGAGATGGCACCTAACTACATGGGTCCTGGTGCAGAAACTAGTACTGTCTCGATCTCGAATTGCATTGTTTGTCTTTCAATCCAAGAAAGTCTGACCCAACGCGCTATATGAACTAAACCAACCGTTATGTAGGCACTCGAAGATACTGTCTATTTCGCACGAAATTTCCAGCCATCTACACTTCGTAAATACTGGCTGATGTTATCCCCAAGTAATACGCCATGGATCTTTATTGGTGGAAGTTATCCAGGTGAGTCTACTGATCAGTTGACCTATCTAAGCGCCTGCCCTTTAGCTTCTCGATATGCGACATCCAGACGGATGTCGATCGAAATTTACTGATGTAAATCCTTATGACCTATAGGTATCAGAGCTGCAATCGCTCGGCAACGCAATCCAGAGATATGGTTTGCTAGCTGGGCATCCTCGGCACCAGTGCAAGCACAGGTTGATATGTCGGTCTATTTCAACCCAATTCAGCAGGCTATGACGGACAATTGCTCAAAAGACGTGCATATTGCTGTCGACTACGCTGATAAGGTATTTCAGTATGGCAGCCGGGATGAAGTCTTGTTGCTTCGACAAGAGATCTACATGACTGGTCGGGCCAATCCAGCTATCAACAAAGGTCTCCACTCAGTAGATAACTTTCCGCTTTCGCCAACTGATATGACTCTATGGGAAGCTTCCCAGATACTTGCGACACCTTTCCAGCACACTAGCCATAACTTCCAGCTTTATGGTTTTGACTCTGCATTGTTATCTTTCTGCAACTACCTCGAACAATACGATCCATCGGCTTCTGTTCTCTTTCCTCACAGTGCGTCGGCAAACGAGGTTGAGGCCTTCAGGGATTGGATTCAAACCAGCCATAGCTCTACATCTACAAGAATCGGTATTGCTGCCACATACAATGCTTCGACCGCATTTTTTGCATATATATCAGCTATCTATCGAAAGATGGCCGATGACTATTCAGACCAAGGGTCGGGCTTTTCATTACCACCATCTTCACTTGGAGATGGCGTAAGCTGGAAATGGCAATATTGTAGCGAATTTGGCTTCCTCCAAAGCTCCAACACTACAAACCCATTCAACTTGATATCTCGTTTTGACAACATTTCGAGCGAAGAGTCAAATATTTGCGCGGATACTTTTCCATATGCACCTCAGTTACCCAATGTCAGCGCAATCAATGATAAATATGGCGGCTGGAAGATGGCACCGTCCAATGTAAGTGATAAGAACTCAATCATGGTATAGTGGTATGGTCGTACTTAGATTTCTAATAGGTCATGTTTTCGAATGGTGAAATGGATCCATGGCGAACACTTGGAGTCCAGGCAGATCTCGAGATCAATCCAAATGCGGTCATTAGGAAGTCTACAAAGACAATACCTACATGTAACATACCCCCTCCGAACGGGGAAGTTTTCGGACAAGTGTACCCGGCTCAGGTAAGTCTGCCTTATCACAGAAATTACATTGCCCACAATTGTTACTAACTGTCTCTTCAGGTGCACATCTCGGATCTCTTATCCTCATTCTATATTGAGATTGAAGATCAACCCTCGCCTTTCGAAGCTGGTTTTGACCTTTTCACAAAAGCACTAAATGAGTGGTTACCGTGTTTCAACGGACTGCATTGATGGAAATGGGAATAGCTTAGGAAGCCCATTACAATGTTTCCATTTGGACACACACTTTCATAAATGGGATGGGTCCTGATTGACAGAAAAAAAAACATGGTCAATGCGCGAAACATCTGGAGCAAGATTGAATTTACATAACGTGGTTCATTAGTATGTGGGCCATATCACTATATGAGTCACTTTTACCTCAATTAATAATTCTTCAATTCAATATACGATCTATCAACTATTTATTATGAAATCCAATAATAAAGAAGCTTGATTCCTTTTAGTTATTAAGATTATTCAAAAAACAAAAAAACTAAGTATTTGAAAGGCTTTTAAGCTACATAATATTTTGTATAATATGGTTTATATTACAGGAGCTGTCTCTAGGGTCATATAGAAATATCTAGAGATCTTTCGAGATAGTTTAAACTAAACTTCAAATAGGAATTTGATTAAAATAAAAATTGATTATAATTCTTATAACTATAATATAAAATTAATAATTATTTTTGAATATAAAACTTTATATTATAATGAAATCCTATTCTCTTATATAAACCTGTATTTGTTACGGGAGCTGCCTCTAGGGTCACGTGGAAGTGGCTAGAGATCTCTCGAGGTGGTTTAGACTAGACTTCAAGTAGGGATTCAATAAGGTTGTAACTGGTTGCAATTCTCGTAACTATAGTATGAAACTAATGATTGTCTTGAGCACGAAGCTCTACATTGTAATGAAACCCATTCCCTATATAGACCTTCGTCCTTGCTTGGACAGCTAGGACAGCCGGTCGCTCCTGGAGCGCTGCCGTTCCTGAGCTGTCCATCACGGGACACTAATCCCGTGACTCCTGGTATCCTAGCTTATCTTTTGTCCTGGGGCTAATCCCCTGGAGCATTACTAATCCTAGTGGGGCCTTCTTGCTTACTGTGTTTTGCCTTTCCTAGGACCTATTGTCCTGGGAACTATATTGTTACGGAGGTACCCGCACCGCAACATGGATTATAAGATAAACCTAAGGCCTTGGTGTTGGGACCTACGGAAACAGCGCTGTAGGGACAATCGGCTAGAGAGCACAGGTTAGATAAGCGGTAGCATCATTATAGATCACGGGATGGACATCACGTGATCAGGAAACCGACTTGTCGAAATCGGCTTTACGGTAATCGACTTGTCGATTCATGAGGTACGAAGATCTATATAAGGGAATGAGTTTCATTACAATGTAGAGCTTCGTGCTCAAGAACAATCATTAGTTTCATTACTATAGTTACGAGAATTGCAACCAGTTACAACCTTATTGAATCCCTACTTGAAGTCTAGTCTAAACCACCTCGAGAGATCTCTAGACACTTCCACGTGACCCTAGAGGCAGCTCCCGTAACATATATCCTATAATATAGGGTATCCTATAACTAATACTATATACATGCCTTAGGCTTTCCTGGGTGCCTAGCGTCCCCCGGTATACTGCAGTTGAATCACCGAGGCCTATAACACCACTATAGCCTATAAGTTGGTGAATCTACAGCCTGTTACTAACCCGTTGTAACAGTATTCTTTAAAGCTCTTTTGGATTTTAAACTCCAAGACTTTTAACTCCTTAAATCCTAAATTTTCAAAGCTCCATTATATAATATCAGTTATATGACTCGGAGATATGTTACTCATTATAATACTAATATGATTTATAGGTATATGAGTTATTTTATTTATATATAATATAAAGTTTTATATTTAAAAATAATTATTAGTTTTATATTATAATTATAAGAATTATAACCAATTTCCATCTTGATTGAATTCCTATTTGAAATTTAATTTAAACCACTTTAAGAGATCTCTAGATACTTCCATATAACCCTAGAAGCAGCTCCTATAACAATTAAAACTTTAATGTTCGGCTTTTTCTCGAGGTCGCGAGACAAGCTACACAGTACAAGTGTCACGGGCACCCCTGGGAGCATTCAGAAGCTTTACCGCTAGGCCACAAAAGCCAAAAGACTAGGAGGTAGAACTAGAAGTTCTACCTTGCTCTCGCATATATAGCAGGACAGGACAGGAATCAGGTGATCAGAATGAGCTAGTGTCGACCCCGTGACAACAAGCGGCGTAGAAAAAGCTCGCTGCTTTGATATTTTAGGACTTGGGACATGGAAACAAAGCTTAAGCCAAGTTTATTTCAACCACTCGGAGCTTTCAAATTTTATTAATGTGCTTGTTTGGAGAATGACTAAGAAATGGTCAGTCCAAGAAGGGAGCTAACGCCATCCGGTGGTACAGTAAGCCACTAAACTACTTCAGGCTGGGTACAGTCATGTAAATAGCCGCCAGTGCCATGATGATAACAAAAATATCTTGGGCAAGCCAATGGAAAGTTCTATTCGCTGACCATTACCTAGTTGAACACAATACTACACTCATGGCAACTGTTCAGCTCTGATAAGATGAAGAGCAAGGATAGGTATATCCCCAAGGGACAGCTGCCTAAGTAGGGAGGTGTCCTATACAACTGCTTTTACCGGTTGGAATGGTCAATACCCAGCCACATACATCTACTCTGTAGTTTCTTTTGCTCGAGCCAAAGTTTGCATTATTCCAGGAATCTTTAGTTTCTTTAAGCTTTTCCATTTTCCAACCTATTTAGTATATACAAAGATGACAAGAAACGAGCGAGAGTATAACATGCCTGCGGACATTGTATGTTACAAATACCCATCAGCCACCTCCGATATTGCTAATTGTTAGCTTAGAGCTTTTCAGTACCGGCAAAATCGCCGGGATATTCGCCAGAAATTGACACTGTCGAGTTGAGAGAGACTAAGGATACTTTAAAGGCTGTGCCAAACGAAGAGCTCAGCACCGATATCAGTGTCGACCCAGTCTCAAGCACTGGGAAGCCTAAACTTCCGGAAATGAATTTAGATAAAGGCATTGTGGGCTGGGACAGTCAAGAGGATCCATCTATGCCTTTAAATTTCTCGCAGAATCGAAAATGGGCTCTCCTTGCCCAAATTACTGCAATCACATTTGTTTCTCCATTATCGAGTACGATTTTCGCCCCCGGTGCTACTTTCATGGACAAAGACTTCCACAATTCAAATTCACTCCTCTCAAGTTTCACCGTCTCTGTTTATATTCTTGGTAAGATCTTTAATTCTGTGCTCCTGCCCGAACTAACGGCAATCTAGGATATGTCCTTGGACCTTTATTTATCGCTCCCGCGAGCGAGTGTTGGGGTCGCAGGCCTGTTCTTTCGGCCACAAACTGGTGGTATGTCATTTGGCAGGCCGGCTGCGCAGTTGCGCCAAACATAGGGTGTCTAATAGCGTTTCGGTTTCTTGCTGGATTGGGCGGTGCTGGCTGCATGACCCTCAACGGTGGAATTATTGCTGATCTGTTCGTTCCCGAAGAGCGAGGAGCCGCCAATGCCCTCTCTGCAATTGGCGTCATTTTTGGCCCCGTTATTGGCCCTATTTTTGGCGCTTTCATCGGGCAAAGAGCAGGCTGGCGCTGGATATTCTGGGTCCTTTGCTGCTTGAGTGGAGTGATCACCATCGTGATTCAGATATTCAACAAGGAAAGCTATGCTCCCGTCATAATCGCAAGGAAGACCGCCAAATTGTCGAAAGAGCTAGGTCGTAAAGACCTTAGGTCGTAAAGACCTTAGGTCTTGCTATGACGTTGATGAAGTGGAGACGAAACCCGAAAAGTTTCAACGTGAGTTCACGCGTCCTCTTCGAATGCTGTTCCTCTCACCGGTTATTGCTCTTTTCTGCACGTATATGTCTTTGGTCTATGGGCTTCTCTACCTACTTCTCACGACTCTACCCATGGTCTACACGGAAACATATCACTGGTCAACAGAGCTCACCGGTCTGGCATCACTCGGAATCGGGATTGGATTTTTCGTGGGTCTCGTGGTTATTGGTTTGACAAGTGACAAAATCATTGTCAAGCTAACTAATTGGAACGGTGGTATCTATGAACCAGAGATGCGACTTCCATACATGACTCTCTTCGCAATTCTCATTCCAATTTCTTTTTTTTGGTATGGTTGGGCTGCCGATAAAGCGGTCCACTGGATTGTACCAATCATTGCTCTTTCTCCTTTTGGATTCGGTATGCTGGGCATCTTCTTCCCAATTCAGATGTACCTCATTGATGCCTTTCCCGTTCACTCGGCCTCGGCAATGGCAGCTTTGACGGTCTCACGATCCCTTGTTGGTGCATTATTGCCGATGGCTGGACCGCAATTATACAGCTCACTTGGACTTGGGTGGGGCAATTCCTTGTTGGGGTTTGTCGCTTTGTTGATGGTTCCAATGCCCTACTATCTCTGGAAATATGGTGGTACTATTAGAAAGAGACACGTGATCCAACTGTGAAGTCAAACTACTCTACTAAAATTGGTATCTCACAAATTTCCTGGGATAGAAGCTATGACTAAGGTCAATCGAACTAGTTTTATCAATAACACTTAATCGTGTAGCAAAATTTCCATGCAATTAAGACCCTACACCTAAGAGGTTTTCACCGTGCTGGTGGTACAAGTGACTCCCCCTATCGCGTCATTTCAGCCACTCCAGATAATCCTATTCTAAAAACTGTCTCTCTCATTTGTTCCTCATTTGTTCCAGGGAATATGTGATGTTTTAAATTGCAAATATCTTTTACTTCGAATTGGCACTTGGAGTCCTGGTAAATGGGCGTATTCAATTGGAACCAAATTAAGACCTTGGCACTGATGTCAAACGGACTGATCTAACCATCTTAGCGGTGATTATCGGCAGGAAACACAGTTTAGGGGAACAGAGTGAGGGTGATATCTGAAGATTTGAAGATGGTATTTGAATTTGATAGAAATATGTGCATGTTTCTACGATCGTGCAAGTTGCCGTTCAGTCCATGTATTTTCAAGGCGGGTTGGCCATAATGACTAACAAGTTTCAAGATAGATGCAACCTTTACATAATAAACTTCTTCTCTCACATAATTCTGGATACTACATACGGTATTGTTTGTTTCCCATATTCCGACGGCTTTGCTTGAGCATTCAGTCCATTTCCCCCTTACCATCTGTCTTTGCTCTCCCGTCTCCAACAGTTTCTGCGTCTGAGCTCTCACCATCATCGTTTTCGTCATTCAATGCGAAATAGCACTCTGAGTTTGCGATCCCACCATCTATCCATTTGACACCTTTTGCCACTTTAACCCAAGGAACTTTGAGATTATTTCCAAGTGGTTCTCCAATAGCATGCCTATAGATAGAAAAACTAAGTCCACACGCATTGATGGCAGAGGCGATAGCGAATCCAACTTTCAGGTTTACCGTGTAATCACTAAGATCTAAGCCTGCAATAAAATTCGCCCAGCCTCCCAGAAGAACGAATCTTCCGATCCAAATGTGGACACTTCCCATCCATGTCTTCCTCTTCAATCGTGAGAATACACGGTGGTGCTGCAGTCCTAATCCTAGCTGAGCAACCAAGGCAGTTCCAAGTGCTATACCAATGTACTGGTGCCATACACTGACTTTAGAACTTAAGAAGAATCCAACGGTGATTCCAGCGAGCCCCAATATCGAGCCAAGGATTTGCGGGATGAGATGTAGATACAGGGAGTGAGGCGAGCCGCTGCGGATGAAGAAGGCCCCCAAAGGAAGGAGTAAAAATAAAGAGGCCACTAGAAGGAGGCCATGGAGTAGCCATATTTTTCGTTTGTGTTTGTAAGGGACTGTTTTGGCGCTCTCGGAGATGTCATTGTCGTAGTGGTTGTGCGCTTGATTTAAGTTTTCGTAGTCCTCTGGGACATCCTCGACTTCTGACGCAGGGGGATAAGGTTTGAGAAAATTTGAGATGGTGGCTGGGAGTTGATTGGGTTCGATGCCTTTCTCTTTCGTCATGTCGAGGTCAAAAGCACCGAAACGATTGTGCATCAGTAAATCTGCATCATCTGCATATTCGACAATAGAGAAGTCTTGGTCTGTATTCATACCCCAGATAAAAGGTAGGACTGGAGTTATCGCTGATCTATCTGCATTGTACCATGCATTGCAACCATAACAAACAAAACTTGCTACGGCTGTTTTTGAGCTCTCCTTGTGTGAAGATTCCCAGGAAGTTTCAATATAACCTATATGAATTCCGTGTTGGTGCTGGTCTCCGAGGGACAAGTTTACAGGTGGGAGATGGCGGCTTGTCGAACGGATGCTGAGTGTCGGAGGCGATTCCAAATTTGGATCTCCATATAGAACGAAAATGATGGATCCGTTCATATGGGTGCCAATCCCGATTGATGACCAGCCAGCAGCGTCATGCTGTGTGCGGTTAAATGTCATGATGAAATCTTGTTTAGATAGAGAATCATCCTCATAAGTTGCCAATGAAACACAAAAGTCATTGTTTGAGCCTTGCCCAAACGATTTACAGAGATAATCGGGCTCTCCAAGCACACAATGCAATAGAAGCAAAGATGCTGTATGGGAAGTACTTGTGAAGCGCATATTGGTTCCGCAAAAAAAGGTCAAGTCAGGAGATTGCTAATTCAATCAAGCAGCCCGCAACCAAGGTTCTTTTTATATGAGGAGAACATACAAGCTATGGGAGTGATGGAAAGAAGGATGTAATGGGAAATGGAGCCTCGATTCGTCTTCGCTTGTCAGGGCTTATCAATGAGGGGATCTGTAGCGCATGATGTGCGTAGTCAATTATGAAAAGATACATATACCATTGGCTTATTTGGCCTGTATCAAACTTACAATATGGTGGGTGGTAGCAATCTGACAAGTTTGGATTCTTCGCACCAAATAATGCCACGAGGCTTGGTACTGTCAGACGTGGTGGGGCGACTTACTAAAGTAATGTAAGAAACCAAGTAGGCGAACAGAGCTGCGTACAAACTATCCCTAATCTAATTCGTGCAACCTGAGCTATCCTTATCTCTCGATGCTCTGACTCTGATGATGTTGTCTTTGCTCTGATGCTTGGGCCGTTGCCTAGTGAATAACGAATAGCTAGTTACGTGGTCGGCTCTCTTCTAAGATGATCCTCAAGGAAACGTATAGTCATACCCGACTACCATATTCGTCCTGTATGTACCAATCCATTATCCAAATCCCCTTCTAACCCTTTTTTCACCTTTTCTTTGATCATCCAGGATGGAAACAGACCTTTTCATCGTTTTCAATCCAATTGGAATCATTGTGGAAGGTTTTCCCCCTCATTTTAGAGTTTCCCTTTCCTATTTAGAGTTCTCCCCTCCTTTTGAATTTTTCTACCCTTGCCACCTCTTCTTATTAGATCTACTATACAAAGTACTGAGAAAAAATTCGAATTTTATATTCCATAATACAAAATTTTCAAAAAGTTGAAAAATTCAGGCTTTAAATATTGGTTAAATGATGTAACAAAAGTTTTGCTATACGGAATGCGTATTGTCTGATGTTCAAGTCTAGTCTGACTTTCGAAGAGCATAAAGCTGCTTCTACTTCCATTGGAAGGATTGAGGCTGTTTTGAATACTCCATAGCACCCCATTACTCTCTATTAAAAGCTCAAATGAGCTTTTAATTGTTCTATATATTCTTGGACCAAGAAAGAACATTAATTAAATCAATTAATCGATCATTCACTTGGACTTGACAGGGAACATATATGATCTCACTCCGCCGGGCTTTATGTATTTAGCAATGCCATATAGACTTAGATAGATGATTCAATATACACACTCTCCACCTAGCACTTATTGGCACTTGCTTATGCCTACCTATCTCTAATGTTTCTTTGAACAAAGTTCATGCTGGATTACAGAATCATGGAACTGTGGCCTCCAGTACATTCTATCCGATAAGTGATGACTTGCCATCGAGTAAAGTATACAACAATCACATATCTGCGTACTAGAATACAGAAAATTGCATGTCGGCTTGCTGTGTTTTAATAGTGACCTTGTTTACTCACACAAGAAAGAGAACGCTTTTAGAAATTGGCAATCAGTTGTTTAGTAAGCAGATGTATCGAAGTGCTCGAGCACTGTGAGTTGAGGAAAATATGCAGTGCAAATAGCTACGAAGTCAAATTGCAAAGTAGTCTTAGAGAACACCTATTTGCTTAGCCCAAAAATATCGTATTGACGATGCAAGAAACATTGACAGTATCGGTGGTATCTTTTGGTATTTGTTTACTTGTTTTCTCGAACAATCTTATTCCAGGTACGCATCGCAAACATCTTTGTTGACTTCAGGATCTAGAATATGCATTTTTGCTATAAATACCCCTTGCTGTTCGACTCGCTTCTCAAGACAACAATGAACCATATGGCAATCCATCGACCCCATTGTCACATTTTCCCCATTTTGTTTCTCCTGATGGTGCCACATAATCATGGTAGCAAGATGTGAATCCTGAGGCCCATTCTCGCAAAGCATCCCAATCGCGACACTGACGTGTCTGATTAATCCCCGCATCATTGTGCCCTGTTGTATACAGGAGCTCGTCATTAGCCATGCACATGATACTCTGACGTAAAGAATCGAAACAATGGAGATCGTGTTCCAGTGGACGATCTGGTGTCTCACCGCGTCGGAGATTCATATAATGACGACGAAGGGTTTGCTAAAGGCTGTATCAGTCTTGTATGTCAATAAAGAAACATACGCGGAAGGCAGCTTACAAGGCAATGTATGCCGTGATAGCCTTCAATGACGTATACTCGTTTTGAAGAATCTCGAGGGTGAATCAAGGAATCTGGAAGGCCACGGGCAGCAGCCCACTCAGGTGCGACTGAAACGAGTCCATGTCCTGCTTCAATGGCTGTCCATGATTTGTCCTCCTCCTCCTCATCGTCGTTCCAGAACCGTGTTGGGACATGCGCTATACGGATATTATCGCGTGCGTAACTCAATCCATCTATTTTTGCACGATTAGCCTCTACTTTCCTAAGAATTGAAATACATGGCATACTTGGCGAGAACTTGGGAAGCTGATGTGATAGCTCTATTCTCAGCTGAGCAATGAACAGGCCCTGAATCAAGGTAATTATGATGAGTGCAATATTAGTGACGAGAAAGACTTTTCGACGTTGAAACCAAGGTCCGGATTCCGTCTTACGGGAAGTGGTTGAATGTTTGAGAAACTCCTCCTCTTCGTCATCAGTATGTGATGAGTTCACAAAAGAACCCCGTAGCTGTGAAATCTTCGCTTCAAAATTCATAATAAAGCGATCAACAAGCAAATCCAGACAAACTGTATACTGGAAAGCTAAATCAGAGTGGATAATATTAACGCTCTTAAATTTGAAGATAAGCATATATGAGCATTGCCAACTAATATGAAGGTCATCGATCTCATCTCACTAGGTCAGCGAGTTGAGGCATCAGTACGTGTAATACAGTACACAACTTACCGCAAGCAATAGTCAGACCATATGTATCACTCGGTAGATCTTGAAGAAAGAAAGTTTTCTGACTAAATATCTGACTCAGACTGATTTCCCCACACCAGTCACTACTAAACTCATCAGTGACATTTTGACTAAGCACGTTTGAGCCTACATGCAGAGCAATGGCTTTATCAATGCTCCATATTATCACTGATGAGGCGCAATCAGTGAATACTACTTATACGTCTAGGTCCAATCACTTCGTTTGTTTCCTAACACAAGAATCTTTGCCCACTCTTAGAAACTCGAACTTCAAAAGCATCAGTCTATATATACTCAAATCCTGCAAGCAAAAACATAAAGCCTCACTTTTTTTGCCACTAAAACTATACATATCACAATGCGTCCTATCTCTGTCACCACCGTCTTAGTCCTGGCCTTGGCCTCGACCGCATGGGCTTTACCAACCATGGAGGATGCCACTCCCTACAAGGAAAAGCGTGGAATGGAGGATGCCACTCCCTACAAACGTGGAATGGAGGATGCCACTCCCTACAAACGAGGTATGGAGGATGCCACTCCCTACAAGGAAAAGCGTGGAATGGAGGATGCCACTCCCTACTAGGATCCATGCCGCTTGAACGATTCATCTTGCTTCACGAGGGCAATTGGCGACGGGCAAGGAAGCGGGAGGTTGAAGATGGTTGGCGGTGGAGGTTGTGATGATTTCCTTGTTGATTTTAGCTTGGGGGCTTCAAGTAATTGTCTCTATTATGCGGCAGGGGTTGCCTCTACCCATCTTGAAATCAGACAGATGCTCCAAATTATACACTCATTTCGAATCCGTTACATCAGATGCTTATTTCCGTATCCAGTTGATGGTACTACACTATCATTTAGTCTTGGTAAATAGAATACTTGAAATTCAATACCTTATGATGAGCGAACCAGCTTATCATGTTGTGCTTTGTCAACCGACTAATGTCACTGTATCGGCAAAACCTCACGTGGGTGACTATTTGTTGGATAAAATCACAACAATTTTATCGTCAGGCGCAACCATAATATTGACCGTCACAATCCAGTGAGTAGCTGCTGCTGATCCTACCAGGGAGTGAGAGCAATTAAATGTAACGTGACATTCGACATTGGCTATACATTCTTTGCTCTTGATCTCCGGGGCTTAGCGCTAGACCTCAGTTGGACGTACATACAAGGCTGGGAACTAGTCTCGCTAGTATGACACCTTCTGCACGGGCCATTCTGAATGACTAATCTACGTAGTTATCGCTACAGTAGTGTTATCGCTGGTACTGATAACTTGCAATAGGTACCTAGTATCTTCTCTGAATTCAAACAATTCCGTACTCGATATTCGACATTCGATACCCAAGTTTGTGGTTTTTTTTATCACGCTAGCCTTACGATACATTCCAAGAGTTTCCAAAAACAGCTAGTAACCTAAGCCATATGTCCCACGTCTTAGTATCTCTGACTGTACTCATACTCAGTGTATTAGTCTACTCGCGCGTGTGGCTTATGCGTGAAGCCGATAGATTTTTTCACTGTACATTTGATGTGCCTGATGATTATGATTACATACTGTATCTTATACTCATGTTAAGTCAATATGTTTTATCAGTAGACAATTCTTATTGTACGTAGCTTGTATTATATCACACACTTTGGGCCTTTACTAGAATGTGGTACTTGAGGTTTGCTTCATACCGCTCTAACAACCTATTCATTCAATTACCATCGCTTCCAATTCGTTATTTTATGATGGAATCTCAGGACGAGTCTATGGAACCTCTCAATTCCGGCTTCCAAGGTTTAGTTCAAAGCGAGGATTGTAATCACCCCAAGAGCTATGTCAGGAAAAGATGCTCTGCTCGACGCAATTTCTTCTTGATTGCTACATTTCATCTGTTAGCTTTTCTCTTGTCTTTGCTTGCAGCTGTTGCCGTGGCAAATCATAAGACAATTTACTGGCGCTCTTGCGAGCAAAAATGTCCGAAACCCCTGATACATTGTGAGGTTTCAAAGCATTCACAATAATAGTGTGCTATTGCTAACTGGAGAATAGCACCAGCTTATGATGGAGCGTTGTACAACATTGTCACAATTGAAAGTAGCAAATTAATCGGGTCGCCATTCTCTGGCAATCCGGGCCCAGCAGTTGACAAAGCGTGGGATGACTTAATGAGTAGTATGTCTGCAAAATTTGACTGTTGGGGAAATTCTCACACGCACCCAGGAATAAATATACGTATTTCGGAAGACGATCTTCGAAAAGTCAATGGGACTTCAATAAAACTTGCTGACGGTTCCAACGACTATTGGGGATCGATAGAGGTATATCATCATCTACATTGTTTGGTAAGTTTGAGTCCCGTCTTCTGTATGAACACGTTCAACTTGTTCGTTTGCTGAGAAACTTGCCAGAAAGTCATCCGTCATTACATAGCCAAGGATTATTATCCCGACGCTCAGAAATTTGTCACTGAGCCCGGAATGATCTATCCCGAACATATTGGTAAATTTAATCCCTTTTTCCCAATCTCAGCGAAGGTTGGCAGTCTGCTTCTTTCTGCCTTTCAATTTCAATATGTTCAATTGTTCGCTAATTCATACCCTCAACGCATAGAGCACTGTATCCAAACTCTCCGTGAACACCTCATGTGTCAACCGGACCTTAGTATCTATACTTATACTTGGCGGCCTAACAGCTATGACCCGCACGCTAATGATCGTACCAAACATAGCTGTATTGATTGGTCGAACTTTGAGCCTTGGTCGGACCAGAGGAGATTTTCCGAATATGACGAACGAGGCTTGCTGAGAAAAGATGATGGTAAGTCTGATTTTAGTATTCTTCATGTTATTCGTTGCACAAGTAGCCTCCAGAGCACCGAGTTTGAACTGATGATCCTCGGGGGAATCTAGGTACGATCTGGGACCCAAGGAAACTGCATGCTTGAAGTGGTTCCAAATTTGTTCCATATTGGTCAAGAAAATGATCTTTGATAACGTTGGATATGATGCTACACATCAGAGCAAATAGTCAGGAAACTATGGCCGGAGAGGATTTCTACTGGATATGAATCCATGAGTGATGTGTATAGTTGTTATTTATACATGAATAAATCAACAGAATAGCGATTAGCTGTGTATAATAGACGCCATCTCCCGTAGCTTGCAGAGAGCTTGGGACTTGTCTTCGTCCATCACTCAGCTTGAAATCACGCGCTGAGAGGTTTGTTTATCGTGATACGACAGCACACAACATTAATATTTAAATCTTCAAACTGAGAAAAGACATTAATAAAATCAAACAAATCGATCAACATGAATGCGACTCAGTCCCACCACAATGCCTGTCATATTTCCAGATATTTGACATGGATGTCCCACTCAGTCACTCTTTTCACCAGTGTTCAGGCAAGTACCAATCCAGAGTCGAAGATGCTTTGCCGAAGCTTTTTTGGAGAGATAGAGTAGCGATACGATGGCAAGTATGACATGGGAGCGGTTTTGTGAATGCACAGCTGCCACATCTGTAGTGAGAGCTGACACCAGCGACCACAGATTTGGAAGCTATTCGAAGATTAATTACGGCTTTGCAGCGTGGGGTAAAAAAGATAGTCAACGGTGCACCGGGATTCAAGCTTACCATTACCTGGAATTTCTTTTGGGCTTGTGCTGCGGAAACTTCGACAGGAGCAATGTGGCCATTGGCCAACGGTGAATTTCCTGCCAAAATGCCAATAATTGTATCGCATTCTTCTCTGTTTGTGCACTCAGCTACTAGTAGATCTTCTGCAGATTTAAAAGTCTCATCGAGGTATCCTTGAGCCTCCCATTGTGTCCAATTTACTGCGTTCTCGCGCAGAGCAACAAGAACTTTCGGTAAGCCTCGTCTTCGGCTGAGTCTTTGGACGCTTGCTACTACTGAATCATCACTGAAGTCTGCAGTGTAATAGCTTGATATTACTGAATCGAAATCTGTGAATCCAACGATCCTCGAACACTCTAATAGAAAGTTCAATCTTTCATTGAAGCTTGCTCCCTCTACAGGCACAGAGGGCATATTTGCTGTACTTTCCTTGGGCTCGGGGTTTATAGCCTTTGGTGTTGAGGACATAGTTTCAGCTACTGATTTTTCAGTATCTTCGCCGAATATTTTGCAAGATCGCGGGTGCTTAGAAGCCGTTCTTTCAGGATACCTCTCCTGGGGCGCGTCGACTGGGAATATTGCCGAATCTATATATGACATGGCAATATCATCTTGAAAATTCTCCTCGTGTGGGCTAGCAAGCGGGTTTTCTTCAGTGTCTCTATAAAAATGTGGGTAGCTTGCACCACAGGGTTCGTTCCATGTATGTGCCTCGTCAACTTAAGAGGGTAAAGTCTTAGCGGCTCAATCCAACTTTCTTGACAAGAGAATGAAACTTACTTAACGTGTTACGATCGAAGTCTTCCCCCAAGCTATTGAGCATAGTAGAAAAAGAAGATTGTTTTACTACATCTCGAGGGGAACTCGAATTACCATTCAATGATTTATTAGCCATCACGGGCATACTGCCGTGTGTGCGGTTTGAGAGCGCGGGAGAATACGTAATTATATGATCTAGATTGCGGTGATTTGGCTGCCTAGCTTTTGCCTGGGGGTGTGTCGCCGTTGGATCAGGGGAGGACAAGGAATCTAACATCTCTTGTTCGATGTGGGAGCGAGGGTCACCGCATCTGGACTGCTGGTGCAATGACGCTCCATAGCCAATATTACGGGGCAGTTGATTCTGGTATGCGCATGTAGCATAGTGTTTATGATTTCCATCGAAGTGACGCAGGTCGTGGTAATAGTGAAAATTGTCGTCTAAAGCTAAACCAACACTAGACTTAGTGCCCACCTGCGCCACTGTAGTTTGTCGTTCAAGTTCTTCAATTCGTCGTTTTAGGTTTGTTCCTGGATTAAAGTCAGCTTATCCAAATCTTGTACAGCCACAGCGAACAATGTAATGACGTGAAGAAAATTTTGTCTTACTGTAATTCCTCTGAGCAATGCGATTTTGTATCCGCTTGCGGGCCCTTTGATCAGAAACCTTTGACCAATCTTCATCATCATCAGGAGCCGAAAGTTGATGAGAAATCTGAGAATTGTGGGTACTGACCGAGGTCGGATGAGGCGTGGCGGGGATTTCAGACATAGCGGGATTGAGCAATAAACTTGCAAAGTCCATTGTTCAATTGCATCCATTACTGACTTTTATATATGCCTGAAGTCCTTCCCTTTCCATCATCATCACCGAATTTTTTATTGTCTCCAACTGTTGAACCAACATGCATCAACGTACGTTGCATGATGGATGCATTTAACAGAACCGATCCTTGAATACCTTCCTTTCTGGGAATGTACTGTTGGCCTGTTTGCTTCAAAATCCTGTTTGCTCTCGATATCCTGGTTCCAAATCACTTCCAGCTCCTAAGTCCAAAGGCATAACTTCAAAGAATGAAGTTACCTCATATTTTCCATTCAAAAACAAATGTTAATGTATCCTAACGAGCAAGTGGTGTCGCAATGTTCCTGACTTATCGACCCTGTTGTTTGGATGAGTTGATGTGATGTGTCAGGAAGTAGGAATGCATGCAGCGAGTGAGATAGCTAGCGTAACTGAACCGTATATTCTCCAATCAAGACTCGGAGTAGATCTAAGAGCGGGTGATCAGACCAACTTACCTAGCCATTTCGACCTCGATAACCATGGTGTTTCTTCCGAGATTTATCCTTCAAGCCAATTAAATCTTTTGGGATATCATATCTTCTATCTTGCTGGATTTTCCCTTTCAAAACGGCTTCCGGTGTTACTAGACCAATCATGTAGGTTACCATATCTCTGGGCCCCTATCGCCCTTATCCGATGACGCAGGGACTACATCAAAAACCACGTATCACATCCGAAAGTCGTGTTTCGAGCGGTTTGCGTTTGCGCTTGAGGATTTTGGGGAACTGTTGAGAATCAACGAGTAAATTATAGTGAAAGGTAGGATTATAATGTAAATGCAAGTCCTTGGTGTTGGGACCCACGAAAATAGTGCTGTAGGGACTATAGGATTGGAAAATAACTAAGATTAAAGGTAACCGAATAAGTAATCAGTGATTAAGAAAAGATAGGTACCTATCTTTATTGGTATCTACCTTATAGTAAGCATAAAGTAGATAACGTGGTTTATCAGTAAGCGGAACACTTCGAAATACACTAAAATTCGAGTTTTTTGAATGTTTGAAATTAAATAATCAATTATTATTTCATTTAGAAATTCTAATGTTAATTTTCAACAATTATAAGAAGTGTTTGTATTAGATTTTTTTAAGATTTACTTTATTCAATCTTGAGATATAGGAAAAGTGGGCCGTGTGACGATATGCCTTAGAGAGCTGAATAAACAGGGTTCATTTCATCCTTAGAATCTAAAGCTATAGAACTATAGCTCTCTGGGAGGCTCTTTATATACATGATCTCGTACGCTAACGGAGCGGCTTCGGCCGCGTTCTTCTTCGATCTTACCATCACCATTTTCCCATAGTAAATCCTCGAAATCCGATCGTGCGCGAACGGACCATCGGCTTCTTCGTTATCCCACGTGATTTACCTGAATGTATGTGACTTCGTGACAGCCGAGAAATCACGATTCTCTTATCTCTCAATAACTGTTCGTTATTTTAAAGTTTTCTTTTTACTGAATAGTTCTTTGAATTTTTTGAATAGATTTTCTTATTAAAATAATGATTAATTATTAAAATCTGAATATCAGAAAAGCCTGAATTTTGGTGTATTTTGAAGTGTTCCGCTTACTGATGAACCACGTTAGTAAGCACAGATTAGATAAACAATAGTATCATTACAAGTCACGGTGCTGGGCCTCACGTGATCAGGAAACCGACTTATCGAAATCGGTTTTGTGGCAATCGACTTGTCGATTCGTAGAGTATGAAGGTCTATATAAGGAATAGGTTTCATTACAATGTAGAGCTTCGTGCTCAAGACAATCATTAGTTTCATACTATAGTTACGAGAATTGCAATCAGTTTTAACCTTATCGAATTCCTACTTGAAGTTTAATCTAAACCACCTCGAGAGATCTCTAGATACTTCCACGTGACCCTAGAGGCAGCTCCCGTAACAGCCAGGTTTTCTGTCACATGTTGTAGAACACTATTTTTAAAATCTTTGTGATAGCTTATAGAATGCTAATAATAGGAGAAAGAGAGAGTTCTAAGTCCTCGATTTGAATAGAGGAGTGAGTTAGGTGAACGACTATAGATTTGATACTTCGAAGCTATGAAAAAACAATTCGAACTCTGAACGTATCACGGAGGAATAGCTATGTCGATTGGTCACTTTGATCATATAATAGGTATTTATGGTGATAATAAACTAGATTGACTTGAGGTATGATCATAAAGATCATACCTACTTTATATACCCTGATCGGGCGACGGAGTCGCCTAATAAGGTATTAGGGTTCACTGATATATAGAATAAAAGAGCGTTTTGTGATCATGGGAATAGGCGCTCTGAAGGAGTGCCAGGCTCAATCACGTGGTGTTGCACAAGACAGCGATTTCCGTGACAGAACGCTTAATTGACGATTTGTGTAGTGACAATTAGCCTGAATTCTATTCCAATGAGCTATACACAAATCATACACAAGCCAGAATCAATTGACAACGAGTTGTTGAATTTAGTATCCAATAACGAGCATTTGTTTGATACCGCAGGTATTTTCTAGAAGCTTTCGGTGGCCAAATATCTCATTTTACACTTCCAGGGATTGGTAATCACTCTCTACCTACAAGAAAAGATCAGTTCTTTTCCTATCCTATGAATTAGAGCAAGGCTTTGATTATGAAACCCTAATTTTCAGCTCGGCTGGAAAAACTGCCTAATGACATTTTATCAACTTCCTTTTTCAGCTTGGCAGTGAAAAACTGCCTTGCTGCGGATTCGAATGCCTGTATACGAACTCCCATTTTCAGTTTAGCACAATTTAATCCTTGTATTGAGATTACGGAATTCCAACATCAGATTTTATAAAATACCGTATTTCAAAATACGGTTTTTGGGATTGAGTATCATCAAAACAGTATAACACAGGACCTGTTTACGAAATCCGAGTTCGTCATTTTTCAAGCAGCATTCATTAGGAATGTCACGTTCAAGTAAGGGTGGTTTTATACCACTAAACCACAAGCCCGTTTTTTGATGCTCTTCTGTCGAAAAAAAAAATATATATACTCCCAACAACCACTGCTTTTAAAATCTTTTTTCGTAAACCGTTTTCTATAAACAAACATAATATATCTTCATTTTCATAACATAGTTTTTTTAAAAGATATTTTCTTTCTCCTAAAATAGTTTAGGATCTGAAAAAAGAATTCTGTTGTTTTTTAGGAAAATAACAATCAACCATTTTCCATTTTAATCATATTAGAAATTCGAATATTTAATATAATATCCTATATACTATATTTATTTAAATATTTTCCTTTTCTCTTTTTTATATTCGAATTTACAATTTTCATTACATTACAATATCGAATTAATTCTTTCAAACGAATTTTCTCTCTTTTTTTTATTTTATTCTTTTTCTCAAATTAATACTATAAAAATAATATAAGCTCTTTCACTTAAGAATTTATTCACAAATTTCGAAATTAAGAACTTTAAAAGGAAATCATTATTATCTATCTTTTTAATATTATATAGCTATAATATAATCTGGAAACTTTAGGAGAAATAGATTATAAATATCAATCTTCTTCAAAATCATTTACTAATATCTTATATCAAGCTATCTTATACAACTTAATAATATTAATATAAAATCAACTCTAAGAGTTCTTAAAGGGTTCTTTACTATATTTATAAAGGAATGATTAGGTTTATTAGACAAACGTCTTTCTATAAAGATATTAATTCAATATGTAATTCGCTTCAAATTAGTATATAAGTGAAAGTATAATAAAGAGCTTAAATCAATATTGAAGCTTTACATTATAAGTTAAATCAAATCATATTTTCAGATTATTATTTTGTTGATATATTTTAGTTTATAAAAACTAATCTAACAAAAAGTCTAGGTTTAAGTATAAAAACCTATTCAAAGTTTATTACTAGTTTCAACAATTTGTAAGATATATTCGACTATTTTTGAATGAACAATCCTCTCAACTTTCTATATAAACAAGCTAGAGTTCAGATTGCTTTATTGATTTTGATACTTATATATACAATATTATGCTTAAATATTATTATCGAATCACATACTTATTATATAACTAATCAATCTATATGGTATAAGATATAATAAGATGTAATTTCGAAGGAGTTATTAATAATTAATCTCATCTAAAGGATATAAAACTCTTTTTATAGTAAAGTCCAAACGACAATTGTCCGTTAATAAGTATTTTGTTTATATTTAACCTTAGGAAAAATGAACAGAATAAAAAAAAAAGGTATAAATAAGATTATCTTTTCGAAGTGTCACGGATCGGCCCCAATCGCAACTGCGATCGCTCACGTGCGCATGCGCGCACGCGCACGATCACGTGTACATAGCTAGTATATAGGTGCGCTCCATGAGCGCTTTGCTCTCGATTCTGTAGTTGTAGATTCTAAGGATAAATTGTACCCTGCTCTCGCAGTTCTTCTATGGCAAAGTGTCACACGAAGTATATTTTCTAATATATTCTTTAATTATAAACAACAGTTATTTAAGAATCTAACATCTAGGGATATATGTTCAATCACACTTTTTCTTGCTCTAGCTTTTACCGATGATGCTTTTGAAACAATAAAGAGCATTAAGGAACTATATGATTCTAGTATATGTTTTGTAAAGTACATCGATATATAATTTAAAGAAAGTGTTTTAAACAAACCTTTGTTTCGAAGTAATCAATCGATAGAGGCATCTCAGGATGCTGAGTTGTTGGTTTATTAAGTATTCAATCACTTATTAAGGAAAATCGCACAGTGTACAGGCTTCAAGGATATCTTTATATTTTATATAATAAAATGTATTTCAGTCAACATTCTGAATTGTGAGTATTCTTTATTTCCCTTTTAATTTATAATTCCTGTCCTAACTTAAAAAGAACATATTACTTCAACAGAAAGGGGTAAAATACTCGAATATTCGAATAATAAAGTTTTCTAAAACAACTAATATAGTTTATTAGTAAACAGATTATATTAATGAATAGATTATTTTATTTTATATATAAAATTTGTTTATGTGTAATTGTACACTTTCTTTATATAATAATATAATTTAAAGAAATCTGAAAATATTGAACTTTAATTATATAAATATTATAAAAATCTAATTATTTATTAAAAAATTAAATTATTATAATAGTTATTATAAAAATAACTTTTTTGTAACGAAAATCGTAACAATTTCTACTTTTTTTTAGAATATAATAGAAATATTTATAAAAAAATTAGATTTATAAAAAGCTAATTTTTTATTATTATTGAAAATCCTTTTCTTTTTTTAAAATAATAATTAGTTATTAAAATAAGAATATTAAAAAAGGTTTAATTTTGATGTATTTTCAAATGATCTATTTATTGATATAACCCACTCACTAATAAACCACGTTATAGTTATTGATAATTTATTTGAATAGGTTGTCTAGTTTATATATATCAAATCTAAATATAGTTTTATATCATACTACTTCTTACTATTAAAATACGCATTCCTATTAATGTTATTGTAATAGAGGTTCCGATTTACAGTTTGTATATGCCCTCCTGTTACGACGGCATCCAACATACCGCATCACATGACCAGAAAGTCACGGGATTAGGGACTCCCACTGGATCCCACTACTCCCACCTAATAGGATACAATAGGATCAATAAGATAACAAAGAATAAATATCTATATTAAAAAATAAGTTTCATTATAATATAGAGCTTTATACTTAAGAACAATTATTAGCTTCATTATTATAGTTATAAGAATTACAACCAATTATAACCTTATTGAATTCCTACTTGAAGTTTAGTTTAAACTACCTCGAGAGAACTCTAGACACTTCCACGTGACCCTAGAGGCAGCTCCCGTAACACCTCCACTAATGTTGATATTATTGTTACTATTATCTTTATAATTCTGAATAATACTTTCAATCTCTTTTTAAAGAGAGGAGAGCATTTCCTTTATCTTTTTAATTCCTTTTTCAAGTCCCTTTATTTATATTCCAGTAGTGATTTTTATTAGCTTTTTGTATATAAGTAATTAAATATCCTTAAATATTTCTTCTATTAAAGATTCTATTTTATCCCCTTTTTGTAATATATTCAAAGCCTTTTTATATCAATCGAACCATTTATTATCATTTTTTCGAACTACTTTATGAATATTTTGTTAAGATTATTAACCTTTGCTTTATATAATTCTAAAACAAGCTCTATTATATCTAGCACTAGTTTATCAAGCAATGATACTCTCTTTTCAGTATATCGAAGAATCTCAATAACAAATGGCAATTGTATAGTCATTTAACGGAATGCTTCTGGCTAGCCTTTCATATTTCCAGCAGTATTATATACCGTTTTGACTGCTTTAATGATTGATATCACACCCGAAATGAGGCCAATGATAAAGCCAGCCTCAACACCGGACATAATAGGCAGGTGATAGACAATGATTTATGAGCTTGCCTCAAGGAATCGATATGCTAAAGTAGCTTGTGAGTTATTAAAAGAACGAAAAAATATGGGGTTTAAACTTACTTAACTAAATGATGCTATTGAACAAGATTGTAATGATTGAGGGATGCTTAGAGCGTTTATAGGGAAAGAAGGTTAATAATAAGGATATAACAGGCTTTGCGTACAAGGGCTATGTAATCACATAAGCTGAGTCGTCGCAGCACCTGACTCCCGCGTAAATCAGCTCTAAGGAAAGTTCGTAAAGATTGTAGAGCTGAAAAGCTGTAGAGCTGAAAAGCTGCAGAGCTGCATAATATAGCCCCCTAGCAAAAGACTAATCCTAATTTATATAATAGAAAACATAATGATAATAGATAAAGGATTTATAGAAATCTGTTAAACAAATCATAATCAATAACCAATAAAAATCTCTAGATAGCAATCGAAGGTCTTGTTTCAATGCTTATAATTGAATGCTAAATTTGAACGACCTTCATTTTACACTTATAAATTATCTGGATATAAATAGTGAATGGAGTTCTAATCGTACTCTCATATACTGGGATACCAAGTCGTATACAGTCTTTCAGGCATTTCAATACATTGAAAGCATTTATGTCCAAATAGTATATAAGTGTAAAATGAAGGTCGTTCAATTTCGATATTCAATTATGAATATTAGAATAAAATCTTAAATTATTATCTAGAGATTTTTATTGATCATTAATTATAATTTGCTTAATAGATTTTCATAAACTCTTTATCTACTTATTATTTTATTTTTTATTATATAATTCAGGAATAATCTTTCATTAAAAGGTCATTTTTTCAGCTCTCCATTGTCACGTAATGACTGAATGGCAATGCGATCGCTCACGAGTGGCTGCCTGTCTTCACGGAATACTAGGGCAGGTCTATCGAATACAATGTACTAATTATATTGTAATAGTGATAAGTAATGGTTGAAATTACTATTTGAGTCAAGCACGAAGCTTCAAATACTAAGGAAATACATGATGTTCATATAGACCTTTGTTCTCCTTGGATAGACTGTTTATTCTGTCTATACTCTCACGTGACCCTGCAACTGTGTTTCCCACCAAGAGTACTCCTAGGACCTTACTGTCCCCTGAGCCTAAGGTCTCCTGGTCACATGCTACCAGAAGTTGTACTTGTAACATAGTGTTCATTACAGCTGCTACCGACAAGCCCAAATAATTATAAGCTAGACCTATCGACATAGAGGATCCTAAAGATGTCAATTGTATTAGTATATTGCTTGATATACAATCGCTCTCGAAGTTGTTAGATCTTACCTCGTATAACTAAAATCGCAAGCTATATTAGTATGATTCCAAATTAGATCAGCTAGGCAACAAGAACTTACAGCTTGACATCGCAGATTTCCACAGCAATCAGTTTGGTAGGTACAATGTTGCCCTTTCCCTACGCATTGTGGTTGTGCCGGTTGTTCGAACAATACCTCTCCCTTCCAACTAGGTTTTGCAGCAACTCCCAGTCCGGCGAGGATAGTTATGAGAACAATTGAAACCTTCATTTTGGATAAGAGAAGAGGTGAGCGATAATCAGAAGTTGCAATTTGATAGTATAAAGTAGTTTTGTAACGTCGAATTGAATTGAGTTATATCTGAGAATTACAGTTCCTTTATATATCCTAGAATAACTGTTTTCTAAGTACAATGATGTAAGAGGAGATATTAACTATAGAAGATTAAAACAAGCTAATGTCGGAAATGTCATTTATATTCGGTATGTTTACATCATCTTATCTAAGTTAAATGTATGATTCATTCAATGCAGACTAGGAAAGGAGAACAACTTATTACAATTCAAGACTATAAAAGCTAAAGCAAAATCAATATACTAAATTCTCTTCATCAACTTACTCAATTGGATTTTTATTGCATATAATATTGAAATACCCCTCACCAATTAACTTGATAGAATCTTTATTGTATGTACATCGAAATATCCTTTACCAATTAACTTAATAGAATCTTCGTTGCATGTACATCGAAATACCCCTCACCAACTAACTTGATAGAATCTTCATTGCATATACATCGAAATACCCCTCACCAACTAACTTGATAGAATCTTTATTGTATGTACATCGAAATATCCTTTACCAACTAACTTGATAGAATCTTCGTTGCATATATATCGAAATACCCCTCACTAACTAACTTGATAGAACCTTCATTACATATATCCCTATAATGGCAAAGTTAATATTATAGACGAAGAGAAATTCAGTATAGATCCCCATATAAATTTCTATTGTATATATAACGATATTAATCTTTCTTTTGTTATTAACGAAATGCTGATTTTGTTAATAACAAATATTATCGATACAAAATGCGACCCGTTTATTATTATATTTTTAATAGAAAAAAAAGAAAATAAGGGCCCTTAAGATTCCAAGATCTTCGAATATTAGAGTTATAGGAAAGGTGGATGGAAGAGTGTGTGCGTAGAGGCTAGGAGGAGGCTATAGAGGTGAATAGAAGCTATGGAAGAGGAGGAGGGGAGCGAGCGTAGGAGCTAGAATGAATGAAAGGCATTAGCCGAAAGTCTAAAGGGGGGTCTGTTCATCAATTACAACACTTCACCTTCGATTTATTCTTTAACTAAAAGCTTTACCATTATACTATACAATACAGAATGTATTAGATAAATAATCTAATTTTAATACAAATAGACCTTTTTATTTGAAAGTGATTACTTTAGATTAAAAGTTAGAATTAGCTTTCGAAATTCAAGAAATTCATTAAGACCCTATTAATTAAAATAAGCTTCATAAACTACAAAGATTTAAAATAATCACATTAATACTTTAAAAACGATTTATTCAATATATAATTAAAGGATTGAAGAATTTATTACAATAATGAAGAATTTACTTCGTTAAGTACTGATTCTGCTACCACAGGGTACATTGTGTTGTCAGGTCACAATTGAGCTCAAGAATATAGGCATAATAACTTGATTGTCAACTAAATTGCTTAACTTAACTTTTAGGTCAACCACTTGAGGAAGTAGTTGATTGATTGATTGATTGATTCATAGACCGATCCCAGCGACCAAAGGTTGCTCATACGGCATTGTAGTTGTTGAATGATCACCTAATCACTAGTAGCTGTTTGTATTTACACTCCGTTTACTTCCTCTACCTTGGCTGTTACGGTTGCAGCATCTTATCCCCTCCACTTCGCTTCTCCATTTCAGTTCGAGTTTTGATTCACCATACCCTAAATGATTCCCAATGTATAGAATGTGATCACAGTATCTATGGAATGGCTTCGAATTGCCCAAGAAGCCCAGTGTTCTTCATGAATTTTGCTGCCTTTAATATGGGAGCTGTTGCTCCCAATACTTTCCTGAGATCCTGCTGATCTTTTGTTATCTCTTCCCATGCTTCCTGCTGTAGTTTATGATACAAGGGGTAGGAGAAGAGAATATGACGTACCATTTGAGAGCCTCTTCTGCATTCGCACTTGTCATTATCCACATCCGACATCTTCCTAAAATATAAGAATTACTAGAGACCCATTTTTACTGTGTGTGTCTGTACTATTAGCAAGCTGAATGGTTTAGGTACTGACTTATGTAGTAAAAGGACCTTAATGGTTGGTTTTGGGCATATCCTGTTAAGTGCTCGTTCTGTCTTTTCGTTCATCCAGGTCTCTTTTTATTCGACTAGCAAAAGTAAGTTATGGACTGTTCTCATCGCCACTACGAGTGAGTACCCTGGTGGTTTGTAAGCAGTTTGGTCAGTGTCAACTTCCCTTGACCGCCCTCGGTTCCTAATCCTTCGCTGCCTTGTCTGCTCTTTCGTTGCCCTCTACTCCTATATGAGCCAGGACCCAGTGAAACTCTAGCTCTATCCCTTTGCTTCTCAAATTTTCTATCATTTAAATTATCTGGAGGAGGATGTATTGGCCGGATTGATTGTCTGGGTTGGCCATAAACCTGATTGCTGCCTGGTTGTCTGTGAAAACAATGACGGCCTTGTGGTCTTTTTTGTATGCAATCTGGAGTGCTGGGAGAATCCCTCTCAACTCGGCTGTATAAACCGTGGCTTCCGACGCCCGGCCTAGGTATAACCAATGCGTAACGAAGCCGTCGGATGTTACAGCTAAAGCGCCAACTTTATCGTTGATACAGCTGCCATCGGTATAAAGGACGAGGGCGGAGGAGTGCGATCTACTCATAACTGAGTCATGCTCTTCCTTCCCACGTTTCTTGTCAGGTGCAATATAAACCGTTGACGGTTTCCACCAAAGTGCGGTTATATATGACTGCTTGGGTTCTAGTTGCTGCTCAGGCTCCTGCTCTATTCGTATTCTGAGATAATGTTCCACTTTTTCCAGAGAGCTCCATGTCAAATTCGCCTTCTCCCACGGCAGATGTGTAATACGGCGCCTACGGGGTACCCTTACTTTTTAGATGTATTGGTATAGAGGACTAATTTGGATGCGCATTGCCGCGTCCAAGAGGTGTTTGTCGAGCTGCTGGGGAATTGGTTTGATATAGCATTCTATCCCTAATGCTACAATGGAAGTTGCCTTGAATGCTCCTGCAACTATTTTGAGACCTTTGTACTGTATGGACTTGATCCAGTCTACCACTTTCTTCCTATGACTCGGCCTCCCCTGCCGGTACGTACTATGCCGAACTTCCGTAGAGTAGGCTGCACAAAAATTATCCGCACCCGTGGGTAACCTGCAGGTAATCTGCTCTATAGGTTACCCCACTCATTCCCCACTGCTTCTTTAACTATATCTTCTGTAATTGATAGGTCCTGTCTTTCTCTGAGTAATAGGTTCATCATATCAAGTCCGTCGTAGTACATTCTGGCAGCTACCTTTTTCACTACCTCTTCCGTGATTGGGACTTGGCCCATTCTCCGCTCGAGGTGAGAGTATCATTGCGCTGCAAGATTCTAATGATGCAATCTCGACCATCTCTTCTTTTGAAACTTGAGCAGAACTTTCTCCTGTTTCAAGGAGATGCTTCATTGCTTCTAACTCTTCTGTCTCTCCCAAGAGTCCTCGCTCTCGATAATATAACTGCAGATCAGCTATACTGATTAGTGTTTGTGGGTGTTCGACCCCTTGTAGTTGTTTTCTTGTCCGTATCAATTGCAGAAATAACTCTTCTGCATCATCATACAGTCTCAAGTCTTTCAATATCAGAGCTACGTTACGCATTCTAATTACGTTATCCCATATTCTCGACCCAGTCTCTGAATACCCATCCAGATTTAGATGCTCTCCTGTTTCTGAATTCTCACTCATATATGGACACTCTTTTGCTTCCAAACACTGTTCTGCTGTCGGATACTCTTCTGCTGTCGAATGTTCATCACTATCGGAATTTTCCTCCGCCTCTGAACTCCACCTTAATTCTGAACAGCCCTCCGCCTTTATATGAATCTTCACCTTCAAACTGTCACGTATCTCTTCGCTTGATTCTATATCTTTCTCCGCCCCTTGAATATCATCCGTCTCTAAGTTTTCCTCGAGCATTGAGTTTGAATTTACAGGCACTCTCCTTAAACTCTCAGATTCCAGATTTCCTAAGTTCTTCCGAGGCCCCCCAGGTCCCATGCAAGTAGGAAGTCGCGTGGGAAAGTTGTTATTGAACGCACAATTTTGTGCCACTTTGATTTCAATTCTAATGTGAAATCCATTGGAGTTGCTGCAATCATAATGACAGAGAAATGATCCTCGCAAAGTCTGATAATCGTCGGGTTTGAGACTCCTTGTAAAATACAGAAGATATCACCCCTCTGTATCTTCTTCTCCGTCATCGGGAAGATCTAAATAATCAGTTCTATCATGTCTTTTTGTAAATACTTAGGATAGTTAGTGACAGAGAATTGCACCGTTTGCGTGTCATTCCAAGCAACATCGACCTCCACCGAAGTCACATTGCCAAGAATAAAGCCCTTACTTCTGATCACTGCTATCTTCTCATCTGGCAGGAACCTCACAGTGACCTCTTTGCAGAGAAGATACTTGACAAGCTGCCGAAAGAGCTTTCCCCATAGAATGGTGTAGTCGGGGAGTAAGCCTGCTGAGGTAGGATTATCGGAGCACATGGCGAGTAAAGCATACACTTTGTCAAGGTCATCGGTCGATTCTCGAGTATGATATGTATCTATCAGCTCGCTTAAAGGGCGAATATCGAGGGAGAAATTGTCCAAGCTACTTGTTGCATATTTTGGCCGAAGGTTTGCCTCCTTCATGAGATAGATTACGGAACGAATCAATCTTTGCAATCTTGGATATGCTTTGAAATAGGCCTTCGAGGCATTCAACCCTGCACAAAATGCGTATCCGTCGATCTCAATGAGACCACACATGATTAGTATGTGTCGAGCTGCAGCAACTTCTTGTAGCACCTACATAGCTTTTAGCAAGAGTTTTCTATATCAATTAATATAATTCTAGATTAATCAAAAAATTGAATATATAATAGATTTAATCATTATTTATTATAAAATATTATTTTTGTTGAAATCGATACCAAACTAATAAAATTATTATAAAATGAATAATAGAATTATAACATTTAGATGTTTTTAATGAGGTACAGAAAAGTCATATTTTGGAAGCTAATTATGAAATTGAGTGTAGCAGTTTCTGATCAAACTCACCAACGACGACGTCGTCTTCTGTCATAGAATTAACGTAAACATACTCAACATCAATTAATATGTATAAAAACTTATCATTTATCTATCCATATAACCTCTATGGATTTTATAACTGCTTGAGTATAATTTGCATAACAAAACAATGCCAGCCAAAATCCTCCAAACCTTCTCAACCTCTGATCTGCACCTAAAACATAGCTATACCAATTAGAACCTAATGATATATCAGCCCTCAAGCTCAATATCTCTAATACATAGATTCAGTCTTGTAAGTAATGTCTCAAAATCAATAATGCATCAAGACACTAGCCGCTCACTCCCGGTGGAAAGTTACACCTGGCTAGACCAGTTCAAAAACGACTATCGGTTCCGATTCCCCAGAATAACGGGCTAAAGCTTTCTCTCCGATTGCGAAGATCGAGCTAGCTTAGACTCCATGTGAAGACGATGTATCTAACCCTTCATATCAGCCAACCATCTACCTGCCACTTCCAAACGTCAACCTCCTTCCCCTGGTCTCACTCGAGCCACTTAATCCCTCGAATCCCACAACTCTCCCTCCTAAACTAGCGCTCCTCTCATGTCCTCTCTCATTGTCCCACCCTCTATTTGCTCTAGCCCTCCTCGGCACACCTCCTGTCAAGTGACCACCACCCTTTCTCAAAGCCTTCCTTTCCCTCTCCAAATCCTCCAGTCTTCTGACTTCTACTCCAACACTCCTCACTGTATTTCTTGATCCCTGACTTCCCATACTCCATGCCGATCTTGCGCTTCTCATGCTATCTCTTCCTACACTTGTGTCTCTTCTTCTCAAGAACCCTCCCATCTCCTTTTCCCAATCTTTGCCATTCCACGTTTTAAACTTCTCAATTTGTTTAATAACTCCCTCACCAATCTCTTTAACTTGTACTCCAATTCCCACAATATTCTTAGATGGGTCCTCAATTTCTTCTTCAATGATTCCATGACTAGATAGAACAGAGCATTCCTTAACATGCACAGGACTTGGTTCCTTAGGCATCACCAAACAATCCTGATAGAATTCAGGATCTCGAAAACTGATGATCGAGTCTTCGAATCGTGTATGATCAATCGTGTCATCATCGCTTAGCACTTCTTTCATAACGACTTGATCAATTTTGCCCGACTCATTCTCAGAACCGAAATCCGATGAGCCGTCCATATCATCGTCAATAGCATATGGGTCTTTCGCCTTGCCCTTTTTCTTCGGAACAGGCGGCATATCCTCATTTTCACCATCATCAATTGCATCAGAATCCTTCGCTTTTTCCTTCTTTTTGGGGGCTGGTGGCAGATCCTCATCATCATCTTCATCAATTGCATAGGGATCCTTGACCTTCTTTCCTTTTTTCTTGGGCATTTCGTCCTCATCACCCTGATCCCCACCGCCACCGCCCAAGTCATCATCTTCATCCAATGCATAAGGGTCTTTAACTTTCTTTGCCTTCGGACCCTTCTTTTTAACAGGCATCTTTGGTTCAGCTGGTTCCTCGGGCCCAGAACTAAAAATATCCAACAAATCACTTACACCTCCCTTACTCTGCGTCAAATCTGCCGCCTCATAATGCGGTTTAATTTTAGCTTTCTGAATTGCTTCTACTCTCTTTCTTTCCGCCTCAATATCATCCGCTTCATTATCTATCACCTCACTTGGCGGAGGGGGTGCCCTCATTGGTAGCAATTCCAGTTCTGGAAATGGTACTTTTCCATCCATAGTCATTGAACCTCTTCTCCCCAAGATCCCTGAATGAAAAGCATGCTTCTTCTGTCCCTCCTCAATTCTATAATCCATCCAAGCAATCTTAAGTTTCTGACTCCACCGTTTGTAGAACGGTTCTGCAGCTTCAATTGCATCCAGTTCCTCATCAGATAGTACTTGAGAGTTACTACTACTCCCAGTATACATACCCGGTCTTCTTCTCTTCCGTGTACCATAAGAATGCTCCGATCTTCCCAAACCCTCATTTCCCGGGTTCAAAATGGCAAAATCCCTTGCTTCAACAGCCGACTCTACACCCGCACTTTCATGTCCCCTAGAATTTCTTTCGTGGCTGGGAAATCTACACCAAGCTTCTGGGAATTGTTCAATTTGATGAATCTTCGGTTTGCCTCTCGAGCCAAATTTTCGACTTTCGTATTTAGATTTAGATGCAACTCCAGCCAGTTGTGCCTCCCAATCTCCAAAAATATCGTCTCCGTCTTGATTGTCTTTGCGTGCTTTGGATCTATCTGATACAGCACCTTTCACTGCTCTCATCCAAACAGCAGCGGAATCATCTTGACTAGTATCCATTCTTCTCCTATTATCATCCCTAGTCATGGAGCGATTTCTAGCTCGTGGGCCTCTCCACTGTGGTGCTACATTTTGAGCATCATTGCCAGGCCTTCGAGCCTTTGATTTTGGTGGAGCAATTGGAGCGATTGCAGGTGCTTCCTTGGGGTATTTATTGTCTCTTGAGGGAGAATCCGAATCCTGATGACCAAAGCTGATATGAGGAATGTTGGGAAGGTGAGGGGTTGGAATATCAATATGGGGGGTATGAAGGATTGATGAGGCATCAGGAAAGTGAGGTGTAGGCAAGTCCATATGCATAGCAGTACCGATACGAGCAATAGTATCAGGCATATGAAGTTCCGGAGTCGGGATATGCATAGTTGTGGCCATGCGGCCAAGTTGACCAGATAGGTGAAGTTCCGTAGTCGGGACATGCATAGCTGTGGCCATGCGGCCGAGAGGACTAGGTGGATGATGTTCCGTAGTTGGGACATGCATAGCTGTGGCCATGCGGCCAAGGGGACTGGATCGATGATGTTCCGGAGTTGAGATGTGCATGGATGTGGCCATGCGAGCCAGAACACCAGGTTCGTGCGTGTCAGCCATGTTGATACTTGAAGACTCAGGACTTGGTAATTTAATGGATGGTACATTAGGAGGTATGGATATCTTCCGTTGAGCCTCCTTTGCAGTCATTTCGGCGCCCAAGCCTAGTCTAGCATCCAATGCAGATGGCTTTCGTACAGTACTAGACTCGGCTCTACTGCCTCGACGATCATCTGCTGGACCATCGTACCCACCCAAACTAGCTAGGCGCCTGAATCTGCGAAATGCAGAGAATTTACCTTTTACTGGAGTATCGATTGAATCATCAACAATGGTGGTTTGTTGTCTTTCTGGAGTTTTCTTCGTCGGTGTCGAATGACGCGCAGAGCCTTTTCTACCTAGAGTAGTGGGAGTAGAGGTAAATCTGTACCCGAACCCCGGTCTTTGTGGTGGAGGAGCAAGTAACGGATCTTCTTCCACAACATCACGGCTCCTGTTCAGCGAGCAAGCCCTGACAAGCTTCTGAAATGGAGATTTAGGTTGAGGGGTGAGTGAAATATCAAATTCTTCGCGAAATTTACTTGATATTGGTGTACTTGGAGGTCGACGCAGATCTGACGAAGCAAAGCGTGCTTGGATATGACTCAACTCCAGTTCTCGTTCTCGAAAACTGGTGGTTTCAGAAGCAAAAAGCGAGCTCTCATCAATTTGTTTAGCGGAATATCTGCTTAAAGGGGCTTGAAGGCTCGTTAAAGATACATTGATTGTGGTAGGGGTGTCGCTCCCTAATGCTGCTGGCATGAATGGCGAGCGAAGAGGAGTCATAACCCCATCAATTACTTGCTATCATGTTAGTGAATTATACATTACAATGCCAAAAGACTCATACCTTGTGGTTCTACCATTGCAAGAATGCTTCTGCTTGTGGCCATGAAAGGAGATAGCTCAAAACGTGAACATTCTGGCGAAGGCTGGATGCTATTGGGTACGGTAGGGTAAAATGAAGATGTTTCGTCATTTGGTATTTTCCCCCAATTTGGTGGGACTAGCTCGCTCAAAGCAATTGATGGGCATGAAGGGATTGAAATTGTTTCCGATGGGTTTCGCATATATCTAGCACGACTTTGTGTCGCAGTGCTAATTACGGAAGCTTCACGGTGATATTTTTCCCAGCTGGCTAGTTGTGGTGACGAGGAAGAGCTCTGCAGAAGATGTTTAGAGATATCCATATCCTGCAAATGCATATTTGAAAAGCTTCCGCTGCCATCAACCCCACCAAATCCAGAATCTGAACGTAGTGGACGCGTAAATGACGGCTCTTTTTGTGCAGTACTACCTTCCGAAGTAGTGATAGCCTGCGAAGATGAACGGAGCCCATGAGTTTTCAGCCAGCGTGGCAGTGTCTGAGTTCCTACGTTTGCAACATCTGTTGCTGATTGAATTGGAGCCTCAAATTGTTGACTTAACCTTCGAAGATGCGCTCCACGATTTTTTTTATGAGAAGTATATGATAATCGCCAACTCGAGGCCGTGCTTGGATCAAGAGTGCCAAAACTTGGCAATCTTTGAGCCTCTGTAAGAGCTGCTGAAGGTATAGCGGAAACCTCACTGTCTGTTTTCCTGAGGTGGTGTTTTCCAGGCTGGCATAAGTCGATTTTACTAGGCGTGTGACAAGGGCCAGGCGAGCTGTATCTTCGCGGTGGAGTATTGACCGGCTTAAGAAGATTGGAGTTTGGATCACCAGGACCTAAATATGTTCGAGACTTTCCTCGATCTGCTGGTTTCAAAAGAGATACTTTGCTGGTGTCATCAAGCTTGGTAGCTGATAGCGATATTTTACTCGTGTTATCATTATTGCTGGTAAAGAGAGAGATTTTGCTGCCATCGCTAAGTGCCTCTGATCCAAAGGAAGAGCTCTGCCTAGAATAACTAATAAAAATCGTGACTTATAGTTAATCTTCAAGAATCGACTCACTTTCTGAAAATTGGAAAGTTACCACTGTCCTCTGGTAAAACAGATTGCCTCTTCTGACCCTTATCGGTTCGCATGGCAGGACAATCCATTGTACTCATAGATTGAGCATCCTCATCATATCCATTATCATAGCTTAATTCCTCTTCAATTCTCTTTTGCCTTATTCTTCTCAGTTCTTTTCTTCGCTCTACTTCTTCCTGGCTGGTCCCTACACTTTTTCTTTTATCGGTCTTTGTGATTCCAGGTTCGCGGGAAAATGTCTTTATTAAACGACTTTTGACAGATTTGAGTGTGTTGGAACTTAGCATTAGCTTAACTTCCTGCCGTCTTTTGTCCCCGTCATCATCGTCACTATCTCCTTCATTGACTACCACAATTTCGTTCTCTTTATCACTTTCAGGAGAACATTGCTCTTCAAGAACGGCTCTTGTTTCTGTTGTATCTTCCATTTTTGTAGCCGAGCCCCATGTAGTGACTGTTGTTTGTAGCTCCCCAATCCTTAAGTTCGATTCTTTTCTTGGAGACTTCCTCAGCGTGTTGACTGGGGTAAGAGATGGTGATCGTACAGGACGAGGTGAGACTGTGTCGGGGGAAGGAGGTTGACGACTGGTGCAACAAGTGGAAGAACCCATCTTCACCCAGGCCGCATGGGCGAGATGGGATTATAACTAATTTAATGAAACCAAAATTTGACGGTAATCCAGAATTGTGTTTTGTTTTGTTGTTGCACAATGAAATATGTAGAAAGAAGATCTTGACTCTACTTAACGTGTGCCTAGCACTTGGGAAAGTACAAAAGAGAAGGTACATAACTGATAACGGAAAGTTCGATTGGTCGGGAAACCTTTCCAGTTTAGGGAGATCCCATTACTATTTTGGCTACGCTTACAAGACGAAAATGTATAATTTGCACTCGCAACTACTCACAAAGCTTGGTTGTCTATCAAGGGGCAGAGTAACAGCATAAGAAAACCACGAATCTTGTGCCAGTACCACAGACCCAATTGCTTCAATCATTCTTTGTTATTTCATAAAATCTTCTCCATTGATAGGTTGGAGTATCATTGAAACACTCAGGCTAAACAAGTGACCTCACCGGGTCGATAGTTATCAGGAAGATAAAGCGCTTGACGATAAATCTCACATGTCATTTGGATTCATCTCGAATGTGGCAATGCATTACTACAGTAGTAGTAACAAGTCACATCAATATAGCTGCAGAAACACTTCCCAACCGAAGGCCGAAATCTAAAATCTAGAAAAACATTCATACAAAGTTTTCTTTTACCAACAACATCAACAACACATTACCACGTGGGTGGTGCTTTTGCCATATGCTGTCCCTTCCCATTGAATCCTGGACTCTGAGATAACAGAAGCCTAGCTTTTGTTTCTCGCTCAATTTTAGTAGCCCATCTCTTGTCCATTAAATTAAGCTTTGCATTGTAAATGTCCCACAACTGTGGCATGAGCTGAACATCTTGAACACAATAATCCACGATTGCGGGATCAAGCGGCCTCTCATTGAAGGCCTCATATCTTCCCCCCTTTTCTGGCGCAAATAGTTGTACTCCACGCTTCTTTATGACGCTTCGAACTTCGAGCTCTTCAGGAGTTTGCACGAGATCTTGATCCATGCATCTTCCAAGCCCGCTGAGAAATTTCTGATTATGAGATCGAGTTGCAAGTTCCATAAGTTGAAGGTCGATGACCCCTTGTAGTTTCACGCCAAAGTGGCTATACAGAGCATCAGAGTCATTTCTGACGTCGAAGATGACTTTTGGAATGAATGTGGACTCCAAGATTGCTTTCAAGGTAAGGCCGGATGAATTGGGAGTGGAAAATGCTTGTTCACGGAGATTGTGAACATCCACAAGAAAGGTCTTTTTATTCGGGAGGATATAGACTTGGAGGATCGCGATTGAGCCTTTACGACCAATGTTGATTCCCTCTAGGTCGATATAGACAGAGGGTGGACAAGTGGGAAGATCACTATGGCCCAGTAAGTCGATGAGTTCGATAATACCCTCGGGAGTGTCGGTAAGACTGATTGCGGGGATAGTAGAAATGTCCATTTCTTTGACTCCAGCGATAAGAGCTTTAATACGATCTATGATCGTATAGAGTATGTTTGATGCTTTGAAAATAGTCTTTCCGGTGAGTCTAGATATTTACTTTGTCAGCATATATGGTCAATCAACAAATTTCATGAAGTGGCAATTTGCTTAGTGTTAGTGCTAAGGAAATTTGATCAACTAACCTTAAATGGAAAAGAGCTCCAGAAATAATTTTAGGCTGTTTTTAAGTTGTCTTTGTGGGTAATTAAGAAGAGCAGCAGACATACGAGTATTCGGTTTGATGTATTCAAACGACAAACAAACATATCTGGAGGTAGAGTGACTCTTTATCAGACTCATTTTGCTAGAAGGAATCTTCCACATGTTTGACCATCAAAGGCACGTTGGCAATGTTGGTGAGTTCCGTCAAGCTAATTATGCTCAAGGCACTACCTCGAGAATTTATCCCTCCAGTCCCTGTCTTCTCACATTACGACGGTATCTCAAGAGCACCCAGGGCAATCAATTCTTACGCCATCTCATTAAATTCATGCAAGATTTCATAAAAACATCACATGGCCATTGGATGGTAGGCTCTATTAATGAGGAACAGGTTATTTATCTGTCTATCAACGTAATTTGATCACAGCCAAGCCTCTGATTGTGTGTCTTATTCCTGCCTATCTTGGTAGCATATTGAAGTAAGAGCCATAGATGAATTATGAAAACTGATGTCTCTTTCAGGGGCTAGTGAAAGAAGTGTTTCTACAGTGAAGTGCCACTTGGCAGTGTCTCAATGTAGACTATTTGTGCATCATACGAAATTTGACTTGTATACTTGCAAATCTGGTAAATTTGTAAGATATCTCTGGACTCGACCAATAATGAAGACAAACTGAAGGTCTATTTCATCGTAGCAATTACTTCAGGATCAAGCAAGGCTGTGGGCTTGTATCTGGTTAGCTCAACTAAAGCGTAGCCGGCAACATTTGACCGCACCTTCTTACCAAATATTCGGTAAAAGTAACAACTCTTTGCAGCATTTAATGTAGGACTCTACATCAAAAGCCTAGCTCTCACCGAGTAAAAAACGTACATTCAAGTAGCAACAATGAGAAAAGAAAGTCGCCGGAAAACGAGCTTTATTACATACCTTGAATGCTTAAGATATCTCGTGTCCGCTGACCTGACTTTCAATCGAGATACATCTTGATGACGTCTAATCGAGTCAAGTAACGTAGCTTTTAGTAAGATATTAGCTGATCGGCTCTAGCAAAAACCCCCTTTGGTGGCCTAGCTGAGTGTTGGCGAATTCTAGAGACACAGCTCACGGAAGGCCATCTCTGATACAACCACAACCGGCAGGATCGAAATTTTAGAGTGTGGTTTTCCCTCCAAAGTACTTTTCGCATGACAGTTGATAATCTATGGGATTGTGTGAAAATGATCGAAAGTATAGTTGTAAACAATCCATAAGCAAAGAACAATTGTATGATATATTTTTTTGGTAAAACACCCTGTCAACCTATTATTGGAAACACGCTAAAGCCCGCATGCAGCATTGCGGCCGCATTTACCGGCGCATTGAGCTACGAAAGCATTCTGGCCAAACCATTGGATCTTCCAATCCAATATCTCACTCACAACATGCTACCACGATAGCAAAAATGGCAAAAGCCAAATCGCACAGCAATCGCAGAAATGAAGAATCATCGAATCGTAATCCGGAAGAAGATGTTGGACTTCTCGCTGAAGAAGCAGGAAGTGAAGATGAGGATATCATAGTCCATTCTGGACAGGCACAGGAACAAGGACATAATGAAACACATACACCTCGAACACCTAATCGTGTACGATTCGATTTACCACCTTCGCCGGATGGCGAATTGAATGCGAGGAACGGAGCGCCCCCTGTCTATGAGGATGAAATACATGCACATCCCTCATCTCGAACCCAATCTTTTACACCCCTCCTGACGGGCATCGAAGCTCCCTCCGTGACTGTTGCCTCTAGTCCTTGGGACGACGACGAAGATGTACATACATGGGCTGAACGCGAGCGATCTCGTCCCAAGTCGAATCTGCGGAATGCATTTATGAATATGGCGAATAGTATTATCGGAGCCGGTATCATCGGACAACCTTACGCATTTCGTCAAGCTGGACTCTTGGCTGGAGTTATTCTTTTGATTGCGCTTACGATTACGGTGGACTGGACCATTAGACTCATTGTTATCAATTCTAAATTGAGTGGAAGAGATAGTTTCCAGGGGACAGTGGAGTTTTGTTTTGGGAGGACGGGATTGATTGCTATTAGTGTTGCGCAATGGGCTTTTGCGTTTGGGGGCATGATAGCTTTTTGTATTATTGTAGGAGATTCGATACCGCATGTTTTGACTGCGGTTTTCCCAGGATTAAGAGATGTGCCAGTGCTGGGGCTATTAGCGAACAGGAGGGCTGTTATTGTAGTTTTTGTGTTGGGAATAAGTTATCCTTTGAGTTTATATCGGGATATCGCTAAGGTATATTTTCTAGACAACATTCAGGAGTCATGCTAATTTAGCATAGTTGGCGAAAGCGAGCACTTTGGCATTAATCAGTATGATGATCATCTTATTCACAGTTGTGACGCAAGGATTTATGGTACCCCAAGAAGACAGAGGAGAATTCACCACACCCCTCCTCACCATAAACGATGGCATCTTCCAAGCAATTGGCGTAATCTCCTTCGGTTAGCCTCCACCCCCTTGTTTCCATCCTCTCCAATGCAATTAAACTCAACTAACACCCCCTCCAGCCTTCGTCTGCCACCACAACTCCCTCCTCATCTACGGCTCCCTCCAAACCCCCACCATCGACCGCTTCTCCACCGTAACACACTACAGCACCTCCATCTCCATGGTCGCCTGTCTCTTCATGGCCCTCTCGGGCTTCCTCACCTTCGGCTCCAAAACCCTTGGCAACGTCCTTAACAACTTCCCCGCCACAAACCCCCTCGTCAACCTCGCCCGTCTCTGCTTTGGTCTCAACATGCTCACCACCCTCCCCCTCGAAGCCTTCGTCTGTCGCGAAGTAATGTTCAACTACTGGTTTCCCGGCGAACCATTCAACATGCATCTGCATTTAATCTTCACCTCTTCCCTCGTCGTCAGCGCTGTGATCCTAAGTCTCATAACCTGCGATCTCGGCGCAGTTTTCGAATTAATCGGCGCGACTAGTGCGTGCGCCTTGGCATATATATTGCCACCTTTGTGTTATATAAAACTAACGACAAGAACGTGGAGAACGTGGATGGCGGGCGCCTGTGTAACGTTTGGGGGGGCGGTCATGCTTATTAGTCTTTTTCAGGCGTCGAAAAAAATGATTTTGAATGAAGGGGGGGTGACGAAATGTGATTGGTAGGATAGAGGGGATGGGGTTTTAGATAGTGGATAGAATATAGTGTATAACATGTTTAATATATATTGATGAACTTTGCTGCATTATTCTCTAGATTCTGAATTGGGATCCTTGATTATCTGGCTGTCTCATCGTTGTTCCATCGTCATGGAATTAATTCTCTGGCATATTAAATACGACGCTCGTCAAGGTCCTGGTTGTACTTGACAATATCATTATGCTCAAGACCTACCCACCATCAATCACAAAAAGTGCAACACATAAATTAAATATTTCATATGCCATTCATTTATATTAAGCCTAGCCTACTAAGTATCAGATCATCCGAGCCATATACCTCTCAATACAAGCCAGCCAGATCACAATAATACAGAAAGCAAGTAAGTAAGCGACATGTCTAAAAGCGTTCCCTCTGAAACATACGAACGACGATTCTTTTATGTGACCATAACGCCGGGGAATATCATCAAAGCAACAATTTACAAGGAAAGAGAGAAACACAGAAATCTAGAGCTTAAGCTTAAGCTTAAGCCTTGGACTTCTTAGCTTTCTTAGCCTTGGTGACCTTCTTTTCTGGGACTTCAATCTCGGCTTCAACTTCGACTTCAGCGGGGGTTTCGACGACCTTGACTGCTGCCTTCTTAGATCTTGTCTTTCTTCCAACCGGAGCTTCGGCTTCATCTTCGGCTACGGGCTCAACGGGAGCTTCGACAGCCTTTGCTTTTGCGGCCTTCTTTCCCTTCTTTGGCTTCTCGACTGGGGCAGCTTCGGTTGTGATGGTGGTTTCCTCTGTGGTAATTATAGCAGCAGGAGTTTCTTCGACGACCTTGGTCTTCTTGACCTTCTTAGCCTTGACTGGCTCCTCGACTGCAGGGGCATCTTCAATGGTCATGACCACATCTCCATCTCCGGCCAGTTCATCTTCACCATTCTCGATTTCCTTGACTGGCTTCTTGGAAACACCCTTCGCGGATTTTATCTTGGGTGCCTCGTATTCGTAACCGATCTGCTTCAATTTCTCGGCAGCAATCTCGCGCTTCTTCTCAGCCTTTTCTCTTCTCTTCTCCCATTGCTCTTCTCCGGCACCTTGCTCTAATCTGCGACCCTCAATCTTGTTCCAAGGAACCTTTTTAAAGCGACGGTTGGCACCCTTGAACAGATCTTCAGGGAGTTGCTCATCAGGTACTAATTTAACCTTCAAGATGTGATTGAATAACAGATAGTTATCCATAGTCTTGGCTACAATCTCTGCGACACCCCTACTGGCGAATTGAATCCATGCATAATGCTTGCTTGCACCAGTTCTTCTATTTCGGGACAGACGAATCTTGAGAATATCTCCGAATTGAGAGAAGTAAGCTTTCATTTCCGCCTCGTAGAAACCGTGAGGAATGCGACCAATATAGACAACACCGGGAAGATCATTGGCAGCTTCTTCGGCAGCCTTCTTGATAGCTTTCTTTTGCTTCTTGCTGAGTTTTTCGAGAGCGTTTGGAACTTCTTGACCAGGTTCGAGTCCACCTTCTTTAGCATTCTCTTCACCGTCGTTATCCGATTCGAAACCCTTCAAGAGAGCTTCAGTTTGGTCATCCTCTTCTTCCTCCTCTTCGGATTCCTCGACTGGTTCCTCAACAATCTCTTTCTCTACAACCTTCTCAACAACCTTTGCGGCCTTCTTAGGTTTGGCGGCTTCTTTAGGTTTGGCAGTTTCCTTAGGTTTAGCAACTTCCTTAGGTTTGGCAGCTTCCTTAGGCTTGACGGCTTCAGCAGATTTTGGTGACTTCTTCGCCTTCTTTAATTTTGCAACCTCATCCGCGGGGACTGCAGGAGCAGTAGAAGCTATGATTGAAAATTAGAATCATCAATTGCAAGTATTATAGAATAATACATACCTTTACGCTTGCGTGCTGTAATTTCAGCCATTGTATTAAAATTCGTACGACTTGTCTTATTTAAAAGGGTTGTGTCGTGGATATGATAGATAAATGTTTTTGCAGATAGGATTTTAGGATTTTAGAGTGCAGTGTGATTGTCCAACAAATTTTTTGGATTTTGCCAAACTATCTCCACGAGAATTCTCTTGCGACCGAAGCGCTATACCTAATCGAGTTAAATCCTTTATGGGCGGTGAGAGCGCAGCTCAGAATTCCTATCGAAATCTTTCTTGTGGCATTTCATTATTGAATTCATGGGTTTCCATTTCATTGTTGCGAATTTAGAGTCATACATTCTTGTCCATCCCATACATTGAAGGAATGTTATTCTAGAATATTTTATTTGCTCAACCAAGTAGTGGAAAAGTACAGTGGTGTCATGCTTAAATTCTTCACGATATACTCATTTTGGAAGTACATCTATCTCACCAGCTTGTGAAGACTAGACTATTTGCAATAAAGCTTGCTTCCTTCATTTAAATCTTAATAGAAAGAGATTCATCAATCATTCTTTCTACCCTCCTCCAGATTCTACAAGCCTTTTGATTTGATCCACAAACGCCCGCAAATGCACCTTTCCTACAAGCCAAATAAACTAAATTATTGTTGTCTAGCCTGTCTCTCGACCTCATATGTGAAGTCGAAATATCCCTTATCAAATTGGTGCACTCTGACATAACCATCCTCACCACCACTTGCATATCCCTTTCCATTTGGATCCACGGCAACAGTGTTTAGAGGACCGAAGTGTCCACGGACTCTACCGATTTCCTCTTCGAAGATCTTGTGGTAGAATCTGGCTTCGAATTTACCCTGGCGGGCGGAGGTTGTTGTGACATCCATAGCGGCTTGTCCACCACCGAGAATGACGAAATCCTTTTTGGGGGTGATAGATGCGCTGTTGAGAGGAGTATCGGTTACGTAGGTCTTCATGACTTCGAGGTCTCGGGCATTAACAAGCTATACCAATTAGTGTTTTGAAAACTTGAAAGCGTGCGTGTAATTTACCTTAGCAGACTTGTCCTTCGAGGCAGTGATGAAGTAGGTTCTATCGGGTGACCATTGAAGATCTGTGACTTGAAGATCTGGTTCGTGGACTTGAGTGTTGAAGAGTAACTCTCCGGTCTACCAAGCCCGTCAGTACCTAGAATAGACAACACCAGTCTAGATCCTTACCTTGGCATCATATTGAGAAACGCTTCCATCTTCATGCCCCGCAATGATGTATTTTGACATATAACTCCATCCTGCAACAGTAGCCTTGCTCTCCGCGCAAGTAATGGTCAAGGCCCGATCGTCAGATTGTGGTCCATTTACGTCCAAGTTGATGTCCAATACTACGATCGTTCCCAAGAATCCCATACGTTGTTCGGTGACAGCCAACAATTGTGTAGCATCCTCGTTGAATTCGACTCTCTTAACGGCAGTGTTGAAATCCCAGGTCTTCAAACACTTTCCGGTCTTAACGTCCCACAACCTGACTGTGTTGTCTGCTGCACCACTTGCGATGATTGTAGTTGTTGGGTCCACATCGACTGTCCATATAGCTCCCTGATGCCCGTGGTAGGTGCCTAATCTCTCTCCGTTGTGTGCATACCATGCGCAAATGTGCTGATCCTTCGCGGTTGAGAAAATGATGTCGCCATCTCTGTTATATCTATTCGTTCGTCAATACCGCATGTATTTTTATTATTTCGACGGATGTTAGATACCTAATTTGTGTAAGAGCACGCTCCTACATGATTGTTAGCAAATTGGGGACATATATCAAGCCAACAGGGCATCATTTATACTGACATGTCCTTGCAATAGAATGGGCCTCATATTTGCGATTCAGTATTGATAGTACTAGAATCGCGATATGATGGAGTATGGAGGTTGGCGGTTGGTATTTAGATAGGGTTGGATCGAAATAATCTTTGTGCCCCTCAAAAAGTTCGATATCCTCTAGGGATTTGACTCTTCAAATGTGTGCTATCAAAGACCAATCATAAGCGAGAGAAGATGCGGACAGATGCGGGACTTGGCCAAGTGCAAGTGGTGAGAGGAAATCTTCTTGGGTTATGAAGTCGAGTTTAAGGATCCACTTTAAAACAGTTACTAACGAAGTAAATACTCACAGCGGTGACACAACATGAAAATGTTAATAACTTGATTACTGAGGGGAGTGAAGGAGGGAGAGGGAGAGGGAGAGGGAGAGAGGAGAGAAATAAGAAATTGATGCTTCAGTCATAGGTAGAGAGAGTGTGTGTGAGAGAGTGAGGAGAAATGAAGGCTTGGAGGCTCGAATGGGATGAGTTTTCATATTTCATAAGGTAATTGCTGGACATTCTATCCATTCTATGAGTATTTCCTTGACTCATTCTTTCCAGGTAAATCATGAAGAAAGAAGAAAGATGCTCGAATGAAACGATTGATTGATTGATTGATTGATTGATTGCTTTTCCATACATTATTCATTTTTGGACTTAATGCTTTGATCATCTTATCTCTCACCGATATGTTCATATGGAAAGCTTAAGTGCATACTAAAAAATTGTTGTAGTCATTCCACGGGCTCATCTATTATCACTCATTCATTTATTGTTGATATAATTTCGATTTTATTACTATATCTGTATCTGTCTATCTCTCTATCTATCTATCTTGTCATTCATTCGCCTATCAAATCAAACCACCTCATTCGTTTGCGGCGCAGTGCAGAAATGTTGATCGGCAAAAGGGCCAAAGTAGCATGTGGTGCCGCCCGCGTTTATCGTCACAATGTGTACATGTTACCTTCTTTGAATTGCCTCACTTTTACCAATTCTTCGTCAATTCTTAGATCAAGAGCTTCTCTTCCTACTCAACATCGAGCACTGTTGAGTTCTTTAACCCCTTCAGCTTCATTTGTCCAAGCTGCCCAACAGATACTCCAATTGCGGGGTCAGCCACTCCGCTCAACTTTTTCTTCCCCCACAAGGGTCTCATCCATATCCCCCTTCACCCCGCAAAGCAGTACTACCAGGCCATTCTCAAGTACTCCAGCGACAATGACAGCCACCAAGATTGATGGCACTGCCATTGCGAAGAAGATTCGTGAGAAGATTCATGCTGAAATCGACGATGCCCAAAAGACAAACCCAAGATTTAAGCCTTCATTGAAGATCATTCAAGGTAAATTTCCGCAAGACATTGCTAGAATTGTTCGATAAGCTGTTTATGCTAATACATTATTTCATAGTGGGTGATCGCTCTGACTCAAGTATGTATCGGTGATCGAATACTGTCAAAAATGACTCACTAATGGTGGTACAGCTACCTATGTTCGCATGAAGTTAAAGGCCGCACAAGAGGTTAGCTACCATTTACATTTTTTTTTAGCATACACTAATTCATGAGTAACTAGGCAGCAATCGAGTGCGAACTTATTCCATTCCCTGAGAGCGCAACTGAAGCCGAGGTTCTTGACAAGATCGAGCAATTGAACAATGATCCATCCGTTCATGGTATTCTTGTTCAATTGCCGGTCCCAAAGCACATGTCCGAATACAGTGTAACTTCCGCTGTATCTGATGAGAAGGATGTAGATGGTTTTGGAGCATCGAACATTGGTGAACTTGCGAAGCGTGGAGGACGTCCTCTTTTCACACCATGTACGCCAAAAGGTGTTATGGTCTTGCTCGAAGAGAGTGGAGTTGACCTAAAAGGCAAGAATGCGGTCGTTCTCGGACGTAGCGATATTGTGGGAAGCCCTGCCAGTTACCTCCTCAAGAACGCCGATGCTACTGTGACAGTATGCCATTCCAGAACCCAAAATCTTGAGCAATTCCTCAAGAATGCCGATGTTGTTGTTGCAGCCATCGGAAAAGCCAACTTTGTCAAAGGAGAGTGGTTGAAGCCAGGTGCAGTGGTGATTGATGTTGGTACCAACTTTGTTCCTGATGAGACCAAAAAATCCGGTCAGAGACTTGTTGGTGATGTCGATTTTGAATCCGCTTCCGAGGTTGCATCTCAAATCACACCAGTGCCTGGTGGAGTGGGACCAATGACTATTGCAATGCTATTGCAGAACGTTGTTGAATCCGCAACAGCTTATTTCGAGCGTCAAAAGGCTAGAGCTATCAAGCCTTTGCCATTGAAGCTTCAGACCCCAGTACCATCGGACATTGCTATCTCGAGAGCTCAACACCCAAAGCATATCACACGTGTAGCACAAGAGATCGGCATTGCTGGTTACGAACTTGAACCTTATGGAGCATACAAAGGCAAAGTCGATTTGAGCCTTCTCAAACGTCTTGAGCACCGCCGCAACGGTCGTTATGTCGTTGTCACTGGTATTACCCCAACACCTCTTGGCGAAGGTAAATCTACAACCACTATGGGTCTCACTCAAGCTATTGCCGGTCATCTTGATCGCATTGCTTTCGCTAATGTTCGTCAACCAAGTCAAGGACCAACCTTTGGTATCAAGGGAGGTGCTGCTGGTGGTGGATACAGTCAGGTCATTCCTATGGATGAATTCAACCTCCATTTAACTGGCGATATTCACGCAATCACTGCTGCGAACAACTTGTTAGCTGCTGCTATTGAGACCAGAATGTTTCACGAGAATACCCAGAAGGACGGACCGCTTTACAAGCGTCTCGTTCCAGCAAAGAAGGGCAAGCGTGAATTCCAACCTATTATGTTCCGTAGACTGAAGAAGCTTGGTATCACTAAAACAAACCCCGACGAGCTTACCGAGGACGAGATTCATCGTTTCGCAAGATTAGATATTGATCCTTCGACAATCACGTGGAGACGTGTTCTTGATGTTAATGATCGTCATCTGAGAGGTATTACCGTTGGTACTGCTGGTACCGAGAAGGGACAGACTAGAGAAACTGGATTTGATATCTCTGTCGCTAGTGAGTGTATGGCTATTCTTGCCCTCAGTAACGACTTGAACGACATGAGAGAAAGACTCGGACGCATGGTTATTGGATCATCCAGAAATGGGGATCCTGTTACTTGTGATGATCTTGGTGCAGGTGGTGCTTTGACAGCATTGATGAAGGATGCTATTAAGCCCAACTTGATGCAAACATTGGAAGGAACACCCGTTTTCGTCCATGCCGGGCCATTCGCAAACATTAGTATCGGTGCTAGCTCAGTCCTTGCCGATAAGCTTGCTCTTAAGCTCGCTGGTACTGAGCCTGATGAGAATCACAACGAGAAGGCCGGTTTTGTTATCACTGAAGCAGGTTTCGATTTCACCATGGGAGGAGAACGTTTCTTCAACATTAAGTGTAGATCATCTGGACTCATTCCAGATGTTGTCGTTGTTGTTGCAACTGTTCGAGCACTCAAGGTTCACGGTGGTGGCCCACCAATCGCCCCAGGTGCCGCACTCCACCAAATCTACAGAGAGGAGAATGTTGAAATTCTTCGCAAAGGTTGTGTCAACCTCAAGAAGCACATCTCGAATGCCAGATCCTACGGTGTACCGGTCATTGTCGCTATCAACAAGTTTGAGACTGACACTGACGCCGAGATTGAGGTCATCCGAGAGGAGGCTATTGCTGCTGGTGCCGAAGATGCCATTCCAGCTAATCACTGGGCCGAAGGTGGTAAGGGAGCTGTTGACCTCGCCAAGGGTGTCATCGCTGCAAGTGAAAAGGAGAAGAACTTCAAACTTCTTTACAGCCTTGACGGAGATGTACAGACCCGCATTGAAGCCATTGGTAAAGAGATGTATGGAGCTGACAAGGTCGAGTTCAGTGAGATCGCTCAGAAGAAGGTCGATACATACACTAAGCAAGGTTTCGGAAACCTGCCCATCTGTATTGCAAAGACTCAGTATTCTTTGTCGCACGACCCAGATCTTAAGGGTGCGCCAACTGGATTCACTGTCCCAATTAGGGATGTGAGATTGGCTGCTGGAGCTGGTTATCTGTAAGTTTTTTCCCGTGATGACTCTATTGCTTTCTCTAATATGATTGTAGGTATGCACTTGCAGCAGATATTCAAACCATTCCTGGTCTTCCTACCGCACCAGGATATCTCAATGTCGATGTCGACACTGAAACTGGAGAGATTGATGGTCTCTTTTAAGAACATTTTCTCTCATTTTTGGTTTTGCATTTCGATTAGCGTTTCAACAAGTTAGTTAATATGAGGGCGGTAAAAACACATTCAACGTGTCAGGGTTGCATTTTCAACAAAAGGCGTTTATAGATATACAACTGGCTGGAAAAAAGCTATATAGTATGTAGAGATATCCTTCATGATTAACTCATGATACAAATGAAGTTTACGATGTTTGAAATTTGCAATGCTATCTTTCCTGTTTTTTGCTATTCATGTGATGTGAGCCAGTTTTTGCTCCTAGTGGCTGCTTAAGTTGACACTAATTGAGCTCGCTTAAATATACAGACCTAGGTTCAATGAAAGTGGTAAGTTGCCAAGTCATTTATCATTTATGCGCGGGAGAGATCCTCAGCATCAAATGCTCGAGAATGAATAGAACTAGCTTCGGTCAGTATAAGAAGTGAATCACAGTCAATTCTTGCAAGGGTATTATGTATCAAATCAAAAAGTACAAGTAAAAGAAAAGTCTTCCTTCGAAATCTGTCTTCATTTCTTGCCCGCGCTCGCAATAGTCTTCTTCTCACAAGTAACTTATGTAACTTCCACCCTTTCCTCTGATGTTCAACTCCACAATACCAAATATTCTTGCCCCCTTTCTTGCACTCAGCACATGCACTCAAATTTCCTCCTACACCATAGTAATCGCACCAGCCCGCCTTTTCTCGATTTTTCCAACGATCCCAAGCCCTCTTTGCACACTTTCTCATCAATTCTGTATGCTGATTCTCCGAGATCCATAATGCTCCGATTCCCAATTCCTCCATACCATTACAGATATTATCCATAGCATCCTGCCAATCACGTCCCTTGCCAAGAAAATAAGGCTCGCCGAACATTCCTCGCTTGGCTCATTGCAAACGCGTCATATATCTACCACGAAAAGCTCATCCAATTTTACTATTTGACCTACACTCGTTCCGGGTTTAGGAAAGCCAAGCATAGAATGAAAACTCTCGTTTTCTCCTCCGGTAACATATGTCGCGCCCCCATTTCCCAACTTCAGAGAATAGAAACTCAGGAGTTTGGGACCGGACAATTTGAATTCTATAATGGAGCGTGGAATATGGTCGATGAGAACTGCTGCTTCGTTTTTGATGCGGATGGATAGTTGTTGCTCTGAGGAACAGAAAGCGAAGAATTCTTAGAAGAGGGGTGAGCGCTTTGTAACAGCCGTCGTGGCTGCGAGATTCGTAGACGATGGTTTCGAGTTGGGTGGAGGAGAGTGAGCGGGTTGCTAGATCGCATGATGGATGGAGGGTGCAGGTAGTTGGAATAGATGAGGTTTCTTGAGCTGGATCTTGAGCTGGATCCGGGGTTGATGTATCGTGGTGGAAAGTGTGAACGTTGATTTTTTGAATGCTGGCAGGACGCTTTTTGTTAAATGCGTTTCCTTCCAGACGAGGAAGTATGGTTTGGTCTGCGATGGTGCTGCTGTGCAGACTGGTGCGTTTGTAGTGGGGATCACTGACTAGACGTTCGTAGTTGAGGAGGGTGGTGATGGTTCGGAGGAGGGTGGGCTCAGGTGCCATGGTTGGTGTTATGGACTGCTGTGAGGTATTGAGACAACTTGGGCTTTTGGGAAAAGAGAGGAAGAATACTATTTGATTATGATAGAGGAGTAGATAGAATGTATTGTCAGGCGGTGAACGCGTTTGATCTCGCGGAATCACATCTTAGGGTTACATTTGACAAACTTGGTTTATTCGTTTGTTTGTTTGCTTGTGGTGGCGATATTCAATGCGGAACAACTGCCTGGAGTGATTATCATTCTTTATGTATATCCTACTGGTATGAAGACGCATAGATTGCTCCAAATTTCAAACCAGTATCCGCCCATTCACATCATTGGGCAAAAAATAGGAGCTAGATAGACTACTTTTCTTGGCTGTGTTGAAAGGCTAAATACCTCCATCAAACGATAGAAGGCCAGAATATTCCTCTTAACAAGAGCACTTCGTCAAGTAAGTAAAGACTCATGCTTTATTGCCTACTATCTGAGTGTTCCAGTTCGGTACAAATTCATCAGTGACTTCCTCCAATCAATGAAACGCTACCATTTTTGCCGTGACTCCATTGACTTCATCATTTCCGATACCTCTCTCTCACCACCACCCCATTGCTTCCTTATCAAAATCAAATCGTCCAGATCATCCGGACTACCACCATACCCCTGGTCACCTACATCAATCCTTTCTAGCAAAACGGCATAATATGGAATTTCAGAAGCAAAATTCAACCCGCACATCATCTTCCTACCCACCTCGCTGCGTCTATATTGCCCCCTTGATTCTGGAAAATCTTGTCCCCCAGGTATATATGTGCGATACACCACTTCCCGCTCTAAATCATCGCCCAGAATCATAAACCCTTTATCCGTGCGTCCACTTTGTTTCAACGTCTTGAGATGATTCATAAATGCATCTCCATATTTACCTTCTCCTCCTCCTTCGAAGGAAAAGAAAATTTACTTTCCAGGGCCGTTACTATCAAGAGTCTCTGGCAGCTGAATGACATACTTCGGGAGTGCTTCGCTTGGGGAATGCTCTTTGCGTGAATATTTACCGGTTGGAAACTCGAGTCCGATAAGCTGCTGGTAATCTGTGGTTTTTGATGTTTGCATAGTGTAGCGAAACCATTCGCGGAAATAGATGAGGAGGTGATGATGCATTTTCTCTTCCGTTGAATAGCATGAGGTTTTATCGGTTTTGTTAAATGAAACAGTTTTGATGGAGTTGAGCCATAATTGTCGCTGCTGATCGAGTGACTGGCAGGCGGTGTTGGATATCTGGGCTGGCATTTTTGATGGTGATGATGAGAAGGTTCTGGACGTGGAGTATCGAATGAGACTTGCAGGATGGAGATTCAATATTTGAGAGACTGTGGCTTGTTGAAAATCAGTTGGACGTGTAAAAGCAGGCTGGTTGATGATGGCAGGTTTTTCAAATGGCGCTGAATGATTCTGTATTGTTCTTCTATGTTTTGTTACTCTGCATTTGTGAAATTTTTTGTTGTGAAAATTAACCAAAAAAATGAAAGGAAGAAGGAAAGAGTAGAGACATATCAGCTATGTGTCATATCGCAAACCGTTTGTCTCCATACATTGACTCGATTCTACTTCAGTTTGCGACCATGAGTCCTCATAATCTGACTCAAATTTTCACAACAAGGGTGCAACTTTGCTATCGAAGTAGAAACTTGACGCCTGTTGGTTCGAATTGATATTGTGGAATGATATATATCCAATATCCAAAGCCAAGGAAGACCACTCTTTTACGACAGAAGCTTTCGCTTCTATCATACACGAATGGACTGATTCCTTCACTCGAGATGGTAACAACAGTTCAGACCTTTTGTTTTGAATCGTCCATACCACTTCGAATACGTGCCTCAGTCTGCATCTCTTCCAGCTTATATCTAGTGACGCATCCTAAATCATGATATTTGCAGTCACAATCAATCCACTTCATTCTTTTTGCAGATACGCTGTCGAATCTTGGTTAATTGAGTTCGAACGACTCGTGCATATCACTATGATGCAGTGTCAAGCATTCATGATTGCGAATAGGGGTAGATCTAAGGGGCATAGAAAAGTTTAGTATCGGCATAGAAAGAGCATAAGGGGGTTTCATCTTCACCTCTTTCACTTATTATCAGTAACATCAATTGTCTGGGCATATCTTCACACTCCACGAACTCTCCTATCTATTTCATCAGAGTCCCTGCATACTTCCTCTATAAGAATCTTCAGAGTTTCCTCAGAGGAGCGATCGATAACCCCGTCGGTGGTGAACAATTCAAGTATTGGTGTTGGGTGTTGAAGGAGAAGCGCTTGGGGTATCGAGACTCAAGTTCGCTATGCTATCACGGTAAGTGGTGTGCAACCAGAGCACCCAAATGAAAGTCATAGTTGAAGAATGCTCATTACCTAGACCACCCATGGCAACTATGCAGTTTTGTGATCAAAAATATGTGAAGAATGTCACTGCGACTACCAAACTTCCCAAAATTGAGATCATACCGACAATCACTACAAAGCAATCGCATCTAAAGATAGAACCTCAGGAGCCATCTATGCAGAAATGATCGACCAAAGCGAAATTCTTCCAGAGACTCCCACTTGAACAATGACAAAAAATAGGGCAGCCATTGCCAGCCAATGGAACGCTATCGTCCGACTTCGTCCAAGTGATTTCGAGTCTCGTTTGTTTTAGCCCAGGGGAAGACCCAGGACTTGGTGAATTTTTGATGAGAATTAGCGACGTCTCTGCTGTTTTAGTGGTTAGACGTTCTGAGATGTGGTAAAGTAATTATAGAGACGGTGCCCGTTCCTGGTCTGTACGTAGGATCAAGTTCTTGAAGAAACCTGTACCATGCGTTACCAAACTAAGTGTGCGAGAATGACGAAAGATATGTTTTACAATTTGGAAAGCCTTACATTTATTCCGATACCGCGTCGTCTGCGATATACTAGGGGAGAGAAGTTTTTTATTGCTCGTCTGATGGGTCAACTTCTCACTCCTTTAACACTTGAGCGCTAGATGATCAATACAGACGATATGAGAGACATCAAAGATATCAAAAGTGCATGGACAAAACCTGCTGTATTAACTTCATCGAGAAGTTTGCCGACAGCTTACAGAAAAGGGAAAATGGTGTTCAGATTGCTGATCAAGATGGATCTCCCGAATGAGCTTGAAGACGAAGTTGATGTTATTGTCTACATGATGAGTCTAGGCTTTCTAGCATTGTATATGTTTGAGGTGATGGTTATCTTTCAACATTCAAGTAAAAGTTGTACTACATTAGGGTTATGCCGTCTCTGTACTTGATAATTAAGTGGTCGTCAGCGGCGGCTTCGGATTGTAAAGTGTTCCTCAGAGAAATGCTTCTCAAGAGCAAGTACCAGGAGCTTCTGAGTTAGAATTACAACATATCTTCTAGGGAGGAATGGGGGAGGGAAGGGCCCATAGATTACTGGAACACCATGAATCTCTTCTAAGACAAATCAAGAGCTGCAATTCGTTCCCGCCATGAAAAGTTTTCGGGTGCTAAAAGCTCCGGCCAAAGAACCCGTCGAACAACTATTTTCGGGGAGCGATTATCAGGGGAAACTTGAGCAGAGCACCGCAACGGACCCTGAAATACATGGTGGCCTTGACTTGAGAAAAAAACTGCTGGGCCTTCATCACCAAATCCCTGCTGAGTGTTGAAATGGGTTCAATTTCGGATGACTTGCGATGGCCACCGAGTCGGGTAAATTAGCAGGAGCAACTGCTTTGTAGATAGGATCCAGGTTATTCAGAAAGAGGGGGATAAGCAACAATCTCCACAAGGTCTAGGAATCTATCGTCAGCCCATCCTATGAATTGAAGTCTGACTCAGTTGATCCAAAATCACCCGACGCAATGGTCGTTCTTTCACCGTTTAGTTACCGTATCGCACTATGTGGCGATTGGAGAATCTTGCGATTGAACTGTAAATAGGAATAAACTTTCCTGATAAATTAATAAGCGCGTCATATATATATATCAGAGTTCGTTCCACTCTCACTTTAGTAATAGTTGAAAGCATAAGCTCATCACGATGCTATGCATTCTGTAAATCTGATGGATGAAACGATCCATTTAAGGCCTTTGATGAAGCTATAACGTTCGCAATTTCTTTGGCATAGGTTCTTACAACGTCTTCGACAGAGCTACGATGACCAAATATTACGAGATCATCCCTTTTTAATATCCAAGTGAGAACATGTCAAAATGATTGTAATGCTCGTGCAGCCAGAAAGTATGTATGCAACACTCCACCCTTCATAAATCAGGTTAGTCCTCTTGTAGTTTGCCATCTGGTGGTATGTGCATCAATGCGAAGTGTCGCATGTATACTTCCTAGCGGCACGAGTACATCGCATGTCAAAAGGCTTATAAGAGATTGAGTGAGATATGAAATCTAGAAGCACAGAAAGTGGGAAAAAAGTAACAAAGATTAGCGGCCAGCCTGCCACATGGGATAAAGAAAAGTCAAAAACAGTCGCGGCGTCGCTGGGGGTATTTTGGTGCAACTACAGAGTAGAAACGGAGTAATCCGTCTGAAGGGCAGGGCTTACCCAGTTCGCATTCTCGCTAAGCGGCGGATAAATAGGACTTACATATACGGACCCATATATTCGACACCCTCTACACCACCCACACGGTTCGCCCGTTTGGTCATCTCTACCAACTCTCAAGAGCAGGATGATATCATTTGATGCTTCAGTCCTTATAATCATGCATATATACCTGATTATATTAAAGGATGTAACCTTCTTCATCTGTTCAGCCTACCAAACCCAAAACTTTCATGCCAAACGTAGTCGTTTGGGGGGCGGAATCCGGGGCAACTTCCTATAAGAAGAAAGGTCGCTTGAAAAATATCGATTCCAACCTTGTCGACGCGTGTGGTTGCTTTTCTGTCCGGGGAACTGAAACATGTCTCCGGCACTGTACCGAAGATTTACAGTGCCTCAAGACTCAAGAGCCTGTCATTGGGGATTCCTACCGGGTGCTTATCGGTATCTTGCCGGCATGTTCTGATTTAGAGTTTCCAAAAAACTTTAAACGTTCAAGTTAAATGCATCCCCTTGTCTAACGAACATTTCAAGATGGGATGGTCGAATAGGGATCCTCTTATTCCTCCAAAAGGATTCACTTTGAAATATATGTTATTTACATAATCTCCACAACATAAAAGTCTACTTCAATTATGTCTTTCCTTGGTTGTTTTCGCTTTGAATCCTCCAAATTGACTCCTGAAGATCGTCGTTGAACCACGTTATAGAAGGTCTGGTAGTCTCCTGACACTTCTCTCCTTTCGACAAATCCATTTGCCTAAGGAGTGCGCCATGTCTCTAACATACGAGCAATTCAACACGCTTGATATCACAGAGAGAGTTACGTCAGCCGTTTCTATCGTTGGTAATCTATTCATAGTCATCACATACTTTTTTTGTTCATCCTTCGACAAACCAATCAATCGACTCATTTTCTTCGCATCATGGGGAAATATTGGTTCGAGTATCTCGTGCCTGATATCTCAGCTTGGCCCGGCATCGAGGATAGATAAAGCAAAATTCGATGCCTCCGGAATATGTCAGGTCCAAGGTTTCTTGGTGCAGATGTTCCGTGGAGTTGATTGTTACTGGGCATTCTTCATGGCCATCAACGTATATCTCATTTTCTTCAGAGGATTTACCACACATCAATTAAGGAAGTTGGATATTTGGTATTTGGTTGCATGCTATGGGCTTTCCTTCATACCCGCTTTTATATTCCTATTTATATCGACAAAATCGCGAGGTCGTATTTACGGATCAGCTATTGTTTGGTGCTGGATTAGCGAAGATTGGGATTGGATGCGATTGGTTTTCTTGTATGGTATTGTCTGGTGAGTACTGCGATCCGAGCTTCTAGTATTCTTCTCGAATTTGATCACGTTTACTGATCCGATATCCATAGGGTTACTATCCTTTTCGCTCTTGTCGTATACATTATGGCCGCCAAAGTAATCTGGTCCAAACGTGAGCATCTAGAGGGCTTCCTCAACCCCCTGAACGAAAATCCATTCGCAAATACCGTTACGACTGAAATCGAAATAACCTACGAAGAACGATCCATCGTCAAAGATGCCGGCGATCAAGGCATTTCTGAAAGCATATTGCACTCGGATCAATATGAGGTAGAAATCCAGGCGACACCTCATCAAAAACAACAAGAATCCCAGGTGTATCAGATGCGAAGAATGAGAAGTTTGACCAGAGAGGTTGCAGAGTCTGGAACCAACCCGGAGGCTTGGCTGTATGCACGAGTGGCTATCCTCTTCTTTCTTGCTATGATTATTACTTGGGTTCCCGCGAGCGTCAATAGAATTTGGCAAATGGCGGATCCATCGACGGTTAATTTCCCGCTGAACTACATTGAATCATTAATGTTGTCGCTACAGGGTGTTTGGAATGTGATTGTGTATATCATCACATCACAAACCGCTTGTCAGAGGTTGGCATATCGATTGTTTTCGAGAAGTTCGAGGAGTAAAACGAGGTTGCCCAGCGGGAGTCCCGAGAGGTATCCATCAGGTGGAAAGCAAAGGCTTGAGAGCGTTGCTAGTAAATGATGGGAAATTGGGTGCTATGTAGCTTCGCTTATTAACTGTATTTATTGTAAAAAAAAGAACATTTTTCATCTTAACGATCTATTCATACCCGTAACTTTGGAAATATTTACAAGACCCTGCAACGCCCATAAACCTTGAGTCGGCACTCGTACCTCATAATTCATATCTAAAATCTCAAATCCCATCCGATTGTTGGGCCCAACTTGGGTAATTCCTCTGCAACACTCTGTACATCCTTGTCACCCCTACCACTTAAACAAATAACAATATCTTGATCTTTGCTCATGGTTTTGGCCAATTCTACTCCTCCCCATACTGCATGCGCAGTTTCCAAAGCAGGGATGATACCCTCCTTCTCACTGATCAATCTGAATCCTTTGAATGCCTCGGCATCGGTGGCGGCAACAAATCTCGCACGCTCAGTATCTTTCCAATTACTTAATTCTGGTCCAACACCAGGATAATCTAAACCAGCAGATACGGAATGAGTCTCTGAGATTTGCCCATGTTTGTCCTGAAGGACATATGTACGGACACCATGTAAAACACCCTTTGTACCACCACTCAGAGTAGCAGAGTGGCGATCTGTATCTAAACCATCACCACCGGCCTCAACACCAACTAGTTTAACACTTGGATCTTTTGAGAATGGGTAGAACATGCCAGCCGCATTACTACCACCTCCAACGCATGCAACAACAGCATCGGGGAGTTTACCACGCTTCTCTAGCATTTGAGCTCGAGTTTCGTTGCCGATGACGGATTGAAATGTTCTGACGATAGTTGGGAATGGGTGAGGACCAATTGCTGAGCCAATGATGTAATGGGTAGTGTCAAGCTTGACGACCCAAGAGCGCATAGCTTCATTAACAGCATCTCGAAGTGTACGCGAACCAGCTTCGACGGCGATAACCGATGCACCAAGGAGCTTAATTCTGAAAACATTGAGAGCTTGTCTTCTTACGTCTTCCTGTAAATTTAATTAGTGCTGTATTGAAGAAGCCAAGAGGAGACCCGAGAGGATAGAAAAAAAGATTGCTCAAACTCACAGCTCCCATGTAGATGGTACATTTCATACCAAACTTTGCGCACACAGTCGCTGTGGCCACACCATGCTGTCCTGCACCAGTCTCTGCAATAATCTCGGTCTTTCCTAATCGTCTAGCAAGAAGAATTTGTCCTAAAGCATTGTTGATCTTATGACTTCCGGTATGGTTCAGATCTTCTCTCTTCAACCAGATCTTTGCACCACCAGCGTATTCAGTAAGTCTTTCAGCCTCATGCAATTGACCTGGTCGTCCCATCCATGGATAATACGTTCGGTATTCTTCCCAGAATGCTGGATCATCCTTGATGGCATTAAATCCTGCTTCAAGCTCTGATAAACAATCCATGAGCGCCTCTGGTACGTATTGTCCACCAAACTCTCCGAACTTCTGAGATGCGATTTTTGGATCTATGGGGCCATTGGTATTTAAGGCCTCGATCTGATCAGCCAAGCCGGGTCCTGATCTGTCGTCGTCTCTAACGACAGCATCGACGGTAACATTCTCTCCGCTAGGCTCTTGGGCAACACCCATTGTCTCGGCCATTCCAACCTCTCTAGTCAGACCCTCACCGTCACTTGGAGCACCCCTTCTCCCGCAAACTTCCGCACAGTATTCTTCGACACTTTTTGCGATGTTTCCGGCAGCTGCTTGATTGACGGTATTGATGATTTGACTTCCGATAACGACTCCATCGGCGATTTTTGCGACCTGTAAGAAATGTTCTCTCGTGCTAACACCGAATCCTACAGCGGCTGGAACGTTTCCCGAGTATTCTTTGACTCTTTTCAATAAACCTTCCAAACCTGCATCCATTGAACCTCCTGTGGCTCCAGTAACACCCATTCTTGAAACGACGTATATGAAAGAGTCTGCAAGCTTGCAAAGAAGCTTCATTCGGGATTCGGAAGTCGAAGGAGCGATGAGAGGAACGTAAGATAATCTGTTGAACAGAAATTGTAAGCCATATATTCAAATGCGACATATCAATGCTCCCCTAAGAACTCACCCTCCGCTTGTACAAAACTTTCTGAAGCTCACAGCTTCTTCTGGTGGAAGATCACAAACGATGAATCCATTGACACCAGCTTCTCGACAATCCTTCAATAATCTTTCCTCTCCGTAACTCAAAAAAGGGTTGTAATAACCCATGAAAAGAACCGGAGCTCTTAATCCCTTCTTTCTTGCATCTCGTACCATTTGTAAAACCGAAGTAACTGTTATACCATTTTTCAAAGCTTGAGTATTTGCTTTTTGAATCGTGGGTCCATCCGCAGTAGGATCTGTGAACGGGATACCTAATTCGATAACATCTGCGAACAATTGTCAACTTCCACACAGTCAATTGGAAATGAGGTATCACTTACCGGAACCACCAGCCTCCATCCCTAATAGGATATCAACGGTATCGTGTGCTTGAGGGAAGCCAGCAGTGATGTATGTTACCAATGCGGATCTTCCTTCTTTCTTGCATTGTGCAAATGTCCTCTTTAGATGGTCCATTTTGGATTACCGATTGATCGGTATGGGAAGAAGTGTTATGGGAAGAAGGAAATCTAAGAGAAGGAGGGAAATGTGATGATTGATATATGAACAAATTTTTCTAAAATAGAATCCAAGTTTGATTTCTTTCTTGTATATATATAATTCTTATTGATCATCCCAAAAAGTGAGTCAAAACCGACGCCCCTCACTAGTTATCGCTCAATTAAGTCACCGCCTTGGCAAAATCTCGCATTCTCTTGCCAGTTGAATCTTTAATTTCGTCATGACCTGCTCGGGTATCAATCTCCTTCTCCTTGCCACAACATAATAATCCGGCTGATATAAAATAATTGTCCGTGAACAACCGATTCTAAGACGGTACACTAAAGTCGATATCTAATTCCTCTTATCATTAAGCTCTCGGTCTCCTAAATTGAACATCAATTAAAAAATGTCGCGACTGTTACCATCAAGATTTCTTCTTCCCTCCCGCCGCTTCTTCTCACAAACTACTTGTCGAACAGCATTCGCAACAGGTCCATCCCCACCACGCTTGCCACCAAAGGAACAAGAAGAATTTGAACGTCTGCAGCGCTCCTCTACTGGTGCATTCAGCACCCCGAAAACTGACGTTGTTACCAATACATTAAAGACTTCGACGCGAACAAGACCACAAATCAATCAATCACCTGCAACAACTGTTGCCGAAAAGGAGGATATAGAGTTGGCTGCTGTGAATGCTAGAGTATCTGCTACAGGAAAAGGAGAGGAGTTGCACCCGGATATTCGCAGAGGCGCGAGGCCAGAATTTGAAGGGGATATCAATCCAAAGACTGGAGAGGTTGGTGGTCCAAAGAATGAACCTTTGAGGTGGGGAAGTTCAGGTGAGAGGGGCGACTGGAGTTATAATGGTAGGGTTACGGACTTTTAAATCCTGTCAGAATGGGCTGCAAATTTGAGAAGAATGTACAAACAAGTTTGAATGGCATGATAACATAATGCAGTTTAAGAGCTGCTATCCAAGTCAACTTCTATTTCAAACTAAAACCTGGTGTGGACTTTGATTTACAAGGAATTATGTAAAACCGTCTCAGTGGATATTCCCCCTCTCAAACAACTATCTCATTATCTTTATATCGGCAAGTCTTCGTACTGCTTTATTTCCTATTCTTTCCCATATCTACATTCTTATTATCATTCCCATGTACAGGAGACTAGCAATACATCTACTTGTGTATAGTTAATATACATAGGAAGTATCTGTGTATGCAACGATAGCTATCGTCCTAAAAGGGTGCACTCTTTCTCAAAGTATTGACATAATCTTATCATTGAACCTGCAGCTAATGTGCTTCTTGGTTATGACCTTTTGTCTACTATATCTTATGGATATCAGGGTTGAAAACTGTGATTGTTATGATTATTTGTGTGAAGCTTTATAAATGCATTGCTCTTCTGCTGAGAGAAAGGAAGACTACCTTCTCTTTCTACAAATAAATGAACGTCAATTGGCTGATGCTCTATTGTTCATTCTTTTACTGTGACTCGAAGTTCTAGGCTGAAGTGCAAAGGTCAAAGTGCCTTTGTTGTGAATAAATGCCGGATTTGGGGTCTTGTCAACTCCTTTCATGTTTCCACTTCATCTTATTTCTTTTGTTGATCTGGAACTTGGCTGTTCTATCCGATCCTTGATTTTGGTATACGCTCGTTCTCTTCTGTGCCTCGTTCCCTTTTGTGCCATCTCGTATATATTCCAGATCACACAGAAAACATAATTCGGCATTGGAGAAACCATTCCAAAAAATTAATCTTTCCAATCAGTATCCGAAATGGCCCATCGTAGTCAAAAGACTGAAGCTGAAAAGCTTGCAGGCATGTTAGCTATACATGCGGAAATGACTCGCGGGTGGAAAGCATCACAATTTCACGCCGTTCAAAAAGAATGGGTGGAAAAAACGATATTTCCTCTGAAGCTAGTAGTGGATTCAGCGTTATTAATGGGGATTGGATCGATCCAGGGTAACACAAATGGATCTTACAAGTATGATGAAAATTACGGTTCGACAGATGAGGAACAGGGCGAAGATATTCGCAATTTTTCTCAATTGGTTGGCTTTGAATGTTGGATTGATATCTTGAGTAAGTATCACATTTTTGGATTTTTAATTCATCTGCCCTCTTGATCCCTCTTGTTAAACACATGAATAACATTTCACAGGGCAAAAATTCGATATTCCACCAAATAAAGTATACTTTCAGGAACCGGGTTTCACCGATCTCGAAAAATCATTCATCACTTCACTTGGCCATACAGTATTAGAACATCCTCAAGCATTCAAAATACTCACACGACGAACATTTCTCTGTTCTTGTCGCCTCTTTAAAGATGTTGTGGCAGCTTGCTTCAGCGTTGCCATGCCGGACCTGGCTGTTATGTCACCGCTTTGGATAGATAGTAAGTAGAGAGCCTTTACATTATTTTGCACTCGGAACCGCGTACTGGGTTGTTTGTAATACGGTCCCGCAAGGCTGGATTTTGATTTCTGAACCCTCGATACTGAATGTGCGTGAAAAATTAAATTTGTTGGAGGGTTGCAAGTTCATCATCAATGACCCAGAGTATAATGCAACATTGAAAGCTTTCAACCCCAAAATGTATTCCGTAGCGATCGCGTCCTCTACGCAGTATCAGAGTTTGAAAGGATCAAATCTTCACTCACCATTATCGATGTTTGAGGAAACCCCATAAACTAATTTTTGGTTCGTAGGTTGGGTAACATCTCCATATTTTGAGGGAGGACCAAATTATAACAGGTTAGTGTTTTTATGAGTCACGTATGTAGCCAGGTCTGACTGAACAACCTAGAATGAGGCGAACTATCCGTCGGTACGTCAGGACACACCTCAGCCAAAAGCAAGGCCCAATCTTTGAACGCACGCGCGACGTGGACCTCAGTAATCTAGGTATAGACAGACTGATGCATGGCTGGCTCCAAGACGTGGAGTGGTATTGGACGCCGGATGATTTGAGTGTAATAGGAGATATAGGCGAACCGATAAATCAAGATGTGTGGCGTTTCGGGGCTGGGATCTATGGGGTAATAGATTCGCTGGGAGGAGGGATGGATTATGTGAAGATGGCACTAGAAATGCATAGGAGGCGTCGCGAGGAAAGCCCGTTAAGTGATATTCCTAGTGGATCTGAGTGGGAAAATGAGTGGAAAGCAGATGAACCGGAGCCAGAGCCAGAGCCGGAACCGCAGCCAGAACCGCAGCCAGAACCGCAACCAGAACCGCAACCAGAGCCGAAACCAGACAAACCGCTGCCATCTGGAAAAACAATTCCCAGATCCCCTCCCTATCGTGATAGCTATCACGGTAATAAGAGACGACTAACACGAGTAAGAAAGCTCCGGGCATATCGCGATGATGGTACGGTAAACTTTTTATGATGGCCTTATGCTCGGAACATGGAAGTTTTAAGTTCCTAGAAGAGTTGGTCTTCTCGAAGGTTTTGATAGGAGTGTATTGTTGGTTTGTTGGTGTTTGGGATACTTGGGAGAGGGATTTATTAAAGTCAATATTAGGCGTTTGAAGAGGTAATTTGGAGTAGTGGTTTGGATGCATTGGCGCTTGGTGTGTACTTTCATGCACCTAGATAGTTAATCGCTTTGGTATGAAAGTTATTGGGATTTAGAATACCTAGTGGTCAATCCGATTTTTTGATCTTAATTTCTTGAATATGTATACTTAGTCGTTGTACAACTAACGGTAAATTGCTCACACCATTCAAATTCTAGAATATTACTCTCATGTTATTAAAATCTCTATCTTTTCACTCTTATATCGTGTAAATGCTAGCCGGTAATGAGTAAACTCTACTTTTTAGATATAACTTACGACTTGTTTTAAATTCATAAATTCTATACTTACAATATAGATTCTAGCATTCTATTTCTATTTCCATGTCTACCCCCCTCCCCACTCGCCTCCTAGCAATAAATTCTAAATCCCATCATAAACTCTTCCCTTCCATTATAGATTCTACTACGAAGGTATGTAGCTAATTAGTATAGAATCCGACCAGAGGCGAATAAGTAGAGTATAATTACTTTTTATTATTGTGTGATAGTAAGATACTTCACAACTGTATAAATCTTTTTTTTATTCCGAAATAGTTTCTATACACCTATGTAGCCCAGTACTATGAATTAGAGCGGTACTAGTATTTTTCGTCTTTATCTTCAACCCCCCCGTTTAATATCATATAGCAATCCTCATTAGTATTATAACTACAAATCTCTCGAAATTCAACATTATTAATTCACCACTCAAACTCAAATTAGCATTCATTGTGAGATATCAATTTTCTTTTACTGGATAGTAGATATTCAAGTAGGTTGTATATAATCACTCACTCACTCACTCACTATCTAACCATCTAATCATTCAACCATCCACCCTATATAATAAATACCCTTTACCCTTCAGAACTTCCACCTACTAAATATTCTACATTCTAGAATGGAAATCATCGTTTGGTGGAAAGGGGAGATGGATTATCTGTGATTTCTTTGTTTCATTCTCTATTGTTCCTGTGTGTTCTTTTTGATTGTCTTCTATTCATACCACATACTCAAATCCCAACTGAACATCACGCCATGTAATAAGATATTATATGGAATATACACAACGAGAGGTTTCATTCGCTCGTGATGTCTTTACCATGTATAATTTATACTATGTTGATATATACCCACCTCATCTCATCTCACACCACTCCATCCCCTCCCCATCTACCCCGCCACATTCTCCGCAACCCTCCTCCCATCACTCCCCACCATCCCCTTTGCCCTCTCCTCCTCCCCATCCCCCCCCTCTCCCAACAACCCCCCCAAAGCCTCCACCCCCACATTCCCCCCACTAAAAACCACACCAACATCCCACCCCCTCTGCCCCGCCTCCCTCTCCACCATTCCCCTAAACCCCTCATGAAACAACACCGTCGCAAGCCCCACACACGCACTGGGTTCCACGACAACCTTCATCCTCTCGAACACCAACCTCATTGCCTTTTTGATCTGTTCCTCCGTCACACCATACATATTCTCCACCAACCTCCTCTCAAAAATAACACTCCACGGAATCCTTCCCACGGGCGTGCGCAATCCATCCGCGATCGTAAGACTCTTCACACTTTCAATTCTCTTGCCCTGTTCGAAACCACGGCGTCCATCATCCGCACCCTGAAACTCGGGTTCCGCGCCAAAAACACGGATTCTTTTTCCTTCGCATGAAAGTGCAACACCGGATACCATACCTCCTCCTCCACAAGGAGTAATAATAGCGTCTAATCCCTTTGCTTCCTTACCATCCTCTAGACCTACCCCTCTTTCGCTTTGTAATCGTCTAACTTGTTCCGCCAATTCCAAGCCCATGGTTCCTTGCCCAGCAATAATATCCGGATGATCGTATGGCGGCACAAGTTTAGCGCCTGTTTCCTTGACAACTTCTTCAACCATTGCTTCTCGCTCTACAGATGTTGACCCGCTGAATCTGACATTTGCGCCGTAACCTTTTGTCGCCGCGATCTTTGAGGGGGTCGAGATGGTAGGCATGACGATGTGGGCTGGGATACCGAGTTCACGGGCTGCGAGTGCGAGGGCTTGTGCATGGTTTCCTGTCATCAGAGTTGTGTTAGCATTTTGAGCCTCTAGATATCGTTGGCAGATTGGAAGAATTATAAATAGAGATGATAACAATAGCAAAGAGCAATTCGCAAGCCAAGAGAAAATCAAAAAAGATCAGTGAACATACCACTACTATGTGTTACCACACCCCTCTGTCTCCAACCTCCTTCTCCATGTCCAGCTTCGACCCCTCCTTCTGCCTCCTCTAACCTCTTCAATGCATGAAAAGCCCCTCTAACTTTAAAGGCGCCCACCCTCTGTAGATTCTCACATTTAAACCATAGTCTAAATTTTGGCCTCGCAGGTTCCTTTCCTTCCCACTCTGTCCCTTTCAATGCCTCCACAGTCTGTGGTGCACTCGCTATTTCGTCAATTGTCCTATTTGTTAGAACTGGGGTATAATGAATATGCGATTTAATAAGTTCGTGAGCATCCAAAACCGATTGGCGATTAAGAGGGAGACGGGTGTTGGGATTTGCCATTGTAAGTTCTGATCTAAATTGAACACACTTGTATATGTATTAACATGATCCAGAAATAATTGCAATATCAAGGACGTAGCTACTAAACATATAGCATAATAAACATGGTGGGGGTGGGGCATTGCCCGGATGATTCATATAAAATGAGACCCTGGTTTGGTGAAATTCATGCCGATCTCGGCTGAACAGGGAAGTATGAACAAGTGCACAAGTAGAGTCAATCACAAAAACAATTGGAAATATAATTTTTTGAATTCAATGGCTTAAACTTATAATTCCAGATACCGTTGATTAAAAAAACGGAAAGTCATGAGTGTATGATACAATTGGCCCAATTTCAAATATGCAACTCCAGCCCCACGGCCCCATTAACTATCCATTTAGTTGTTTTCAGGACGGAGGGAACTAATATAAATGTTAGTAATTATACAACATGCAGTGATGAATGATTGTAACTTACCGAACAGCCTTTCCTGCTCTCCAGATCTCCAAATCACGGATTTCCTTCATCTCGGCCTCATACTTCTCACGGTAATCCTTCTGGGAGTTGAACTCGAGGGATCTTTGAGTCTCCTTTCCGGTCTTGACGGAGTCATACAAGTCGTTGAAGACTGGCTTCAAAGCATCCTTGAACTTTCCGGACCAATCGATAGCACCACGACGAGCAGTGGTAGAGCAAGCCTCGTACATCCAGTCCATACCATTGGCACCAATCAATGGATACAAAGATTGAGTAGCCTCCTCAACAGTCTCGTTGAAAGCTTCACTTGGGCTGTGACCTTGCTCACGGAGAACCTCGTATTGTGCGAGGAACATACCGTGGATACCACCCATCAAGCAACCACGCTCACCGTACAAGTCAGAGTAAACCTCCTTCTCGAAGGTGGTCTCGTAGAGGTATCCAGATCCGACACCGACACCGAGAGCGATGGCCTTCTCTTGTGCCTTACCAGTAACATCTTGGAAAACGGCGATGGAAGAGTTGATGCCACGACCCTCACGGAAGAGAGTTCGGACAGTGCGTCCAGATCCCTTTGGTGCAACGAGGATGACATCAACGTCAGTTGGGACATCGACCTTGGTTTGGTCCTTGAAGACTGGGGAGAAACCGTGGGAGAAGTAAAGAGTCTGCAATAGTCAGTTTTGATCATTGGAAACTTGAATATTTGTACGTACCTTTCCCTTGGTGATCTGGGGCTTAAGTGCTGGCCAAGTTTCACTTTGAGCAGCATCAGAAAGCAAGTTCATGATGATGGTACCCTTGGAAATAGCCTCATCAACCTCAAAGAGGTTCTTTCCTGGAACCCAACCATCTTGTTGAGCATCCTTCCATGATTGACCGTTCTTTCGTACACCGACTACAACATTAAGACCGTTATCACGCATGTTCAAAGATTGAGCATGCCCTTGGGAACCGTAACCAATAATGGCCATTGTGTCATTCTTAAAGTATTCCTGGAAGATAGATATTAGCAAAAGTCAATGTTAGAGATTATAAGTTGTAAATCATACCTGGAGTCTCTCAACTGGCCAGTCGGCTCTCTCTGTTAAAGTTGTCAGTTTCCATTAATATCCAAATTGCAGTCTGAAATCATACCGTAAACCTTCTCCTTTGTGCCAGCAAAGTCAATGGTCTTTACACCTCTGACTTGTTGGGAAGCTCCAACAACAGCACGGGCAGCGGAAGGTCTGGCTGAGGCATTGATAGCAGAGACAAAGGTTCTGCGTGCTGGTGCAGTCAATTGACGTGCAACTGGTCTAGCGACTCTGGAAAATGTACGGGCAGCCATTTTGAAGGAAGAAGTGAGTGGAGATCAAAAAAAGGAAGAGTAACAAAAGGGTATTTTGAGGTTTAAATCAAAAAGTTGTAGATGTGACTCTTCGTCTTTTTGTTGTGGGCAACAGTAGCTAGGAAATTTTCCTGCCCGGTTCCGGAGGTAACTTTGACAGGGGTATTCTCCAGTATCGCACTTTATGGTGGATGGGAAAGTCTTGGCAAGCCAGCAGCGGGTTGTATTACAATGTGAATATCATCCAATCAAATGATTGATTTTGACTTGTAAAAAGTAAAAATGACTTATGTGCACGTGCGTCTTAAAATCGACCTTAATTTAGTAAATTATTAAGATTTACAAAAACTTTAAATCCCTGTAAATATTGTTATATTGTTATATTGTTATATGGTTATATGGTTATATGGTTATATCTCTTTCTACCTGCTAGTGAGATACTCCTCCTATACATAGGTAGTCATGTTCACCCCCATCATTCATACTCAGA